TTATTTTACTATGAACTTTTTTTCAGTAAAATATGTTCATTTCAGAGACTAGTTGTAAGTCTAATAGAATCATGGCATGTATGTTCTTGTCAAGAAACGCAATAACAAAACAAGCAGATAATAAGAGGAAAGAGGCGCTTACACAATTAAACATTAGCATCACCAAGTCATGACACCGACAACCGAGTCTCGAGGTCAGCTGACTATAGAACTATATAAAAAACAAGGGATGTGACACACGTGCGCAAAACTCATGACTATACATGGAATTTAGCCATACAGTCCTAATATGTACTTTACACACTAGAATTGTACAGCGACAACGTTTCAAATGATTAAATGACCGCTAAGTTTGATTTGTGAGAATTTTACACAAAATACTGCCGAAACATATTTACGGACTGACAGTGTATGAGATATGAATTGGCGTTTTGTTTTACATTTACTGCGCAATGAATGAAATAACACGTGACCAATTCAGTTACTCGAAATACGGGAATACAATGAACACAGTGAAAAAAAAATTCGAATTTGATCTAAGAAGTACAACTCTTTGCCATTGAAATTCCCTTGCATTCAGCATTCAAACTAATGGTTAAAGTTACAGAATAGATGTTACTGAATATTTTCATTTGTTTAGCCGACACGTTTCGTTGGGCGCGAGCATACGGTTACCTGCCTGAAATTGGAACACGCTCACTGACGAAGTGGACACAATAAAGTAGATTTAATATGAAAATAAATATATTCAAAATAAGGGTGAGTGAGTGAGCTTAGTTTTACGCCGCTTTTAGCAATATCACGGCGGGGGACACCAGAAATGGGCTTCACGCATTGTGCTAATGTGGGGAATCGAACCCGGGTCTTCGGCGTGACAAGCGAACAATTTAGCCACTACGCTACCCCACCGCCCCTAAACCGCTTTATCTATGATAAAGCAACAATACTATTCGAGGCAGAGGAGACTGCTTTGCTTTTAGGTATGAAGATTTTATCGATTCTTTAGTAAAACCAGTAAGATTAGCCCTGTTTAGATTCGAGTTCGAATGGGTCATCAGCAACATTGCATGTCTGTCACAAAAGGGACAAAAGGGAACGGGTGGTCAGACTCGGTGACTTGGTAGATGACTGTCGTCGTGTCCCACCTGTGTACACCTGTGCTAATGACGACAATCACTAGATTTTCTGGTCCGGACTCGACATATTTATGGACCAGTGTCACATAGCTGGAACGTTGTTGAAAGCGGTATTAATAGACGACAATGAGAGTGCAACGATATGGAACACAGGGCCATATTAATAATCAAATCGAATCTTGGATTAGAAAATCGGGTAGAATTGGGACGACAAGGCTTTCTGTGCCGCTACGTTCGCCCCCAAGCTCCTATACTATTGTACCTAACACAATTATTTGTCATGGTGAAATATATAGATTGCACACGACTCATCAAGTTCCGTTTGCTGCATTTGGTGCATTGAGGCAGTGATTCATAGACTTCACCAGAGCTGTTCTGGTGATGCCGCCTACAGACGCGCACCTGCTTCATAGAATCCGGATATCATGTGAAGATCCGTCCAGATCAGTAAGTATACATTCTGCTTCAGGTAAAGGATACTTGGACATTTTTTAAAAAGTCATATTTTTTTCAATGACACATTCCTCTATACCATAACTTATTTGAGAAAAATATTTTGGATATATTGGAGTTTATTGATTTGGTTATCTAACTAATTGTTAGTTGATATTCAATGCTAATATATTGGTATGTCACGTGTTGTTCTATTCCAGCTGCTTCATTTGGTAAATTTCAATGGTAGTGGAGAGCACCTGGCCTCGCAGTCTTATGAGGCATTAATTCTTATAAAAATACCTTAAAATGTTTTAAGATTCCAGCAGATAATGCATAATAATAATGTTAACTATATTAAAATACAATAGCGTCTCCATAGTTCATTCACACACGTATTCGACATAAACGGAGAATGTACTATACATGCTACAAAATACTAAAACAGTGGAAGGTAGGCTCCTTATCTGTTACGTATATAGAGAATACTACACGAGGTCTCATTACATACGAATTATACGAAACGAGTGTCCTTCCTATGTTATCTGACCTCGCTTTCGCTCGGTCAGATACCATAGGAAGGACACGAGTTTCGTATAATTCGTATGTAATGAGACCGAGTGTGGTATTTTATTTATTACCCACGCCTTACATGCATTTAAATTGACAAAATAGCGTATTTTTGTTATGTTTTTGGTTTCAAACCGAAACCGGTTTCATAAAGAGGTTGCGGAAGAGTTTTGTACTGTAGTACAATATTTGCATGACGTCACACTAATGACGTCACTGCCATGGTAACCGACGTCACGATGCATGTCAGTTGTCATCGCCTCGTACAGCCTCCTACAGTAAACTACTCCGTTGCACCTCGTTTCTTGGTTTCCAGTTGCTTCATTTGGCTAACATCACTGGTGGAAACATTGCGTTTATGTTTTTCGACAGATATAATGTCTCAGTTCGACTCACAATTAAACAGCGACACGGCAACGTTCGCAATGTTTACATTCCAACAATGCATTTAAGTTGTAGAATGAATGAATTCACGTGTTGTTATGAATGAAAAAATAGTTACGTCAGAATGTGACCTACTTGAGAGGTCATCGGTTATCCAATCAAATCGTTAGGATTTCAGGTCAAGTCGTTACGACACAGGTCAACGCGATACGACACTCGTGTGACGTACGAGATTAATATTTATTACCCACGTGGTCAACGTATGGGTAGTTGCATACTAATCTCGTACGTCAGATACCATAGGAAGGACACTCGTTTCGTATAATTCGTATGTAATGAGACCTCGTGTAGTATTCTCTATTTATAACATATATACTTCAACCGATGTCAATGCCACATTATAAATTGTTTATAGCCATAAGTCACCATAAACAGAGAAAATTGTCGATGACAAATCACATCCTGTCTGAGCCCAGAGTAGACGCCAAATATACATCGGAGGTATACCGTCAGTTCCGACCTTTATCAGTTTATACCACAGACATTAGCGATTACCATTGTCCAAAGCTTTCAGAGAAAATACAAAGGTAAGTAGATTGAAAACTTCCAATTATTGATTACCGAAAACTAACTGCAAATACTTTCATGTGTACTTCGTTTTGAACAAAAGCCATTCTGTACTTCATCTAAAATATTGTGTTCTGGCCTTATAATGAGTGAGAGAGTTTAGTTTTACGCCGTTTTAACAATATTTCAGCAGTATCACGGCAGGGGGCACCAGAAATGGGCTCTTCACGCATTGTACGTGGGGAATCGAGCCCGGGTGTTCGGCGTGACGAGTGAATGCTTTAACCACTAGGCTACCCCACCAGCCCTTATAATGAGCCTATCCTTGTCATAGCTCAGAATTTCTGCAAATTCACTGCTGTGATAATGGCTATTGCAGACAAAGGTTGTATGAAAATATGCAAGCTGTCTGCATAGATGTGTGCATTTATGCCGACCACCCTCGCGTCCACAACGCAGTAGACCAAGCAACCTGTCACAAATGTTACATGTTCAAAGGGGCGGGGGTCAATCACAGGTTGATATCCAGGTACGTTTAGTGTTTGACACGTGCAATATTTGTTACTGCTTGCGAACAAAACAGGATGTAACGCCCCGTTTGAATAATTGAGCTACATTTCCTTGAATAAAAGAATGGTCACATGAAACGTTTTATGCTGAAACAAACTGTGTTGTTATAAGGTTTTGTTTTATCGCCCATGGTTTTAATAATGAAACAATTGTTAAACATCCTAATGTTCACTCTCACAAAATATGTAACTGAAGCTGCACAAAAAACTGCAACTCCGTAAGAAGCATGACAATCTCCAACATATCTGCATATACAGTCGAATAACCTATTTCCATTACCGAGATACCCGTGAAGATCCGGGTAGAATTGATCTTCAGTAACACATGCCTGTCGACCAGCGGGATCGGGTGGTCAGGCTTGCTGACTTAGTTGACACATCCGATATGCGTAGAACGATGCTCATGATCACTGGATTGTCTGGTCCAGATTCGATTATTTACAGACCGTCGCCATATAGCTGGAAAATTGCTAAGTACGACGTTAAACCACAAACTAAACCAAAAACCATTATCGAGAAACAAAATACTGCTGTCCGGCAGGTTCGGACTATACTCTAAATATACATACACTCCGAGAACGGAAAATGACCGTATTTTCATGTATTTCATATCCTGTGCGTTAGTATGATCAGGAAATTAAATGACACCTTCATGTGAACTTCAATTACCTCTTTTACTTCGTAAAGAAGTGTCGTTTGATTTCATCTATAATACCAGGGAGACTATATACGGTTGTAGAGTATCCCTGATAATACGTTACAAATGAAGCATGTGTTTTGTGCTGAGTGTTTTGATTTCGACACAAACAAACTACAATATCGACTTATCAGCACATTATGAACTCACGAAACTAACGAACGACATGCTAGTTTGGTAATGTGGCAGCGGTGAAAGGCAGCCTGTGCTATATATCTGTATAAAACATTCCTCTTGTTGCCTCTTACAACTCACATGAAGGGTGGCGGGGTAGCCTTGTGGTTACAGCGTTCGCTCGACACACCTAAGACCCGGGTTCTTAATCACAGGATTATCTGGTCCAAAGTGGATTATTAACAGACCAGTCTGCGGGAATATTTCTGTGTGCGCATTTAAACAAGAAAATTCAAATGTATCTGATTCAAGTCGATACTGTCAAATTAAATTTTTTACAATCCCTATCACATTTAATAAGGCTATTCTCGTCAAATAGAGCTGGAAAATACAAACACGCTTTTTTCAATATGAAACTTACCTGTACGCCAAATTCAAAATCTTGTCCACAGCGCCAACCATCGCGTTCGTCAATTGTCGTCTGCTACGTCCATACCGGTTGGAAAACTTTATGTATACAGATGGCGCTGTAACATGAACTTCCGGTTTACCTGGTTTGTTGATTACAGGTGTTCCTGAACCAGAAATACTTACATCACTAATAATTGTGTGGACGTGTATATGTTGCAGCGATGTAGGACAGGAAGATAATACGACATCCACCAAGTGGTAAGTGTTGCAATTGTTAAAATAACTTAATTACAAACATATTCAGGTGCGAAGTGTGATAATGAGTTGACTGACGAGACTGTGTCAAACGAAAGTCATCATTCATGGTGACAAGAAGTAAAAAGTTACCTGAACTGGATATTACCTGATACTCGACAGGTACTTTACCTGTAGACATATTGTATTATTCTGTTATCAACCTGATATAACCCAATACACATATCCCATGTTACATATAAAACAACATTAAAATATTTTGCATTTTTATCATACATTTCGGTAACCCCCGCTTGAAAAATATTCTAATTATTATGATTATTTCAAGGGGTTAGGGTTTAGGTTTAGGGTTTAGATTCAGCCTTATGTTAGGGTTAGGGTAAGGATAGGCTTTCTATAAAAACAACATCTATTGTTACTATAAATCTTTGGCATAGAATGACAATAAAATGGGGGTTACGGGTGGAAACCTTTCCCTACACTATTGGGGTAATGCTGTTTTTCAGGGCATTGTCATTGGCAGAAGCCCTAGGTCAGTTTAACTCTCCTATCCCGCTAAAATGGATGGAATTTGTGTTAAAAAAGACAAAACGGTATCATAAATTTAATTGTAAGTTCAAACAACTTACTCACAAGGGGCTGTTGACCCAACACTGTTAGATCATGAAACAAGATTTATGATGTCACTATGGAGCGAGACGTCACCTGCTGTGACGTCATTTAACAGCAGAACAGATAGTGGCCCGTAGTTAAGGAATCAGCGGGCCATTATCATTTCCAGCAGCCCAATCATTTCTGATAACTAGATGGCGGTTTCATGATAATTCTGTCCATTTTAGCTATAACACTATAATTTATTCATCGTTGTCAGATTTAGTCAGTAATAATAATAATAAACTTGTTGAAGTTTGAAAAGGAACTACTTTTTCTGGCGATGGTGTTAGTTCAAGGAGTGATATGATTTACCTTTGACCTAGGAACACTTTGACATGGTTTACATAATGAATTTCTTTCACGAAAAAACAGCGTAAAATGATTTGAATTAGAATGGGGATTACTGTACTGTGTTTGACGAATTGGGGATGTATACCGGTGGTTATATAGCCGCAAATTTAACGTTATATCAGCTCCACTTACGCGTCGCCGATATAACTAAATTTGCGGATATATAACCACCGGTATACGTCCCCAATTCGTCAAACACAGTACCGTTATCCCCTAAATAATATTCATATATATAAGTTTGTACGTACCAGAACAAGTAATGCCCTGTGGGAATGTCCCATTAAGTATTGTACAACACACAGCTGTGTGTAAATGCCCCTGGCTAGTCCCAACCCCCAGCTGACAAACAGGAAATCCTATCTGTAGAGTCTATACTTGATCTTTACCCACTTATCTGCATCTGAGGGGTCAAACTACAAGTTGACCAAACAGATTCAGAGTTTGGCCGTTTATTGTGCTGTGTTTGAAGTGCTCAGCTTGCTCTATCACCATGATCAGTGTAGGCAGATGCAAAGACTGGAGGCCATAAAAGAAGAAAAAAGAGAAATAAGCATGACAGTAATTTCCTTACATCCCTTACAATAAGATAAAATACAATACAGGATACGCTTCAAATTGTTAACCAGATTGAGAGAATGCTCAGCAGGAAATTACATGAGTATTTATTTCATTTAAGTTTGACAGTAGTTTAAAACTGGCGAGCTATAGCAAAAAGTGTGTAAAACACACATTTTAATACATTTCACCTAATGAATATATAACATATTACTAAATGTATAATATAATAATATATTTGTAATGTTATGATAAAACAAACCGAAAATGTACAAATAGTGAAAACATTTGTCTTGTTGAGACTGTGTGTTTTCCGCCAGTTTTAGCAATATCACAGCAGGGGATACTTAAAATGGGCTTTCACACATTGAGAATTGAACCAGGGTCTTCAGCGTGTCCAGGTGATGCGCGTCATGTACTTAATGAATGACACAACCCCCCACAATATTTAAGCATAATAATTTTTTATCTACAAAATTGTTTTCCCCACTAGTACATGTGTACAAAACTGATGAAAGCCCACCCCCCTCCACACACACACCTCCCCAGAACAACATGGGTGACAACCACCCCCAGCCATAAATTATGTACGGTCCCTATTTTGAAATGACGTAATGCCTTCCTTTACAGTTAACCACCCCAAAGCAGTAATAACCACCTGCAGTAGCGGATGTTGCAGACGACGAGGATGAGACAGAATGAGCAAGTTTGAAGAGGATGTGGAGGTCACAACTGCAGCAGCTACAACCACAACAACAACAGATGATGGCGGCGATGTGGACAACGGCGACCAGGTTATGGTGCCAGGGGATGACACACCTATCACCGACACGGTGGCTGCTATCACAGTCGCCATATTAGCAGTCGTGTTGCTTCTCACATTGCTGGTCATATTCCGTGCCTTACGTAAACGAAGACGTGCACGCCAGGGACAAAGGATGGACGATATCCCTACTGTCTCAGCTGGCATTATGGGAGCTAGTAAGTTGCCAGTGAATTAACAGACGCCCTAATGAACTGCATATTTGTATCACCACAGCCTGGCTGATATTTAGATATTTGAAAAAAGCAAGCAAAGCAATAGTGAAATGGTACTGTGTATAACTACCTTATGTAATCTCCCCACTTGCCAGGAGTGGAAATAACTTTAAAATTGCTAGTGTACTCCGGTACAGTGGCACATGTAAAATCACTTGCCCTGATAATTTTTCTGCTATACCGACCGTTTTCTTGTTGATTTTTTAAATATACAACATAATTAATATTGGAAAGTCAACTGGAGAGCGGTACAGTGTGATATACAAATTTGCTTGCCCGAGAGAGAAAAGCTGCAAGCTGGTGAGCTGCAAGATCCTGAACCTGATGAAAAATCTAGACTTGCTTCATTTGTATTAGGGCATTTGCATAACAAAGGATGAACAGAAGGAAATACAGTGTGATTCAGAGACTGTGAGACAGACTAATTCCATGGCTGCGTAATGCCAAGTAATGTTCAAAGATGGTACTTGTTGGTCCCCTGTTACACCCATGCTTGTCGTAAGAGGCGACTAACAGGATCGGGTGGTCAGGCTCACTGACTTGGTTGATACACGTCATTGTATCCCAATTGCGTAAGATCGTTGCTCATGTAGTTTGTCACTGGATTGTCTGGTCCAGGCTTGATTATTTACAGTCAGCTGCAATATAGCTGGAATATTGCTGAGTGCGGCAGCATTAAACAACAAACCAACCAAGGAGATAAGAAACGACAGCCCAGGTCATATTCAGTATAAACTTGAGAGAATGTCTAAGGCATCCATGTAAGGTCAGAGCTCCAGATAAGATTTAGCTCATGTGGGTACTGTACCCACTGTATTTTTTGGGAGTGGGTATTATGAATGTTGAGTGGGTATTTCATTTTCCGTTACCCACTGCTTTCAAATATGTGCATATTTCAGTCATTTTACTCACCTAAGTATATGTCATTGAGTAAGTTTACTAAGCAGGTATGTTCTGCCTTACGTCATACCTAATCAAAACCAACTTAAAGATAATGGAAATGATTTCATAAAACATCACTCATCCTATACTGACAGTACAACACTTGTCCTATACTAACAGTACAAGTTGATAGCAATCGATGTCTTTTTAATTACGCAAGTGATTTTTATAAATATATTCCGTACGCATTTGTTTTCAATTTTTTGCGTATCTAACATTTTAAATGCGTAATTGGTACGCATCAATTATTTTTCAATGCGTAATTGGAAATGTTCTATACGTGTTTTACCCAGATACGCAGCTTATCTGGGCCTCTGTAAGATTATGGCATGGTATGAGCTGTCACTCCAACCCTGGTAGATGTCGAGGCAAGCACCTGCAGCTATACAGACACATACATCACTGGATGAGGGAAATAACACTAACACATTGTCCAACCCATTTCGCACCCCCTGGGATTTCAAGTATAGCTCTGACAATCATCTGTTTTGTCTTCCAAGGTGTCAGTGCCTACAACAACATTCCAGTAGCAGGTCGAGTAACCTGGGAGCCAGTGTCACCATCCACGTCCTCGGCCGAGCAGCCTAATCTACATAGAGACATCCCTTCACCCAACAGACCTGGCCGCCACAATAGAAGGTCAAGGCCACCAAGGGCAGCCAACTCACAATCAAGTTAACATCATCTTCCAGTTCTATCACTTCAGTCTAAGTATACTAAGAACATCAGTGATAGAGACATGGACCGATGGGAGATACCTCGTGCATGCGGAAGGTGATCATGTCAAAGGTGTACATTTATTCAGTGTTTGTTATTGACGTATGGGTTATGAGTCAACATGTCTTTCACAACAAAATGTTTCCATTGTTTGTATACAGTTCAAGTGGCCTGTTGTTGTGGTTTAAGGTAACAAACTAAAAGGGTCACTGGTTTTATTTATGTGAAATTGAATTTAAAATGCTTGTTAATATTTAATGTTTGATTGTTATTTTAATTACAATACTGTGATTATAGAATTAAGTATGAAAGAACGTTCCATTGAAACATTCAGTGTGTGAAATATTAGTGGTAGGATTTTAGAAAATCAAGCCAGATGATATTTATTCTGTCCATCTCACAAAATAGATCTAAAATCAAATAATTCTTGTTTCTAATAGATATCATGTAATTTACATTAACAGTTAATACATGAAAAGACAACAGTCAGTCATATTTGTTATTGTTAATATTAAAAAGGATCAACAAGTTCGAGTATGTAGGGGGCTTATTGTTTGTTAAAGGGGGTGAAGGAGGCAGTGAGATAAGTAAAATGAACCCCCAATAATTATAAATGACCAATCCCTAAAAATGGCTGATATATCTCATGTCACAACAGATGATAATCTCCCAGCTATGTTAAACTTCCACTGTTTCCACTTGTTTCCTTATATACCCTGTCAGCTGTGATGTAGAATGATTTCTGTCTTTCGTGTTTCATTTCTAAAGGGTAAATAGAGTGATATTAATGTGAGGAAAATCAAAATATTATGAGAGTGTTTTGTTAACAGTTTTACTTATTTTGGCATTTAGTGGCATATCACTGATATGTACCATATTGATATCACTAATATGTACCATATTGATATCACTGATATGTACCATATTGATATCACTGATATGTACCATATTGGTATCACTGATATGTACCATATTGATATCACTGATATGTACCATATTGGTATCACTGATATGTACCATGTTGATATCACTGATATGTACCATATTCATATCACTGATATGTACCATATTGATATCACTGATATGTACCATATTCATATCACTGATATGTACCATATTGATATCACTGATATGTACCATGTTGATATCACTGATATGTACCATATTGATATCACTGATATGTACCATATTCATATCACTGATATGTACCATATTCATATCACTGATATGTACCATATTGATATCACTGATATGTACCATATTCATATCACTGATATGTACCATATTGATATCACTGATATGTACCATGTTGATATCACTGATATGTACCATATTGATATCACTGATATGTACCATATTCATATCACTGATATGTACCATATTGATATCACTGATATGTACCAATACAAACTAGTACCATATTGATATCACTGATATGTACCATATTGATATCTCATCCAATTCCAGGAAAAGGTTACTTGAAATGAAAAAGTTGGCTGTTCTGAAATAATCATTGAAGTTGATGAACAATGGAAGAATTCAAGCATTTACACATTTAAGGGGTTTTATTGGTGCACTGATGACTAACTGCTAAACACTGACACCGACTTTTGGTAGCCTTAGCAAGGAGAATATTATACCATATGGTCTCTGTTGTGTCTGAGTGTGAGCAAAGCAAATTGAATAATGATGATGTCATTGCTTGTTTAAAGCCTGAAAGGCAGGACCATTGTGTATCTGGACAGCTTTTGGTTTCCTTCCATGCTGAGACTGCTATAGATAAGGAAGTTTCAGACAGGATATTGTTTTGGTCAACACCCAAAATCTGTTTCTCTGTCAGGAGGAGTCAGCAACAATTATTCTACTCAAATCACAGATTATTCAGTACATCAGTATATTTCAAGTGGAAAGCAGATATTTTTGTTTTGGGGTTGTTTTTATAAAAAAAACTGGGGACAAACAGTTTCCCCGAGGATCCCTTGGTGAGTTGGTAATACCAGGTGTCCATCCATGCATGTGTCCTTCCGTGTGATATTATGTATCTCAACTGTTCCATGGCTCCCCATGTCAGCTGTACTTACATCCCATACTGTTTTGTTTTCACCTGTATGTGCTTGATGATACTCTCAGTCAGTATGTACATAGCAAAGTCAACAGGAGCAAGTTTTAAGTTACAAATTTTCAACTATGAAAACTGTACAAAGTTGTCTGCAAACATGACAGTTCTATTTTTCAAATACAAACGTTACAGATCGTAGCATCTATTTTTCAAATACAAACGTTACAGATCATAGCTTTGTTTTGGGACTGATCAACTATTAGCGGGGATGGGAGGAGTCATAAAAAATGCAACATGTTGTCAATGTCTTGTAGCCAGAGACAGGTCCATTGTTTATCAGTGACAATGAAAAAAACAATCATGTCAATAAGCAATATGTCAGATTTATGAATATGAATTAACACTGATTCACGGTTGTATAGTACATGCTTATCTCCACCTGTAAACTACTTTCACATGTTTCGCTTCAAACACCTGGACCAGCTGAGCACCTGGAGCATCGAGTGATAAGATTGGTCACACATCTCAAGAATAACATTTAGTCTGTGATATGAAATATTGAATGTTCCTTTTTGTAAATGCCTTTGATTGTATAATAGAAAGGAGCTCAGAGAATCTCATCACTTTCAGAAATTGAAGAAATCTGAACTTGGGGCATGCTAGTTATATTTGTTTCATGATCTGTAAGAACCTAGTCAACAGGTGTGCCCTGAGAACTGAAATTTGTCAATCATGATATGAGAAACATTCTCATTTGAAATAAGTATGTAAATTGAATAGGTCATGAGGCTTGTTTTTATTTGTCTCTGTTTTTCTAGAAGGCAGAAACAGTTTGGCAACCTTTTGAACCCAGGTTAAACAAGAAATGTTGACTCTTTATAGAATTTATAAAATGAACCATATGATGTGAATGTCTTTTCTTCTACATTTCCTGACCTAATAGTCAGTAAATTGAAACTATATCCCATATAATTGACAGGCATGCAGTAAAATCAAATCCGATCTGAGATAGTGTTGGTGCATTTTGTTGTTGTTGGACATTGGTGTGGACCAGTTACCTAGTTGTTGTTACTACTTCACACTGATGGTGGTGTGTCGGAGCTTTCAGGAGTCTCCATTGCAGTGTGGTATTATATGTACATATGGTATCAAATTTACTGAGAGCTAATCTCTGCTACATGGAGGTAATCTCAGAGTTACCTGGAGTTAATCTCAAAGTTACCTGGAGTAACCTTGAGTTAATCTCAGAGTTACCTGGAGTAACCTGGAGGTAATCTCAGAGTTACCCGAACGTATACTCAAGTTGTTGGCATTACCATTCAAGGTGAGATCTGGACAGTGGGAGCATATGTATCTGATATTACATTAATGTAACAGTTTTGAAGATGTTCATTGTGTATGTAGACCAGCATCCCGTACTAAGGTAAAAACCTTCCATCATGAATATTTCCTATTATTCTCGCTTCATGGTATAATGAATGTCTGTGAAACAAAAATATTAACTGCCTTGAGTGAAGATGTAAACAAAGATGTGTGGCTAGTTATTGGTTTGTTAAGGTACATAGGCAGGTGTGCTGCTTCGGAGGTTATTAAGGCTCACTGCGAGGAAGAATGAAAGGTTGCTTCTGTGTAGACTCATTAAACTGTAATCTTGAGACACAGGCTATAGGGTGCAATACTTTACCACATCTATACAACACAAGCAACAATGTATCATTTGTGTAACATCATAACGTACTTGAGGGGATATAAGCATTTTTATTTGTCAGAGTCGACTAATGGAATCAGGTGGTCAGGTTAGGTGACTGGGTGGACACATGATGTTTAATGACGATGTTGATCACAGAATTGTCTGGTCCAGCCTCGATTATTTACAGACGCCGTCATAGAGCTGGAATATTGCTAAGTGTGGCATTAAACAACATTGTAAATCCGAGACTCCAAATTTTAAATCAGCCTCAGTCAATATTTATCCTCTCTATTAGATATAAGTAATTACAGATGTCAAAGTAGACACAATTTATGGATAACAACTTCATAATACTGTTATAGCTCCTGGGAGTCTTAGTCAGATGCCAACTGCTAAAAAAAAATGCCTATCAATGAGGTCTATCTTTGTATTTATTTCTTGAATATTCAACTAGTATGTATGAAATATGACAGAGCTTTCAAGAATCACAGTTATTTTCTTACACTGTGTATAAAATATAGCAATACATTGAATAAAGCCATGTTATATGCAAATATGAGATGCTCATAGTGTCTTAATATACCGGTAATCTATCTGATGTTAGATATGGATGTGACATGGCAATATTGTAATATATACATTGCTTTTTAAAAATCTTCAGATACCGCATGTGTTGCAGGCCAGTGTGCTGTTGGTCACTGCATGCCATTTCTGAAAGTGTGTAAAACATATTCTTTTATATATTTAAGTGAAAAGGTCATTTTAATTGTGTACATAAAAGACATGGAGTGTTTTAGAAGCATTTATATATGTATATACATTCATGATATACAGCATGTAATAGAATGAAATGTTTGTTATTTACAAGATAAGATTGCTAGTGTGTATGTGTTTGTTGGTAACTGTGACTATTGATTAAAGACAATGTACAGTTTTATGAACAGAAGTGTGTGTGTACTTGTTTTTTAGTATGACAAGCATCAACTCAGCTGTGTGTTTTACAATTACATGGTTGACCCGTGAAGGTCCGGGTTAGAATATTGATCTTCAGTAACCCATGCTTGTCGTAAGAGGCGACAAACAGGATTGGGTGGTCAGGCTATATGTCCCTAGGTAGCAGATGCTACCAGTTAACAATGTCCCTAGGTACCAGATCCACAGTTAACAATGTCCCTAGGTAGCAGATCCACAGTTAACATATCCCTTGTTAGCAGATCCACAATCAACATGTCCCTAGGTAGCAGATCCACAGTTAACACATGTCCCTAGGTAGCAGATCCACAGTTAACATGTCCCTAGGTAGCAGATCCACAATTAACATGTCCCTAGGTAGCAGATCCACAGTTAACATGTCCCTAGGTAGCAGATCCACAGTTAACATGTCCCTAGGTAGCAGATCCACAGTTAACATGTCCCTAGGTAGCAGATCCACAATCAACATGTCCCAGATCCAGTTAACATGTCCCAGCAGATCCACAGTTAACATGTCCCTAGGTAGCAGATCCACAGTTAACATGTCCCTAGGTAGCAGATCCACAGTTAACATGATCCAGCAGATAACATGTCCCTAGGTAGCAGATCCACAGTTAACATGTCCCTAGGTAGCAGATCCACAGTTAACATGTCCCTAGGTAGCAGATCCACAATTAACATGTCCCTAGGTAGCAGATCCACAATTAACATGTCCCTAGGTAGCAGATCCACAGTTAACATGTCCCTAGGTAGCAGATCCACAGTTAACATGTCCCTAGGTAGCAGATCCACAGTTAACATGTCCCTAGGTAGCAGATCCACAGTTAACATGTCCCTAGGTAGCAGATCCACAATTAACATGTCCCTAGGTAGCAGATCCACAGTTAACATGTCCCTAGGTAGCAGATCCACAGTTAACATGTCCCTAGCAGATCCACAGTTAACATGTCCCTAGGTAGCAGATCCACAGTTAACATGTCCCTAGGTAGCAGATCCACAGTTAACATGTCCCTAGGCAGCAGATCCACAATCAACATGTCCCTAGGTAGCAGATCCACAGTTAACATGTCCCTAGGTAGCAGATCCACAGTTAACATGTCCCTAGGTAGCAGATCCACAGTTAACATGTCCCTAGGTAGCAGATCCACAGTTAACATGTCCCTAGGTAGCAGATCAACATGTCCCTAGGTAGCAGATCCACAGTTAACATGTCCCTAGGTAGCAGATCCACAGTCCTAGGTAGCAGATTAACATGTCCCTAGGTAGCAGATCCACAGTTAACATGTCCCTAGGTAGCAGATCCACAGTTAACATGTCCCTAGGTAGCAGATCCACAATTAACATGTCCCTAGGTAGCAGATCCACAGTTAACATGTCCTAGGTAGCAGATCCACAGTTAACATGTCCCTAACAGGTAGCAGATCCACAGTTAACATGTCCCTAGGTAGCAGATCCACAGTTCCCTAGGTAGCAGACACAATTAACATGTCCCTAGGAGCAGATCCACAGTTAACATGTCCCTAGGTAGCAGATCCACAGTTAACATGTCCCTAGGTAGCAGATCCACAGTTAACATGTCCCTAGGTAGCAGATCCACAGTTAACATGATCCACTACATGGTAGCAGATCCACAGTTAACATGTCCCTAGGTAGCAGATCCACAGTTAACATGTCCCTAGGTAGCAGATCCACAGTTAACATGTCCCTAGGTAGCAGATCCACAGTTAACATGTCCCTAGGTAGCAGATCCAGTCCCTAGGTAGATCCACAGTTAACATGTCCCTAGGTAGCAGATCCACAGTTAACATGTCAGCAGATCCACAGTTAACATGTCCCTAGGTAGCAGTTCCAGGTAGCAACATGTCCCTAGGTAGCAGATCCACAATTAACATGTCCCTAGCAGATCCACAGTTAACATGTCCCTAGGCAGCAGATCCACAGTTAACATGTCCTAGGTAGCAATCCACAGTTAACATGTCCCTAGGTAGCAGATCCACAGTTAACATGTCCCTAGGTAGCAGATCCACAATTAACATGTCCCTAGGTAGCAGATCCACAGTTAACATGTCCCTAGGTAGCAGATCCACAGTTAACATGTCCCTAGGTAGCAGATCCACAGTTAACATGTCCCTAGGTAGCAGATCCACAGTTAACATGTCCCTAGGTAGCAGATCCACAGTTAACATGTCCCTAGGTAGCAGATCCACAGTTAACATGTCCCTAGGTAGCAGATCCACAGTTAACATGTTCCTAGGTAGCAGATCCACAGTTAACATGTCCCTAGGTAGCAGATCCACAAGTTAACATGTCCCTAGGTAGCAGATCCACAGTTAACATGTCCCTAGGTAGCAGATCCACAATTAACATGTCCCTAGGTAGCAGATCCACAGTTAACATGTCCCTAGGTAGCAGATCCACAGTTAACATGTCCCTAGGTAGCAGATCCACAGTTAACATGTCCCTAGGTAGCAGATCCACAGTTAACATGTTCCTAGGCATCAAATCCACAGTTAACACGTCCCCTAGGTAGCAGATCCACAATTAACATGTCCCTAGTTGGCAGATCCACAGTTAACATGTCCCTAGCTGGCAGATCCACAGTTAACACGGCGCTAGTTAGCAGATCCACAGTTAACGTGTCCCTTGTTAGCAGATCTACAGTGAACACGTCCCTAGGTAGCAGATCCACAGTTAACGTGTCCCTTGTTACCAGATCCACAGTTAACATGTCCCTAGGTAGCAGATCCACAATCAACATGTCCCTAGGTAGCAGATCCACAGTTAACATGTCCCTCGGAAGCAGATCCACAGTTAACACGTCCCTAGGTAGCAGATCCACAGTTAACATGTCCCTAGGTAGCAGATCCACAGTTAACATGTCCCTAGGCAGCAGATCCACAGTTAACGCGTCCCTAGTTGGCAGTTCCACAGTTAACACGTCCCTAGGCAGCAGATCCACAGTTAACGTGTCGCTTGTTAGCAGATCCACAGTTAACATGTCCCTAGGTAGCATATCCACAATCAACATGTCCCTAGGCAGCAGATCCACAGTTAACACGTCCCTAGTTAGCAGATCAACAGTTAACATGTCCCTAGGCAGCAGATCCACAGTTAACACGTCCCTTATTAGCAGATCCACAGTTAACATGTCCCTAGGTAGCATATCCACAATCAACATGTCCCTACGCAGCAGATCCACAGTTAACGTGTCCCTTTTTAGCAGATCCTCAGTTAACATGTCCCTTTTTAGCAGATCCTCAGTTAACATATCCCTATGTAGAAGAGGCACAGTTAATGAATCCTACAGAGAAAAGAGTTTCCTTGTTAGCAGATCAGTGATTCCCAGTGAAGACGTGCCATGTTAACTTTCTGGTCCGTTGTTAACAGATACCTAGTGAACAAATAACCAGTTTTCAAGCACCCAGTTAACAGACGCCTATGTTAACAAGTCCCCCAAAGTTGACAATGGTGGATATTTTGTAATGATGAGGATATTAATTGTTAATTTCTGCAGTGTTTTAATATATGTCATTGTCATTAGTGATATCAAATATGTTATACATAATTGTGGACTTCGGCAATTTGAGGTGATATCTAACCTGATGTTTGATAGGCAGGTAGGGGAGAATGTGGAATGTAGTAATGTAAGGGCCTGGAAAAGGCAATCTAGCTGAACCAGAATTACAATCTACGATAGCACATACGGCTCAGCCACCCGTGTCTGTTATCAGAGACATTGTTAAAATACTGCGGTAAATACTCCCCCACTCCTTTCGACAATCCACGGAATTCCCCGATCTTTAACGAGTGTTGACGATTTTACCGCATATGACCCAGATCCATGCGCACTGCGCGACAGACAAGCAGCGGCCGGACCAGGGGAAACGTCTGTGTATAATTGTGCATGTGTGGGCCGCAGGTGTGTTTCTTACCAAAACGGATCGAAATTCAAACGAAGAACTGTGAACGATAGTAAAAACTATATATTAGCGCTGCATTCATAAGGCCGCCATTGTGCCATGTTCGTGCGGTGGAGAGTCCAGTATTAATTACCGCATACTACAAGCACTCCGAGTGTTGTAGTAAAACCTTTCAAGATGGCCTACGTTGTAGGCGATGTCAACGACAAGTACCGCATAGAACATTGTTTGACAATTCGTGGAAATGATGCTATTATTGTAAATGGTTTTAAGTACCGATCCGGAGGCGCTGGCAATAAAAGTCACCTGTGGCGTTGTATATTGAAGCAATGCGGTGCCTTCTGCAGGACGAACTTAAGTGCCACTTACATTCTGAACTACAAATTTTGTCATGAACATCCCGAGACTGCAGTTCGAAAAAAATCTAAACGAAAGAGGGCGCTTGAAGATGAGAGCGTCGTACCGTGCAAGCTGTTCAAGAATAGTTCCACCTGTGGGGATGAGCAATTTAATCAACAGAAAGATTTCGGCAGAAACTACTCTAGGCCATCAAACTGCCAAAACGCATCTCGCTGTTTCAGTGAAACCACACCCCAAGGCAGCGACCAGGAACACTGTCAGCCCGTAGCACGTGTTAAGTTAGGTGGGTACAGTTATGTACATGTATGTCATATTACTATTTATAAGGGTAACCTTGAGGTTATAGCGTTCGCTCGTCACGCCGACTGTCTCAGTGCGACTCCTAGTCTCACAGTCCCTGAACCACATTATTTTCCCTACAGCCTAGCCTTCCCTGCAGTGCTAAAGCACTAAACGAAGCAAGTCTAGATTTCCCCAGGTTCGGAATCTCTGGTCTCCCTAGGGCTCCTTTTCAATTTAAATGGGCTTGTTTGTTACTATCAAAATTATATATATTCAGAGACTAAGCCTTAGTCTATGCGACTCCCAACACTGGTGCAATATGTGATATATTTCTGGTGCCGTTCGTGGATACGGCATGAAACACAAGTTAACAAAATACGCACATGTATATTTATTACAATGCCCATCGATTTTTATGTTATATAGGCAGTTTAAAGACACTGAGTAAATGATTTTTGTTGTTGTTGTTGGGCTTTGACAGAAGAACGCACATTATCTTCAAATCACTCACTCGTAATTAAATATTTTTGCAAGGTGCACGTTCCGAAGAGGCTAAAAAGGTTGACAAGCATTTAGTAGGGGTGCAATAAATGGGCTAAACTTCAAGGGTGATATACATTGCTGCCTGCATGGGTATTAAGTCAGTGCAAACTTTATGTTTAGGGAAAGTTACAAGTCATACGTTAACTTACGTATTATATGTCCAAATGTAAAGTCGTCATTAAACCAGAGACCATATAACAATTTATTATTTAACTCTTTATTTTAAACAAAGAAACTCGTGCGTGTGTGTGTCCTACCTTGCCATAGTGCAACATGAATTACTTAAAATAAGTATATTGCGTGCAGCTGCTTAGACATACATATGGTCCAGATATAAATTCAGAGAACTTCTAAAACAGCGTGGGGCGGAGAAAAGAAGAGCCGCTTTTTCATGGCCGACATCGGGGAGTAGTATGTTACTGTTTAGTTTAAACAAGATAATATCTTCTTTAAAATCTATCAGTTGCAACTATACAAATTGTTGTGCCATGTTCCGCTTATGTCGTTTTGTTAAATTAGCAAGACGCTAGTCAAGTTCTCAGTTGTCTCCAAAATGTAGAAAATGAGCAATAACCGGTCCCTTTAATCACAACAAAAATGGCGGAGGGTGGAGGAGAGGACTCGGAAAATCCGTTTTCGTTCAAAAAGTTTGTAAAGAAGAAAGATCAAACTTATTCTCTGAGTGATGAAGACAAAGATAAAGATGACACAGAGGACATGTTCCTCCTTCCAGACGTGTCGGCGCTGAAGAAAAAGGGGAAGGCAGCGCTGATTTTTGAAGATGGTAGTTATTCTGGTTATCTCATAACTGATTAGACTATGGCGCTGTCAAAATGACAATCTGGGTTTGTTTCTGATTTGTATGGACGATCATGGGATGTTCATGAACAACTGTCGGTCTCCCTCTTGTCTGAGGTTTTAACGAATTCTCGTCTGGAGGTTGGAGTCGGCAAAACATGATGATAACAGGTCGGGGAGATAAACCACCAAGCTGCACACGATTGCTGACTGTCATGTGTCAAATCGTCAGCACAAACGATAGGAGTGACTATTGAGGGGGAAACAACTATTGTGATAGCGATAGTCCTACCAACTAATGCAATACTATTGCAATAGTTTTATTCTTCTTGAATTGTCTCATTTGAAGTTATTTCCCAAATGAATGTTATAGTTTATATGAAATAAAAACAAGCTGAAGTAGTTTCAGTCTCTTTTAATAACTGACAAGAAACTTGAAACTCAGTCATGCTGTTGATCACTGGATTGTCTGGTCAAGACTCGATTATTTATAGACAGCCGCCAGATAGCTGGAATATTGCTGACTGCGGCGTAAAACTAAACTCACTCACTTGAATCCCAGATCAAGTTTGTTTAAGAGGTAACAGGGGTGCAGGGGTACAGATAAACTGCATATCTGCATAAATTACACACATATTTATGTGAAAACTCAATTCCTATTAAGTCTATTCCATACAAGTATGCTTAAATTTTTTGTAAATACTCAGTAAATGTGATCTTACATGCGTACACACGAAAATATCAAATCTTAGCTAGCCTACCGGTGGATAGATAAAATAACTGCAGTATATTGAGAGGTTCTATTTCTGGACATGAACTTGACAATTTGCAGTCTTTCTTATTGTTTCTCATATTACAGATCAAATATAAATAACAAGCACTAACATTTAATTTTTTAATATATTTTTAAAATTAATGGAAAATGGCAAAATACCCAACTGAGTTTGAGTGAGGTGGGTACAATTTATTTGGTTCCTCAAAGGAAAATTAGGATACCCAAATGAGATGAACAGAAGCGAGTACATAACTCAATGACCCAAAAAGTTATCTGTAGCTCTGGGTGGTGGATAAATCAAAGTGAAAGAATCTGGTATTTCCTGTATTTTGCCCTGCGCATTTATCAACAGAAGTCAATTACTAAACTGTCGATAGTCACACATACTATCGATGAATCAATAGTTTTTCGTTTCTACCATTGATTAATTGCTATCGGAGACTCAACAGTTGCAATCCATCGATAGTGTAATGCATCGTTACAGCCCTAACAAATGACATAATGTTTTTAAACTGTCCCGAGTATAATATGGTGAAAATGCCATGTTTTCTATAGCACTGTTTTCTAAATGGGGAAAAAGGCTTTTGAAATGCTAATGTTGAATTGGATGATTGGTTATTATGTATGGTTGGGGTAGGAGGTTCCACCAATTTTGTTCTGGGCAGGTAGTTGGGGTCATCAGTTGTGTACACATGCACTAGGTGGGATCAGCAATTTTTTACATAAAATTATTAATAAATTATGCTTAAAAATTATGGGGAGGGATGGGGGTGTCATTGATTTTGTACAATGTGATTTATGGCTGGAGGGGGCCACTTACTTTGTACATAGCATTTAGTGGGGCTCATACACATTGTACATGCTTCTCAATAACAATCATCACCCTACCTTGGGGCCATGGGCGCTGTCACAGATAATTAGTGCTTGTTTACCTAGTCATCAGCACCTTTAACTTTCTGCTCTTGCATAATATCTGGTGGTGTGTGTATGATGTGTTGAATGTTTACTTTCTTCTCACTTTCCAGAGCCCCAGGCTGCTCCAACGAAAAAAAGCAGCGATGAAAATCCATTTTCGTTTAAGAAATTTTTATCTGGCCCTCAAACTAGTGCAAGACCTAAGTCAGGAGCATCTCCCAGATCAAGAAATAATGCCCCAGACTTTGCAAGTGATCTCCCAGATTTTGTACAAGATCATTTTCTTGATGAGTCCCAAATAAAGAAGGAGCGAATAGCAAGAAACCCAGATCTTGATCTCCCCGATTTTGCGCTAACTTCCAACATCGAAGAAAATGTAAGTGCCTCTGGTCAGAACAGTGGGGACCTCCCTGATATTGGTGGCAGTGGTATAGAAAACGGAGACCATCATTCGGATAATAGTGATGAGGAGTCGACAAGGAACAGGCCTACCATGCCGTCTAGTATATCTAGTCTTCCAGACTTCTTGTCCGATGGAGCAGTGAACAATACAGAGCTGTTTAATGGTCATAGTGGTGGAGGGACCGAAGCTTCTGTGCATAGTACCCAGAGAGGAGTGCGGGATGTGTCATCCTTGGAGGTTCATGGAGACTTGGAACTGGAGAACAGAAGAGTGAGTCTTCTACAGGTTTCACCAGGGTCTCCCCTTTGGGAGAAGCGGTCCTGTGCTAGTTATAAGAGATGACACAAACAGGGTCAAACCGATCAAACCCACAGGCCTGGGAGATATTTTTCCTGCTTGTCCTGCAAAAGGTCCTCGTAGAATAAGATGCTCAAGTTGCAGGCACAGTAGCTGAAGTATTAAAACTGGTCTGAATATATAGACTCAGATTTTGCATACATTAGCCATTACAAGAAAGACTTGCAAGGTTGTGTGATAGGTCTTGCACAGCATTTTCAGGGCTCGATTTAGTGCTTTGTTACTTGCACTGACTGGTGCAACCCAATATTACAAACTGCATACTAGTTATTAGTCTAACTTGCACCAGGTGTAAGTCAATTTTGAGAAATAAAATAATAAATCTAACATTATAAGCATAAATATGTCAGCTCATTTTCTTCAAAACTTTGAATAGACCCGTGAAGATCCAGGGTATAATAGGTCTGCAGCAACCCATGCTTGCCACAAAAAGGCGACTATGCTTGTCGTAAGAGGCGACTAACGGGATCGGGTGTTCAGACTCGCTGACTTGGTTGACACGTCATCGGTTCCCAATTGTGCAGATCGATGCTCATGTTGTTGATCACTGGATTGTCTGGTCCAGACTCTATTATTTACAGACCGCCGCCATATAGCTGGGATATTGCTGAGTGAGGTGTAAAACTAAATTCACTCACTCACTCACTAAACTTTGAATAGCTATGGCACCAATAGACACCTCTTGACACTATGTTGCAACTGGAATTTGGCTGGTGCAACTAGGTTTTTATCTTAGGTTGCACCTGGAGCAAGTAGGTTAACATCTCTTAAATCGAGCCCTGATTTTGACAATTGAGAGTGAGAGGATGAAAGATAATTTAAACTGTGTGCCAAAAGACTTTGACCATGCATTAATGTCCTACAAGTTGATCAGGTAGGCAGACTCCGTGACTGTGATTGTGTGTTATTGTGTGGATCATTGCTCACAATATACATCACTATGTGGTCACTGCATTGTCTGGTCCAGACTTGATAATATACAAGCAGTCGGCATGTATTTTCAGACCGATATTGCGTTAGTGTTTCTGAACGTGTGGCATCTCTTATATCCAGCTCAGGTTGCTGGCTACCCATGATTATTTGCTTCCGTATGTGTCTCAGAAATTAATTACAACACACACAAGAAGGATTTTGAACCATCATGTAACATACTTCACCAAGGCCAGATATTGAGTACTGCAGTTTTGATTTTAACCCTTCCTTGTCATTGAGATAGATAACAGCTGAATTCATTGCGAAAACCCAATTTTGTTTTGTGAATCAAACTGTCAATTAAGTCTTTAGATGTATTAATGATTTTCATGCATTTGTCATATTTATCTGTGGTGTCATATTGTAAACATTGTCAGAAGTTTTTTGTCAGAATATAAGATTTTTAATTATGCTCTTTCAGTACCAGGAACTTACAATTAACATGTCATTATGATTGTGATTATCAGTTCAATTGGTGCTGTTTATTATTATTATATTATTAAGTTTATTCTCTACCAGTTTAAAAACATATGTGACTAGTGTATGGTTTTCATGAGCACCCCCTTTGTCAATATTCCGTGATTGTTATGATTGTTATGTCTAATCTAGTGTGTATCTTTGAATTATTAAGTATCAACTGAAAGATGAAGCACTTATGTTCTGAAACATAATGAATGCATGTCATATGGTTGATTTCAGTTAAGAGAAGAGAATCAAAAGTTGAAAACAATAGTGGAGGATACCAAAAAGTTAGCTGTGAAAGAATCAGAGAGGTAAGAGTTGTAACACGTGAGATTATTTCCTGACTGCCATCACCTGCCATAATTGGAACATTGCTGAGTGTGGCGTTATGCAATAAACACTCCTGTCTGTACTGTTGTAATATACTGTAAGCCATTAAAAACGCAATTGGTATTTCTTGTCCTGGAACTCACAAAAGTTCTTTTGAAGATTTTTGCCTGCGATACAGAGAATGTAGGGATAAAAGGCTGTTATTCTGGCCCATTTCGAGTTCGAGTCCCGGAGCATTCCTCTCACATGAACTTTGATACTTAAAACTGAACCTTTGACATTTCTCGTAAACACAACCACATTCATGAAACACGTTGTGCACATGCATTACCTGCACCCAGGCCCTGTAAAAGCACAAGGAATTGTGGAACTCAATCACTTTGAGAAAATGCCACACTTGACACAAGACGAAAGGAATCAGGTTATCGGTATGTTCAGCCAAGGTGCTTCAGATGTGATGATTGCCAGGCACTTTAATGTGCATCCACAACGTTTTCGGGCTACCGGAAGTGTTGCTGATCGTCCGCGACCTGGTACACCACCTGTGATAACAGCTCGACAAAACCGCAATATCCGAGTTTCACACTTGCGAAATTGGTTCCAAACAGCTGATGAGGATGCAAGGAGGACAATTGGGACAAGTCAACGTCATTTCAGCGCCCAAAAGATGCAAGGACGCCTTGCTGCCTTCAACATCCGGTGTCGTCACCCGTACTGTGGTCCAACCTTATTGCATTGCCACAGACTTGCCAGACAGCGATGGGCAGCAAATGGGGCCAATCTTGGCAACAGGACATGGCCAGATGTCATTTTGTCAGCTGTTCCTGAGAAATGTGTGTCTTTCAATGCCCGAAAGACTGCGAGCATGTCTTGAAGCGCACGGTGGACACACACGATATTGACTGCACGTCACACCTCCTGTGTTTGATGCCGTTGTTGCGTCACTGATGTTGTTGTTGACTGGACATTTGCAGATGAAATTATTCACAGATGTTCACTTAAAACATATCTGCCCGTTAGGTTTATATATGTTGAAATTGGTGTGAGTAAAGGATGAATGTCAAATTGCGTTTTTAATGGCTTACAGTATATATCTGGCTGCCAGTTGTCCCCACGGTGTCGTGGTACAATTAAACCGTCCTCCCCACGGTGTCGTGGTACAATTTAACCGTCCTCCCCACAGTGTCGTGGTACAATTTAACCGTCCTCCCCACAGTGTCATGGTACAATTTAACCGTCCTCCCCACAGTGTCGTGGTTACAACTTAACCGTCCTCCCCACGGTGTCGTGGTACAATTTAACCGTCCTCCCCACAGTGTCGTGGTTACAACTTAACCGTCCTCCCCACAGTGTCGTGGTACAATTTTACCGTCCCTCCCCACGGTGTCGTGGTACAATTGGTCCTCCCCACAATAATTTAATCGTCCTCCCCACGGTGTCGTGGTACAATTTAACCGTCCTCCCCACAGTGTCGTGGGTACAATTTAACCGTCCTCCCCACAGTGTCTTGGTACAATTTAACCGTCCTCCCCACAGTGTCGTGGTACAATTTAACCGTCCTCCCCACAGTGTCGTGGTACAATTAAACCGTCCTCCCCACGGTGTCTTGGTGCAATTTAACCGTCCTCCCCACAGTGTCGTGGTACAATTTAACCATCCTCCCCACAGTGTCTTGGTACAATTTAACCGTCCTCCCCACTGTGTCGTGGTACAATTTAACCGTCCTCCCCATGGTGTCTTGGAACAATTTAACCATCCTCCCCACAGTGTCGTGGTACAACTTAACCTTCCTCCCCATAGTGTCGTGGTACAATGTAACCATCCTCCCCACAGTGTCATGGTACAATGTAACCGTCCTCCCCACAGTGTCATGGAATAATGTAACCGTCCTCCCCAGAGTGTCATGGTATAATGTAACTGTCCTCCCCAGAGAGTCATGGTATAATTTAACCGTCCTCCCCAGAGTGTCATGGTATAATGTAACCGTCCTCCCCAGAGTGTCATGGTATAATGTAACCGTCCTCCCCGGAGAGTCATGGTATAATGTAACAGTCCTCCCCAGAGTGTCATGGTGTATATATATATATAACCGTCCTCCCCAGAGAGTCATGGTATAATGTAACTGTCCTCCCCAGAGTGTCATGGTATATATTATATATTATAACCGTCCTCCCCGGAGTGTCATGGTATAATGTAACCATCCTCCCCAGAGTGTCATGGTATATATATATATATATATATATATATATAACTTCCCCGAGTGTCATGGTATATATGTAACTGTCCTCCTCAGAGCGTCATGGTATATATGTAACTGTCCTCCTCAGAGCGTCACTGTATATATGTAACTGTCCTCCCCAGAGTGTCATAGTATATGTGTAACCATCCTCCCCAGAGGGTCATGGTATATATGTTACTGTCCTCCTCAGAGCGTCACTGTATATATGTAACTGTCCTTCCCAGAGCGTCATGATATATATGTAACTGTCCTCAGAGCGTCATGATATATATGTAACTGTCCTCCTCAGAGCGTCATGGTATATATGTAACTGTCCTCCCCAGAGTGTCATGATATATATGTAACTGTCCTCCTCAGAGCGTCATGATATATATGTAACTGTCCTCCTCAGAGCGTCATGGTATATATGTAACTGTCCTCCTCAGAGCGTCATGGTATATATGTAACTGTCCTCCCTAGAGTGTCATGATATATATGTAACTGTCCTCCTCAGATGCGTCATGATATATATGTAACTGTCCTCCTCAGAGCCATGGTATATATGCGTCACTGTATATATGTAACTGTCCTCCCAGAGCGTCATGATATATATGTAACTGTCCTCCTCAGAGCGTCATGATATATATGTAACTGTCCTCCTCAGAGCGTCATGGTATATATGTAACTGTCCTCCCCAGTGTCATGATATATATGTAACTGTCCTCCTCAGAGCGTCATGATATATATGTAACTGTCCTCCTCAGAGCGTCATGGTATATATGTAACTGTCCTCCCCAGAGCGTCATGGTATATATGTAACTGTCCTCCCAGAGCGTCATGGTATATATGTAACTGTCCTAACTGTCCTCCCCAGAGTGTCATGATATATATGTAACTGTCCTCCCCCAGATGCGTCATGGTCATATATGTAACTGTCCTCCCAGAGTGTCATGGTATATATGTCCCCAGAGCATCATGGTATAATGTAACTGTCCTCCCAGAGTGTCATGGTATATATGTAACTGTCCTCCCCAGAGCGTCATGGTATATATGTAACTGTCCTCCCTAGAGTGTTGCGGTATAATGTAACTACCTTCCTCAGAGCGTCATGGTATATATGTAACTGTCCTCCCCAGAGTGTTGCGGTATAATGTAACTATCTTCCTCAGAGCGTCATGGTATATATGTAACTGTCCTCCCCAGAACATCATGGTATATATGTAACTGTCCTCCCCAGAGCATCATGGTATATATGTAACTGTCCTCCACAGAGCGTCATGGTATATATGTAACTGTCCTCCCCAGAACATCATGGTATATATGTAACTGTCCTCCCAGAGTGTCATGGTATATATGTAACTGTGTCATGGTATATATGTAACTGTCCTCCCCAGAGTGTCATGGTATATATGTAACTGTCCTCCCCAGAGTGTCATGGTATATATGTAACTGTCCTCCCCAGAGTGTCATGGTATATATGTAACTGTCCTCCCCAGAGCATCATGGTATATATGTAACTGTCCTCCCCAGAGTGTCATGGTATATATGTAACTGTCCCTCCATGGTATATATGTAACTGTCCTCCCAGAGTGTCATGGTATATATGTAACTGTCCTCCCCAGAGTGTCATGGTATATATGTAACTGTCCTCCCAGAGCATCATGGTATATGTAACTGTCCTCCCAGAGTGTCATGGTATATATGTAACTGTCCTCCCGTCATGGTATATATGTAACTGTCATGGTATGTATGTAATGTAACTGTCCTCCCAGAGTGTCATGGTATATATGTAACTGTCCTAAGTGTAATATATGTCTTCCTCAGAGCGTCATGGTATATATGTAACTGTCCTCCCCAGAACATCATGGTATATATGTACCTGTCCTCCCCAGAGTGTCATGGTATATATGTAACTGTCCTCCCCAGAGCGTCATGGTATATATGTAACTGTCCTCCCCAGAACATCATGGTATATATGTAACTGTCCTCCCTAGAGTGTCGCGGTATAGTGTAACTATCTTCCCCAGAGTGTCTGAGCTGCTGAAACAGATGGAGAGGCAGCAGAAGAAGGAGGCTGAGGAGACGGCGGTGATGGAGCGAGCCGTGCAGCAGGTGGAGGCCAACCTCGTCACTACAACGGTTAGTTGGACTTCATAGGGATGCCAACGAGTCTGGATAACCAGATGGGGATTGAGGGGCAACACCACAGTGAGCTGGGACATCTGAGAACATCATTGGGTCTCAGAGTAATATCATTCGGAGTTGACTAACTACACTAGAAATCAGAGGAGCTTTCCTGATGTGTAACTTGGCCCCAACATTTTGGTGTTTCTTCATGTATTCAATGAAAGTAGATAACCCTAGAACAAGTATTTCACTTCTAAGAAAGAGTAATCCCAAATACGACGTAGGCTACCTTTGACCACTTTATAAAAGGCATTCTGGTTATCAGTATGTCGACAGAGGTTGTCTGAATATTCGTTGTTTATTTCAGCAAAGAGCAGTAAAGGCTGAAAACACAGTAGCAAAGTTACGACAAGAAGTGAAGACATTGCAGGTGTGTATTACCTACAGCTGCTGTGTGGGGCAGTAGGGGCTGTGGGGTAGCCTAATGGTTAAAGCGTTGGCTCGTCACGGCGAAGACCCGGGTTCGAATCCCCACATGGGTACAATGTGTGAAGCCCATTTCTGGTGTTCCCCGCCGTGCTGTTGCTGGAATATTGCTAAAAGCGGCGTAAAACCAAACTCAGTCAGTCAGTCAGTGTGGGGCAGTAGATTGTATGTGATCTTACACTGGCTGGCCGGCTGCTGTAGCCATTATAGATAGCTGCTGTGTGGGGCAGTAGATTGTATGTGATCTTACACTGGCTTGCCGTCTGCTGTAGCCATTATAGATAGCTGCTGTGTGGGGCAGTAGATTGTATGTGATCTTACACTGGCTTGCCGTCTGCTGTAGCCATTATAGATAGCTGCTGTGTGGGGCAGTAGATTGTATGTGATCTTATACTGGCTTGCCGCCTGCTGTAGCCATTATAGATAGCTGCTGTGTGGGGCAGTAGATTGTATGTGATCTTACACTGGCTTGCCGCCTGCTGTAGCCATTACAGATAGCTGCTGTGTGGGGCAGTAGATTGTATGTGATCTTACACTGGCTTGCCGTCTGCTGTAGCCATTACAGATAGCTGCTGTGTGGGGCAGTAGATTGTATGTGATCTTACACTGGCTTGCCGTCTGCTGTAGCCATTATAGATAGCTGCTGTGTGGGGCAGTAGATTGTATGTGATCTTACACTGGCTGGCCGTCTGCTGTAGCCATTATAGATAGCTGCTGTGTGGGGCAGTAGATTGTATGTGATCTTACACTGGCTTGCCGTCTACTGTAGCCATTATAGATAGCTGCTGTGTGGGGCAGTAGATTGTATGTGATCTTACACTGGCTTGCCGTCTGCTGTAGCCATTATAGATAGCTGCTGTGTGGGGCAGTAGATTGTATGTGATCTTACACTGGCTTGCCGTCTGCTGTAGCCATTATAGATAGCTGCTGTGTGGGGCAGTAGATTGTATGTGATCTTATACTGGCTTGCCGCCTGCTGTAGCCATTATAGATAGCTGCTGTGTGGGGCAGTAGATTGTATGTGATCTTACACTGGCTTGCGCCGCCTGCTGTAGCCATTACAGATAGCTGCTGTGTGGGGCAGTAGATTGTATGTGATCTTACACTGGCTTGCCGTCTGCTGTAGCCATTACAGATAGCTGCTGTGTGGGGCAGTAGATTGTATGTGATCTTACACTGGCTTGCCGTCTGCTGTAGCCATTATAGATAGCTGCTGTGTGGGGCAGTAGGTTGTATGTGATCTTATACTGGCTTGCCGCCTGCTGTAGCCATTATAGATAGCTGCTGTGTGGGGCAGTAGATTGTATGTGATCTTATACTGGCTTGCCGCCTGCTGTAGCCATTATAGATAGCTGCTGTGTGGGGCAGTAGATTGTATGTGATCTTACACTGGCTGGCCGTCTGCTGTAGCCATCATAGATAGCTGCTGTGTGGGGCAGTAGATTGTATGTAATCTTACACTGGCTGGCCGTCTGCTGTAGCCATTATAGATAGCTGCTGTGTGGGGCAGTAGATTGTATGTGATCTCACACTGGCTGGCCGTCTGCTGTAGCCAGAGTTTTTACCAGATTTGAATCTTAGCTGAAATGGAACTTCAACCACTGCATATTATTTTGTCTGTGTTATGAAGAATGTCCCCATGACTTGTGCCCTACACAGTGTCTACAAACATTGGTTGGAGAGTTCTATTGAAATGAGCTCGGATTGTCCTTCATATTTTGTTCCAGGGTATACATTGACAATCTTTTATATTACTGTAATATTACAGAACAAGATATCAGCTCTTCAGACTGACAGGGACTCTTCTAACGCTGAAGATGGTTTGTCTGCTATCCTGGAGAGAACTAAGTACTCTTCCGACCAGCTGGCGTCTGCTGCCGACACAGGAGAACAGGCCATCAAGTGAGTCCAAGTCACGGTCTTTGTCATTCCTCTCTACTCTGGACCCGTCCTGATGATGAGCGCAAACCTCACTGGTATAGGCACAGTCTGTAGCTAGTCTGGCTTGAAAAAATGATAAAGTATGCAAAAGAAATGGGAAAGTCCTTTATTTATCTCTGTAACTTCTTTGAGGGCAGGGCGGTGGGGTAGCCTAATGGTTAAAGCGTTGGCTCGTCACGCCGAAGACCCGGGTTCGAATCCCCACATGGGCACAATGTGTGAAGCCCACCTCTGGTGTCACCCGCCGTGATGTTGCTGGAATATTGCTAAAAGCGGCGTAAAACCAAACTCAGTCAGTCAGTCAGTCTTTGAGGGCAACAGTACCTCATGCTTGTTGTAGGAGCAGGCCAATTATTGGACTGGGTGGCCAGGTTCCACAGCGGTGTGTCTTCACACCTTGGTATGTTGATCATGATGTCAAGCACTGGTTTGCCTGGCCAGGACTGGCGGTAGTGATGTGACTTTACTTTACTGTAGTTTTTCTTATCCTGACTCATGATCTTTTGCTTATCTCCCTTTCCTATGCGAATGGTAGTGGAACACTTGAATCCTTTGAAGTTCCAGAAGCGGACGTAAAAAAACCCTCACCTACGAGTTACCTCCCTTTTCCCGCGTAAACAGTCATGTGACCAGCCTTACTTGTCACTCTCTCTCTTTTCGCCCAAGCGGATGGTTGGGCGAGCACTGGAGTCCCGTATACGGCATTATATTCTTTTTTTCAGATCCTGTTCTTTGAAATTACGCTGTGTATGGATTTGGCTATATTTACTTTGTATTATATGAAAGAAAATTGAATTTCTTTTTGGTATTTGTGTCATATTTCATTGTAATGTAACTTGTTTACATTTCATGAAATCTTGCAGTGTTTGCAGGCACAGGTTATCCGCGGCTGATCCTCACCCCCAATGCCCTACGTGCATCTAACCATGTTCTTCCAGCTTGCGTTGTACATATTGTGTTGATTTATCAAATGTACAATTAAATCAATATTTGTCTTATATCTATAGACGTGCCATGGATTGGGTGAGGAAGTCATCACAAGTCACGGCTGATAAATCTGGAGATCAGTCTGCTAACCGTATGTTGCTTGCTACTGCAGTAATTCATAATACTTGTGCTATGTCGAGTACGATGCAGGGGCGGTCGTCTGGTACGGGGGCGAAGAAGAGATCGGCTACAACGGAGTGGACACCGGCTCTAAGTAAGAAGAAGACTTCATCTTCATCTACGTCGCAGAGGAGAACATCTGTAGCCAGTTCGGAGACTAAATCTACGCGGCCTAGTAAGTCAACACGTCAGAAATCCTTCAACGAACAGATTATATTTTATGAACCTCCGTTACTTCTGCCTGAAGTACCTACCAGATCGGCGACTCAATTGACTTCCACGACTACTAGATCGTCTCCTGCAACTGCTACAGCAGGCCAGCTGTTTGACGACCAACCACCAACTTCTCAACGGAGTGAAGTTGAAGCACACAACTCATCAGTGTTCGCGAACGCTTCATCTACATCGCAGCAGCTTCAATCAATGCAGAACTTTGATCTGGGTGAATTCATGAGGCAATTCATCAACCAGATGATGGCCATGATGGAACGTAGGTTCGAGGAAAAGGCGAAGGCTCGACGGAACCTCTCATCTGCTGACAACGTGAGCAAACCCTCGGACCTGCACGAACCCTCGGACCTGCACGAACCTACTCCTCATAGATCTACGTCACATGACTACGTTGGCGAACGTACACCTTTGCGAAGGTCTCCACAGTCTGACGACAGAGGTTCGCGAAGGGAGGACTCACAAGATAGACGTTCGCGAAGGAAGGAATCTAGAGATTCCTTCGCGGAAGGTTGATGCAAGAGATGGAGGTTCGAGAAGGGATGACTATAGGGATACAGGTTCGCAGAAGGATGATTCACAGAGGCATAGTTCTACGGACCGAGATATATCTGATGAACAAGCCGACTTCGTCTTCCCGGATTCAGAGGTTACAGCTTGGATAGTCAATGGATTGAACTTGGAGTCTCCTTCTAAGGATGTGGATGAAGTCTTCACATATAAGATGTGCAACGACGACTTTGACTCGGTGACTATCCCTCCGATTGAACCTATATCCAAGGTACCTTCTAACCTACGCACAGCTTTTGAGAAAGCTGCAGACATCTACAAGGTTCGAGAACTCTCAGATATACAGGCAGATAACAGCAACGCAGACATCTACAGGGTTCGCAAACCCTAGAGTTAATGAACCCTTAAATCAACAGGCAGGAAGATGACGGTGACTCTATTACCATGTGGCTGAATAAAATGAAGCAATGATTAAAAGATCAACAACAGTTTACAGCCTGCACAACTCTACAACCTGCACAACTCTACAACCTGCACGAACCTTACACCTGTAGTAGGTTCAGTTTTGGACGACAACCTACTTGATGAGAGGAATTCCTTCATCTACACGGATGCGGAGGTTTTATCCTGGGTAGCAGATGGCCTGCAGATATTGTCGTCCACTCACTCACTCCAACCCAACAGAGACGTACTGCATATACGCTGATGACTTCGACTCCAATATGATATCACCTATGAAGCCGATAACTCAAGCACTGTAGAACCTCAAGGCGAGGTAAAGGGCTTAAGGTTAACAACGCCTTCAAGAACCCTTGAACGGACGTGCAGATGATATTATTAACACTCGTCACTCAGCGTGGGGGTTAGGATTTTATATCCTATCAACTAGATTCAACATCGGTATTTCTTTAAGATCCATACAGACATACGTCTCGACAGCCCCCTTCGTCATGCTGACTTATATTAGCCACAATGGAAATACGTGATTAATATCACTGAACAAGATTTTATACTTGGAGCAACCCTTATTCAAGAGGTTTATATGAGCGGCGTAGAACTATGCGCGCTTTTACTCAACCAACTATTGCACCAGATTTTATGGAGGCCAAGTTGCTACAACACCAGTGACGTCATGCTTGGAAGCTGATTGGTCCACATCAGACAACGCCTCCTACTGACAGAGCAGGCGCCAGCAAGTTTACTAACAAACCCGTTGTACGGGGGAATACTTCACCGGCAGCCTTGGAAACAGTATACAACTACGGCCTGTTATCATCATGGGAATCTAATAGATGTCTAGCCTTGACAGCAGGATAAACAATGTTTATCTTGGAAATTGTCGCTGATAAAAGTGGGTATGAGTACCTGTCCCGTGCGATACGGGGGCCAGCCTTGCTATAAATAGACAACACTTCGATGTATGCTGATCAACACAGATCGCCTGCGTATATAAGGGGAAGAATGATGTATCATTACTGCAATCAGAGGTTAGCACTTCCAATGGAACGTCCTACCGTTTTGAATATCGTCGGCTCTATGATTATTCATACGAATAACCAAGCCTATCGGCACTTATCTGCAGCATCGAGGTCTACACAGTGCCAGTTATCTGGACAACGGCATACAGGTTCTTCAAAGTGCCAATCAACTCAGACAGCAGCTGAACTTCACAATTTAGTTGCTCATGCAACTAGGATGGCTAGTGAACCGGATGAAGTTGGAGTTAGAATCAAACAAGATCTTCAATTGCTGGGAATAAGAATTATCACAACACTGAATCGAATTGTGGTCCCAGAAGATCGTTGGGTCAAGATACAAGCCATGATTCCACAAGCAGTCATCTCTCCGTACACACTACGAACATGGCAATGTCTAATTTGTCTGCTAACCTCGGCACAGGACTTGACTCGCACAGGAAGGTTACAGCTAAGGCCGCTGCAACGGTCCCTGACAAAACATCTGGACAGCGTCGACCCTATGTTACTGCCAGACAATCTCAAGAGGTACCTACTTTGGTGGACTCCCAGGTCGAACGTCTGCGGAGGGATCTATTTACCGGCCGGCCTTTGAGTCGGCCTTCGACACACATCTCAACGTAGATGCATCGATACAAGGCTGGGGTGCACATGTCAACAATCAAGTTGCGTCAGGGAGGTGGTCCAAAACAGAGCAGCATCTTCACATCAATCTGCTGGAGATGAAAGCCGTGATCAACGCCTTACAACTATGGTCGAGCTCGCTGAGCAACAGAATACTGATGGTCCACACGGACAACTCTACAGTGGTATTCTACATAAACCGGCAAGGTTCTACAAGGTCTCCAAGCCTTCTACAGCTCACATTCTAGTGATGTTCGACATCACGGAGGAAGCAAACATCTGGATAAAGGCGTGTCACATTCCGTGCTTGCAGACACTCTCTCCCAACCACTGCACCCGTCACCTACGGAATGGATGCTCCATCCAGAAGCATTCCGGCTCATCATAAGGGAAACGGGATCCCCATGCATAGACCTGTTTGCCACGAGGTTCAACAAACAACTACAGACTTTGTCTCACCAGTTCCAGATCCTCAAGCCTGGGCAACAGATGCACTGAGCATATCATGGGAAGGACTAAACGCTTACGCGTTTCCACCCCCGATATTACTACCGAAAGTACTGTTGAAGATCAAGCAGACACAGGCGCTACAACTGACTTTGGTCGTGCCCTATTGGCCAGTGAGAGTATGGTTCCTAGACCTAATAGAGGATCTCGGAAGTCCAACAATCAAGTTACCAGATTGGCCGAACCTACTCATACATCCACACACCAAGCAAGTCCACGGGAACCCAGTACTGTTCCAGCTACACGTGTGGACCATATCAAAAAACATGTTTGAAGAAAAGAGGATACTCCGCCAGAGCAGTCAAGACAGTAACTCTAGCGTTACGCAGATCCACTTGTAACCTGTATGATGACAAGTGGCTGAAGTTTGAAACTTATGCAAGGCGGAAAGGCTTCATTGCTATGAAAGCTACTCATCCTCAAGTGGCGGAATACCTATGTCATCTTAGACATACTAGACATCTGAAAGGTTCGACATTATCCACATATCTGGCTGCCATCAGTACAGTGATCACCATGAAGACAGGCATCAAGTTGACGAAAGTACCAGAATTACCTTCACCTAATTTTCAAGGTCATGGAGACACTCTGAAGATTTCAGCATGTTACTGACTGACTGACTGAGTTTGGTTTTATGCCGCTTTTAGCAATATTCCAGCAACATCACGCCGGGGGACACCACAAATGGGCTTCACACATTGTACCCATGTGGGGATTCGAACCCGGGTCTTTGGCGTGACGAGCCAACGCTTTAACCACTAGGCTACCCTACCGCCCCTCAGCATGTTAAGCTGCATGTTAAGCTTGTCAGCGAGATGCCTCAAGAACCGTTCACTGGATTTTCTTCATATTGAACATCAAGCTTCATCGAGGGAAGGCGCAGGGCCCAGTCGATTTTGGTGACCTTCCCTTAATTTTCAAGGTCACGGCAACACTTTAAAGATTTCAGCATGTTAACCTGCATGTAAAGATTGTCAGCGAGATATCTCAAGAACCATTCACTGGACTTTCTTCATATTTGACACCAAGCTTCATCTGGAGAAGGTGAAAGGCCCAGTCGATTTTGGTGACCTTCACTTAATTTTCAAGGTCACGGCAACACTTTGAAGACTTCAGCATGTTAACCTGCATGTAAAGATTTTCAGCAAGATATCTCAAGAACAGTTCACTGGATTTTCTTCATAGATTTTCAAGACTTCCCTTGAATGTTTTTCAATAAACAATTTCTTTATTACTATTTTTGCATATTTCATACACTAAGACATTCATGTCAAGGTCAAAGTGAGTCTTGAAAATATTTGTGCGTTTGAACAACTACAGAGCAAGATATCAAGAGAGGTTGACTGGTCATGTTTTTGTTTACAGTTAACTTCATCTTAAATTACGACCTTCACTTTCATTGCTTTTTAAGTTTGATTTGATAATTTGCGGCGGAGGATTATGTGACCTTAGTGACAATGCTTGTTCAAGTAAAATTGATATTTTATACTTATCCTGACTCATGAGGTCGAGCCCTCCCAACCTCCCCACTGGAAACACTTCGGATTTCACAGTAGATCCAAAATCAGGAGAGAGTGACAAGTAAGGCTGGTCACATGACTGTTTACACGGGAAAAGGGAGGTAACTCGTGGGTGAGTGTATTTTTCACGTCCGCTTAGGGAACTTCAAAGGATTCAAGTGTTCCACTACCATTCGCGTAGGAAAGGGAGATAAGCAAAAGATCATGAGCCAGGATAAGTATACATTCGTAACTACTTGCCTCTTTCTATGACCTACAAGAAGACTCGTACCCCTATTGTACGCCATTATTGCCAAGAATTATGGCAAACCAATTAAATCGCGTGTAGTAAAATGCATTTCGAAGCATGAAAATGGCGGCACCGTTGAACTTTGAAACTTCGCTAAACTATGCAAAGCACAATTTAAACATATACTTTGAGCTAAAGGATCAGAAACTTTAAACACTGAAACATATTTACAAAGGGAATGGCTCTATTGCTGTTTTGACCACGGGATATAGGATATTCTATGAGCCATGTTTGGAAATTCAGAGTTATCTTTCCTTCGTTTGCGGTTAGAGAGAGCCCAGTTGTAAACATGGCCACGAGATGGGGAGGGGGGCATCCGGCTTGCTGGAATGACACGAGTAGTTACGAATGGATAAGTATAAAATATCAATTTCTCTTGAAAAATTACATTTTCGAACAACAAACACGTTGAATATTTGAGCATGTTTGTGTTTGTGTATTTACATAAAGTATTTCTACTTTCAGACAACTCATGACGGGAGTAGACAAGCTCCGCCTCTTGTCCCAAGTCCTAGCGTCCATCGACAAGATAACAGATGTCCCCGATGAAGAGAATGCTGAGTCAGCGCAGTCCTCCCACAACACATGACGTCACGCAGCGTGCCAACACACACGCTGGTTGACGTTGAGATATAATGCACAACATTGTCAAGGGTAGCTGTTTCCTTTCCTCATTGCAATGCTGGGGTAGCCCAATGGGTGTGGTGCTCAATGATCAGTCCTGGGTTCAACTCCCTTCATGGGTACATGCTGTGATATTGCTTGAAATGTTGGTTATAGTAACTGTACTTGGTGTTGTGCTTATTGTAGCTTAACATCTTTAGTACAGTGAAAAGTGTTTTAAAGAATGTCGGGGAATTTTTTCAACCAGTGTCAAAAGTGTTTGCCTTTATCCTGAACCTGGCTTTTTTTAGAGTGGTATTTTATGAACTATAATTAGCTGAATTTCCAAGCATAACCTACAGCAAATATGATAGTGAGCTGTAACTATGCATTATTACCATCAACTGGTTCCACAATATTGCTGATTGTGCATATTTTGGTGGAGGAGAGGGTGAGTCAATAAATTGAGAGATGTGGAACTGTCTCATGTATTGTCATTAAAGCTTGAAACTGATGGATACCAGCTACTGGGACAATACAAAACCTCATGCCCCCCTTTAATTGATAAATTTCTGTTGTTGTTGAATACCTCTCTGGTTTTAAGTTTGCTTGTCATAGATCTCAGGTTCAGGTCCCGAGAAGGGCACATCGTTTAACATTGTTCAAGGTGCTACTTCCATTATTTGGCTAGTAGGATACTGCAAGCAGCATATCACACTCTCAGTAGACGGTGGATCATTTGGTGCCGTATTTACCATATTAGGCGCCTGATCCAGTAGAAACCCCACCAACAACTATGTGTGAAAATGTCTGAAGTAAATGTCGGTACTGAATTCTAAATTGGAATAAAGTCATGATATTATATTGTAAACTAATCTTATATCTCTGTGGAGGTTATTTGCATTTCACTGACAATACCATGTAACCAAAAGGAGGCTGTAATGTTTAGTTTTTGCATTGTATCAAATATTAGAATGCCTATCAGTTTAAGAAAATAGTAAAATCGTAGTTTTACACCAATTTGTATGCCAAGAGCTGTTTGTTTAGAACCTAGATGAATGCTATGAGGACCTGCTATGTTCCTGTGCTGTAGTATGGAAGCATGTGTAGTATTTATGATGTTGTATGTGGAGCATTTTAATGACAAAGTTCAAGAATTAGCTTGAAAACATGATGTGAGTGCAGCAGAAGAGTGGTGCCAGGTGATACACACCAGTGTGCTTGATTTACCAGTGCTTTGTATCAAATGTGCAATGTTTTATAATGTGTATATGATAATGACATAGTAATTGCCTAGTGTATAATTACCTAGTGTATAATTACCTGTTGTATAATCGCTCAAGAATGCCTTCATTCTTTAATGTTGTATCATCCAGTATTACCTGTATATTATTTTATGTATGTTTGATGAATGCTGATGGTGTATGATATAATACAGACCTAAACTCACTGCCCTTTTAACCCAGCCAAGGTGGTCCAGGGCCCCACTTTCCACAAAGTAATCATAGCACTTCATCAGTAATAACCCCATGTTTTGACATAGGTGTATGATCTGGGTGCGATCCACTATTTACAATCTGCACCGGTGAATTTTAAAAATGGCTGATGCAGGTTGACCCAGAGCAGCTAACAATAAATCCTCCAACATCTTATAGCTGTCATTGTGTCTGACTGACTGACTGAGTTTGGTTTTACGCCGCTTTTAGCAATATTCCAGCAACATCACGGCGGGGGACACAAGAAATGGGCTTCACACATTGTACCCATTGTGGGGAATCGAACCCAGGTCTTCGGCGTGACGAGCCAACGCTTTAACCATTAGGCTACCCCACCGCCCCTGTCATTGTGTTTTGGTTGGGAAGTAAATGACTGGAAATAACAAGGCTTGTGTACTCATAAATCAGTTGCGTAGCAATAATCATATAATTGAGATTTATAAATAAAGGCAATGCAAAATTGAAACAAAATCATTCATAATTATCATCATGGGGTCTGGTTCTGTTGAATGTATCTGATACTGAGTATTGTTGGGAAAATTGCTAAACAAGTATTTATGTTAGGTTTTAGAACCAGTGACATTATTTTATGGTGCAATAATAATTTTGATGGTGCAGCCAAACCTTTAAACTAGGTTGCACTTGGTGCAGGTATTGAAAGAAGGAAGATAACACACCCTGATGATAGTCATATCGCTATGATGTCTTTGTGGACCAGGTTCCAGATACCATGGATGACTGTTGGCTGGTTGGTTGGGTGGATGTTAACTGTATGTGATAATATCAAATGTTTTAGATCACCGCAAATTGGGAACAAAACTGTCAAGAAATTTGTCCCCCCCAGAACCTGTAGTGAACTCATTAGGAGTAGCTTCAGGTCTCAGGACCAAGCTTTGTTTCTGTACATGCAAGGCCGTGGCTGACTTTATTGATATAATTAGAGAGGCAAGAATGGATGAAATCAAAACTTACCTTGTAAATTGATGTTACACCCTTATTCTGCAGACATAGAAGTTTAAGTAGCAGTGAGTACGCCACACTACACGTACAGTGTTCCTGATTGCCTAGTTCAATGCTAATAATGACGATCACTGGATTGTATGGTCAAGACTCTTTTTTTTACTATACAGTAGAACACGGATATAACGAACTCCAAGGGACCAAGAAATTTAGTTCGCTATATCCGGTGTTTGTTATTCACATTTGACCGCCATCTTGGATTGTAGAGATGTAGAGACACGTTATATGCTGAGGCTACAAATCTTTATTCTTGTACATGTATATTGACATAACATTAAAATTCTGAATTGATCATTCACAGACATTAGCTAGAACATGTTTAACAATCTCAACAATATGTTGATTCGCCGCCATCAAGGTTGATGTATACCGCTAAGTGGCTGAGCTGACACTGAGCTGACACTGAGTGAGTTCGCTAATCACGTCGTTAATTGGGCTTGGGGGTAGTAAATCAGTTCGCTATAGCCGTTAATTCGCTACTCACGAGTTCGTTATTCGCGTACAATTCTAATGATATCATAAAGGATTGTTGACGGGACTTTTAAATTTCGCTATATCCGTTTGTACGCTATATCCGTGTTCGCTATATCCGTGTTCTACTGTATTTCGATTATTATTTTTGGAAAGGAATCTATATTCTTAGGCTCTCGGGTTTCTCATGTCTGTCCTGGGCAAGAAGTGAGTGCCACTTGTGAAACACATATAACGCCATGTGTAATTAGGGCAGTAACAAATTTGACAAAAATGACGATAACCATTGAACGACTGTGGAAATGAGGTCATACATGCATATTGTTTTGATATGGTCAGTTGAATATTTACTGCCTTTGTTGTAAACTGCACTGCATCTTTGTTACTTATTCAATATGTGCCATGTTTTGGTTATCAGAATTACATTGGCATCTTTCCAGGGCTCCGGGGTAGCCTAGTGGTTAGAACGTCTGGTCGCCACACTGAAGACCCAGGTTCGATTCCCTACATGGGTACAATGTGTGAAGCCCATTTCTGTGTCCCTGTGGTGACATTGCTGGTATATAGCTAAAAGCGGCGTAAAACCCAACTCACTCTTTCCTACCGTAGCTGTGTTTCATAAGTCAGCCTATCTCCATCTCTTGTGTCACTATGTTAGCACCGAATTGCCCTCACTTGTCAGATGGTCAGCACCAACCAATCAAAAGGACTGTGTGGTAATCGACCATTCATAATTTATGGCTAGGGGGGGTGATGATGATTTTTATGGAGAAGCGTGTACAATGTGGATGACCCCCCCTAAAATTTATGTACAAACTAAGTGACACCCCCCCCGCATGTCATGTACAAAATCAATGACCCCCCTCCCCTTCCCATAATTTCTGAGCATAATTTTAAACATATATTTATGTACAAAATTGCTGTTCCCCCCCCCAGTATGTGTGTACAAAATTGCTGACCCCCTAGCTCCCCAGAACAAAATGGATAACCCCTTAAAATCATCATCACACACACACACACAGCCATAAATTATGAACGGTCCCTAAATGTAACCATGCATATCTCCTGTCAGTAACTTCCAATAAAAGATATCTTGCTCATCGTAATTTGATATCAGTTTTAATTTGACAAGACAGCCATTAGTTTGGTAAGGTGGCAATTAGATAACATGACTATTGTTAGCATCCTGCCATTGAGCTTGTGCTCAAACTGGAATGTAAACAAAGCTGTGACAGCAACTTGGTCCAGGGTTGTTAACATGGTAGAGACTATGATACCCTGTACTACCAGGGTTGTTAACATGGTAGAGACTATGATACCCTGTACTACCAGGGTTGTTAACATGGTAGAGACTATGATACCCTGTACTACCAAGGATGAACCCATATAGACCTGATTGAATATGTATTGAGGTGACTGCTTCACTGTTATATATGAGACTACCTGTATAGGAAAGACTTGTGCATGATACTATATTATACTTGATTCTCTATTGTACTGGATACTTTATTAAGGTGCCTTGCGTTGGATTTCGTTTGGGGAATATCATGTATGTATACTGAAGGAAACAAGTAAGGAATCACACACATTGTTTTGTTGTGAAGAATAATTTTTATTTAAATATGTACGGTATATAATTTTTGGGAGTGATCCTGAACCTTTTATATATATTATGTAATCACATTTTCTAAGTTTATTGCTTGTATTTACATGATCTACATGACTGAGATGTACAATAGAACCTTCCTATTCCCGACACTCCTGGAGAATGTATGTTTGCAATTACACAATGATTCATCATTGCGGAAGGGAGTCCAGCCATGTAACGTCACTGGTACAGTCACAGGTCAACAGGTTTCAATGTATACTAGGGCTGCAATGAATACACTATGTGTCGAATATGATGCGTATCATGAATATTGGATAATGAATACGAATAATTATTCACTAATACAATATTGCAGTTAAGTGATTGATGTACAGTATGGAACGGACATGTTGACAGTGTTAATTTGTCACAGCAATAACCAGTGATCTCATGACACTCAAATTTGGTATGTAATAGTTATAATTAACAGTACCATGTGCAGTCTTGGCAAACTAACGTGACTTGCACTACTGCAATGCTAGTACATGTTCCATTCTTGCATATCTCACTCTGGAAAGGACATAAGGGTTCAAGTAAAACATGCTCCCTTAAAAAAATTGTAAATATTCGTTAATATTCGGTTCTGGTGACCACGAATAACGAATTGAATTCATGAAGGGCTACTGTTTCGATTCACCGAATATGTGAGTGAATCGTTACAGCCTTAATGTATACTGCTCAATGGAAGTTAAGGAACACCTGATTCCTTCAGATGAACACAGTTGGTGGACTTCATGTTGAAATGTGCATTCATTCATTGAAAGACCTGGCCAATTTTATGTTTTGTTTTGCAAGTTTTTTTTCCAATTGTTTAAGAATTCAGACTTGTATGAACCCTGATTGGTGACAATGTGGAATATATGGACTCTTTGAGATACTACTCTTGCTTGTTTGTATTTTTTTGAGAATTAGTCAGTAGTATGATTAATGTTTCTATCAGGGAGAAGAATACAATTCACTGAAATTGCTGCCAGTGCTGAATTAGGTGAGGGTACAAATTCTGTGTATGTGCCTGATAATCTACCACTTCGACATGCTGAATGATTTGTTTGATCTCTGTGACTGGGGAGGAGAACCTGTTACATACTCACAGATAAAGGTGTTCATAATAGATGACTGTTTGATTGGTTTTATTAACAATTATGTGTATGGTAGATACAAATCTAATTATTTTTCATCTTGTTAATTTTATTTGGTTCAGTATGTATAGATTGTTGATTTGCTACATGTATATAATGTAAATTGTATATAATAAATAAATTTTGAAACTTGTTTCCCTTATTAGTTTTTTGTCAGTGGAATTCTGAAGTTTAGAATATCTGCTGCTATTTTAGATGTGCTGTGCTGTCTTTGCACACACACACACACACACACACACACACAGACAGACACACACACACAGAGACAGACACACACACAGAGAGAGCACACACACACACAGAGTGCGCACACACACACAGAGCACACACACAGAGACACGCACACACACACACACACACACACACAGAGACACAGAGCACGCACGCACACACACGCACACACACACACACACAGAGCACAGTAGTTGGGGGTAGTGTTGCTACCCTTGGGCATGCCAGGAACCAGTAATCGTTGGTTCAAATCCTACTGTATTTAGACAAGCCCCGACCATGCTTGCAGGCTTCAAGTTGTTCAGACCTTCATTATTCCAGGTTTTCCGACCACAAACTGAACTCATTCATAGTCAAAGGAATTTTTTGATCTGATGGGATTCACTCTAAAATGTCCCCTGATGCCCCAGGTATGGTTTATGAAACCTTTGTTCAGTGTTTCTTTCACAACATGGTGGTGCCTTGGTGATTATGTTATCATATACTGCTGGGAATCAGAAATGGTGACCCAATTTAACAGTATTAATGGTGACCCAATTTAACAGTATTAATGGTGACCCAGTTAACAGTATTAATGGTGACCCAGTTTAACAGTATTAATGGCATTTATGCTCAGTCACACTTGCAAACGCTGCAAAGTTCATAAAGCGGGACTTAGTGCTTCCTGTGTTTTTCTATATTCCATTATATATTATCTACAATAAAATGAAAGCAATGAATGGGGCTTTAATTCTTTTGGGTGGTACAGTCAAACCCTGTTGTGTCAAACTCGTTGGGACCAAGAGAAAAGTTCGACACATCAGTCAGCATGGAAATAACCAAGTACCTTGTGTAGTTCAACATGCCATTTGATTGTTGAGTCTGTTAATCCCCACCTTGGATCTTTTGGTAGCACATTTATGAGCGTGACTTTCGATTGCGTGAATGAAGTTTTCAGTTGCAAGAACCAACTTTGACAGTTCAAGACAAAAGGGTAAATTTGTACTTATTAGGACTTTTGGGGACCCTGAAATGAGTTCGACACAACCGGGAATTCGACACATCCAATTCGAGACATCAGGGTACACATAATGATAATATAAGGAAATCGGCAGGGACCGAGAGATGAGTTCGACACAACCGAGAATTTGTCTCAAATGAGTTGGAGACATTGGGGTTTCCACTGTATATGTATGATGCAGATGCTTGTTGTGGGAGAAATTAAAGGTTGCAAAACAACTGCAAAAGATACAACTGATACCAAACATACACTGATATTGACAAACCAGGGATCATAATAAACAACACTTGAATTCAAATCACAAACAACAGACCCTGGCAGCCAAGGGCCACAACTCTGCACTACCAAAAGCTGCACCTCGACATCACGTCGACTCCTGGAGAATATCATGGATCGGTGGGACCAGCCTCAAGTGCAGTACCGTTGTGTGAGGTCTAGTCCAGCCGGCTCAGTCCATTTGACATGAAGGACGTACTCTTGGTTTTGTCAATATGTAGATAATATAATATATTCAAGATAGTGTTTGAACTTTGGGGAAGAAATATACAATCTGCTAGTCCTCGTATTTGGTGTATGATTTAGGCTGATGATCTTTTTTGTGAGACACTGTAATAGCTTCCATCTGAACATGGTCATCTTTGTGAGTGTGAGGAGATATTTATGGATAAATACAACAATGTACTTGTAAATTGATTGTTCAGTCCAATGTACTTACACATTTAAAAGCAAAACTCTATTTTCGTGTTTCATTCCTATCATCAATGAAGTTTGCTGGTGATACAGATGAAAATTGATGGAGAATGGATCAGCACTGATGGTGAGGTGTATGTTCCGTTCTTTTGTTGTTGCCTAATAAGAACTGACATCCATGTCACGCAATTAATCATTCACCAACAAAGACAAACCTTGTTCTCTCCAGAATTAAAATGCTACTTGATTCATAAAAGTTACGTTGACTGACACCTGAACTGCCATTGGCAAGGACTAATAATCTCCACAATCCCCTCAGCGTATACACAACCTGCACAGATACAACATACAATGTACCTCCTGAATTTTGAACTCGCTTCCTGGAAAAAACCCAGGTTTGTCCCCTTGGTAAAAATGTGGAGGAAGGGCTGGTGGCGGTATGATGCAGGCATTTAAGAGACCAGCGATAAAATGCTTTGATGGTGTAGTGTGCTCAAAGCTGTTTTATCCTGGTATGTGTATCGGGAGAACGAATTACCCAACTCCGGGACCTGAAGCCAACAAATCCAACTGTGCACAATCAGAGCAAAACACTTCACCATTTTCCTCCAACATGAAATAGAAAATTAAAGAATTAAACAAAATTTGAATAATGCTTCCTGATTGGTCCATGAGGTTCTTAAGCCGGCAGTGACTTTTAAAAAACTGAAACCTTGCAACATTTTTCTTTGGACAGTGCACATATGGACAACAGCGCCTAAAGTTAAAAGTGTCGAATGTTAATGTAACTGACTGTCTCATTAAGTGATGAGTTCAAAGTGTGATTTTGTGTAAAAAGTTTGTTCCTTAGTTTGGAGATATACCACCACATCACCCTTGAACATCATTGTGCAAATGTCGACATCCAGGGAGAGTTTGTAAGAAAGAAAAACTCAGAAATTATTGACCATTGTCTGCACAATGCAAAGAAGATTTTCCCAATGGTTCCATCTAGACTTATGTTTGTTTTCGTTATGTTAGTGATGATTTTCACTCTCAGAGTAATAAATATGACAGAGCTGTTTCAGTCATTATTTAAACTGTTCAACAATTTGCAACATTGATTCCCCTGCTCAATGTCATGCCAATTTGAATGTTCACATTAACTTTATCAGACGTTATTACATGGGTATGCTAATTTTCTTTTTTGTAAGAACCAGTTTCTGGCCATGGCTGCTTTTGACAACAATTCAGTAAAGGACTGTTCATAATTTAAGGCAAGGGTGGTGATTGATTTTGTACATGGAACTTACTTTGTACATACATATATGTGTATATGTGTGTGTGTGTGTGTGTGTGTGTGTGTGTGTGTGTTTTTTTTTTTCCTTTCTTTCTTTCTTTCTTTCTTTTTTGGGGGGTAGGGGGTGGGTGTGTTAAGGTGACTATTTTGGGTCAGTACTACAACAATTGTATCTGGCCTCCAAGAATAAATTATACTTGTTATAACTGTTAGTACAGATTGTAATAATTCATGACAGTCACAACAATTAAAATATTATTTGGTTTGAAAACTGGCCGTTACATACCATTTATATTCAAAATATCAATTACAGAGAAACCTAATTCGAAATCAACCTGAAAAATATTTCATTTGTCCATTCGAGAACAAATTGACATCAACGCTAAAAATAACCTATTTTTACTAGTGTCACGTGTTGTGTCACCTGACACTAACTTTGGATCATTGAAAACCTTATTGGGCGGTTTGAAATTGTTGTCAGTGATTGCTAGTAATATTGAATTGATAGGACACTGAGTTTAAGTCGCTTAAACTCTAGTATTGTACGCCAAAAAGTAATATATATTCTTCGGCAGTTCTCGATGCACATCCGGACACTCACGAAGCAACCCGAACACGAGCCAATATGGCAGCTGTGACGCCATGTCGAGAAGTCTGAACATGACACAGTGAATATTCAGGACATTTCCTGATGTTGGCCCGGCAAAGGCCGCGTTTGACTTCTTTAAAAACTTTGTTAATAGGTTTTTGTATTTATATTGATTGTGAGAAGGCTTCAAAGAGCATTTGGAGCTTTCGTTTCAATGTGAATGGAGTAATATGAATCTGGACTCACTTTCATTTGCGTTGGCAGAAATCAGTTATTCCGTTGCCAATCTAACAAAGAAAAATTTCAAAGCAAACGTTTCTGAGATATCACATGTAAGTATCAACCATGCTTGTTTAACGATTAATGAAATAGAATGTTGTTTTAACATGCAGATCATAAATATTTGGGAAATTGAGCCTTGACATTCACAGAGTACCTGTCGAGTTCGAAATTTAAGATCAGATATCACAATTTCTGCTATTCATTCATTTACAAAAATAATAGCATAACATACTGAATGTCCATTGACCAAATTTTATGGAAGCAAAGATTCACATTATGTGGAAAATCTGAAAGAGATTTGAATTCTGAAAAGATGTCACGGTTTCGTCAACATCAATGAAGATTGTGATTAATTATGCTTCAGTTTCATTTTATATCTGTATTTTGTCTGAAATAACGTTGAGTCATATGTCAGTTGACATTAACAGAAAAATGTAAAATAATAAGTAAGATTGCATACTGGAACTTTCTCAGTTTCTGATCAGTCATTTCCAAAAATACCACTGTCATAAGATTACAGCTGTGTCAGTCAGTTTTGCATGTCAGCGAATATTGTTCTCTGAACAGTTCATTTTATTAGGGAGAGGTGATGGAAAGACTTCCACCCATATCCCCACTTCGATTTCATCCTAGTCAAATCATATCACCTGAATATAATTCCTCATCTGATAAGGATGAGTTTTAACAAGTTTCTTTAATTGTATCTGAACATACTGAAAGACATTTCCAACTTCTAAAAATGCCACTCAAAGAAATATTTCTTCATCATTATAATTAAGAGGGCATACGGGCGGAAGTCTTGCCGAGGTGATGCATGATATCTAGTGTGTGTTGTATATTGTTTTAAATAAAACTGTTTGTTCCCCAACTGATAATGCTATTAACATAACTTATATTCACAGAAAAAATATCTTGTTTTTGAAATATTCATAGGCAACATCCAATGATTTCTGCATAATTCACATTTGCTCTACCACCATGGAAATTGGCAGTCTTTGACTCATGTTGACTCAGTTCATCTTCTCATTGTTAACTTTTTCAGGTCATGGGGAGGGCAGTAACATGTTAGATCTTTTCAGATCTCTGACCATGTAATGAAAGATACCATGTACACATTTCAATCATTGGTCTTTATGTACTGATTCCTTCACCATAATGATCTTATTTAGGCAGTTGCACATTAAAAGTTGGCTTTTTGTTTGTGTGAGTTCATTTGAGTATGAACTTTCATAGAGTGAGGGTCACACTGGATATACGTTTTGTACGTTAGAGCTTGCAATAATCAGACAAAATGATTTGCAAAATATATGTGCAGTTTGTGCCAGAATCACTTGAGTTGTCTAAAACTGTAATTGGTCGTAACATTCAACATGCATTGGTCTTAGCTTATGGACTAGTATAATGTGATCTTTCTAAACCTGAAGGAATTTTCTGTAACTCAGGTTTCAGATTAGTGGCTAATGTTATAGCCTGTTTGCAGACATTTAACAAATGATGTGCATTTGTATTGTTGCAGATTCATATGCGGTTATCATTTATGCATGCAGTAATGTAATCATTGTATCCAAATCATGATTTCGAAGGGCTTGGAGTTCTGTTGTGCCATGTGATTATCTTTAAGAGTCACCACGTTTACAACAGTACAGTTGAATATGGTGTTATTTTTATCTTCAATCAGTGGGGTCTTGCTGGCAATAATCCCTTCCGTTTCTTTGTATGCATCATGCCTTTTCATAATCCTTTCTCATGTGCATTTCTTAGATGGCCAGGTTGTGAAACCCTGAAAAAAGTAATGACCCCACTGTTAATTCTAATTTACATGTCCCCCTCCTGTCCCCAATTTTCTACATAAAATATATATAACTGAAACATGTATTTTTTATGGTAAGTCTAAGATGTATCAATCACATTATAATAGGACAGTTGATGGTGATCAATATTTTCTCCCACAATCAACTGGGACACGAAGGATTGACCACTAGGATAACTTTATTGTTACGGTAGATTTTGGGAACATTTGTGTTTGTGTTGCAGCTTGTCGCCCAGCACGGAGCGGAGGCTGATAGGCATCTGTTCCGGTGCCTCTTCTCTCACGTTGATTTCAGTGGTGATGGTAAAAGTAGTGGCAAGGACTTTCACCAGGTGGGTTATCATCAAGTTGTGATGGCTATTTTAAATAATCAGTTTGGCATTCTAGATAAATATTATTTATCTAGAATGCCAAACTGAGTTGTCGTGACAAGAAAAACATGGTTACTTATTGTTAAGAATTGGGAATTTTCTCATTGTCCTTACTTTCCTAAATTCAGAAGTAATTTTTGCCATGCACTTAATGCAGTAATGAATATTGACATATTAAAACCTTTTCTTATTCATTAAATGTTTACCAAGGCCCATCATTAAGGAGAAATGAAACGCCTTGGGGAAATTTTCAGTTGTAATTTCAGAATTTTAGCTGTTGTTTGATACAGACTTAGGATCAGATATCAGCCTCTAAGCAGGTTTGGATAATTCCCTGCTGATGTTTATGCATGCAAGGGGAATGATTGATTTAAATGTAGATATAGTGAAAAAATGACATTCCTCAGATCATGTTGATTTTGAGGCTACTTAGCTACTTTGAGTGATGTCTGTTCTGAGGCGATGTCTGCGCTTAAAATACTTGAGTAAACATGAAAAGGTTGGACTTACATTCTTTTCTTTTTGTGTGTGTCAGTAAATGAGCCTTCAGTTTCCTTTCCAGACTCAGTTTCTGATTCAAGAGTGTGGGTCACTTTTTAGTAAATCCAACTTTGTGTCAACATTGTGCTACGCCATCGACAATCCTCTACACCATCAAAAGGTAGATGCTTTTCCCATTACTAGGAATTCATGTAGATAATTTTCTGATATCTTTCACTGTTCATAATCATGATAATAAGACACTGTCTACCTGATGTTGTCTATTCTAAGACTCAATGCCTTGAAATATATGAGATTTCGCTTAAACAGACATACTTGATAGCATTGGTGGAATACAGGATTAGCTGCTGTTGGTGATTTGGGACCACATGATTTGATATTAGTATCAAGTTGATATTGGCAATACAAAATTTGTCCAAAGCCATACTAAACAATATGCGAGCAGTCTGTAAATAATTATTAATTGATTCTGGTTCAGATAATACACTGTGAGATTATGAGTATCTCTCTGCTCAATTATGATGCCATAACAAGCAACAATCCTGTCAGTTGACTCTTAGTCTTATGACAAACTTGGGTTTTGAAGGCCAGTTGTAACTTGGATCAGCACTGGGATCAGTAACAGTCCAAATGCTCAAACTAATTTATAGCAGTTACATGCATATATGTATAGTTTCTCTGCTCAGCATTCACTCTTTTCTACTGTCTCTATCAGAAGAATGACAAACCATTTCTGTTTGTTTTTAAGAGTTTGAAACCGTCATCACAGTTGTTTCCCCAGCTGAGTAAGGTTTTAAGGCTCACACGTGTACAGGAGGTTGTATTTGGCTTGGCGCTTCTCAACTCTGTAAGCCCTGATTCTCGTACCTACGCCACTCAGTACATCAAACAAAAACTTCCTGACTTACTGCGCTCATACGTGGATGCAGGTGAGTACATGGCTATGACTATACCTAGAATGGCGTCAGTGTGTATTGCCATAATTCAGGATGTCTGTATAAGTTTGTAACTTTTGTAGTGTGAACTCTATTTGCATGTCATGTGCCACTGCATTGCAATTTGAGGCATGAATCACATATAGTTGCACTAGAGTTGTCAATGAAACGGGTCTTTCTCTCAAAGTTAATTGTCAGCACACAGTCAATGATTTAACCCACTCAGCCAGCACAGCTTCCACAAAATGTTTTGATCACATACTTTGTGTATGCCTCGACAAGTGTAAATTGACATGGCCCCATAGCTGAAAGCTCTGAATGTAAAATGTCATTCAGAAAGTGCTCAGATGTAACCTTTTTGTCTATTGCACAGCTGATTGTTCTTATTCTATTTTTGGTATTTTCTGCTTACTGAGACTAATGTTGTGTATTTAAGACGTCAAGTCGACAGGAGGGTGGGCTTCAAGACGTCTGCATTGAAGTACTCCACCTGCTACTGACACACTTAGAGCGGGGAAAAGATCACTTTGGTATTGGCAGCGAACAGAAGGAGGCATTCCTGAAAACACTCAGAAGAGGTAATTAGTTCTGTGTTGACTACTATCACGGTGCAGTATCATCCAAGAATATCTCATCCTCTGTGGATAAAGCAGGGGTTATGCCTGATGCTGTTCAGATTTTGTGTCACAAAAAAACATCCAGTGATTTTGTTCAGAAATACCCTGGTTATGATGTTTGGCGTACCCTTGTTGGTGGATTTAATCTTTGGGGTTTTGTTCCACTCTAGACTGGCACACCATGGTAGGACTGAAAGACTTTTAAGCTGCATTATACCAAAGCTACTATCTCTTTGAAGAGTTGCAAATGGCCAGTGTTCCTAGGTGGTAGATTCAGGGTGGTGTAACACATGCTGTGCAGAGTTACATCTGTATCCATCTCTTTTTGTGCTGGTCTAGGGTTAAAATCCCAGTTGCCCTGAATATAAACTTTGTCTTTTTCAGTTAACAATACTATTGCATACTAAGACAATAAAACCAAATGACATTTTTCTGATATTAATCACAAAAGAAGTTGGATAGTTGGGGATTCTTCCCATTTTGAAAAATTTAGTATTTAGTAAAGTATGTTGTTTTGTCAATTAATTACAAATGGAAACATAAGAGGTGAATGAATGTCTGTGCAGGTAGTAACTTAAATCACAGAGATTATGACAAAACTTGCCAATATGTTTCACCCAATATACCAGTATTTCAGTACTTTTCATTTGAAAAGCGTGTTGCAGTAAACAGGTAATACTGTGCAGTATTGCACACAATGAAGTGGACGTAGATTTGGTATAATGCTGCTTAAAAGTCTTTCAGTCATACCATGGTACTGGTACTACTCTTTGGTCTCTCATCCATGCAGACTCTCTCTTATTATACCCCCTCTACGAAATAACAGGGGTATATAGCGTTCATTCTGTCCTTCCGTCTGTCCGTCCTTACGTCCCGAAACTTTGTCCGTAGCATATCTCTTAAAGTTTACATGCTAGGTTCACCAAACATCACACACATGTTAATCATTACCCATTGATGTGCCTTTTGCTATTTTATTTTTTTTTCAGAATTTTGTTTTATTGCTGTTTCCATGGAAACACGACTTGGTGCCAAATGTGTTTGATGGTTTTGTCCGGAGCATATCTCTTAAAGTTTACATGCTAGGTTCACCAAACTTCACACACATGTTAATCATTACTCATTGATGTGCCTTTTGCTATTTTTTTTTCTTCAGAATTTTGTTTTTTGGCTGTTTCCATGGAAACACGACTTAGTGCAAAATGTGTTTGATGGTCACCTGGCCACAGCATATCATCCCAAACTATACATGCTAGGTTCACCAAACTTAATACACAAGTTAATCATGACCCACAGATATGCCATGTGCTAAAAAATAACAATCTTCATCTACGTCCACTTCATTGTGTGCAACATGAGACAGTCAAGTTCAATTGTATATCAGGTTTCCACGGAAAACACAAACAAATCATGTTTCCATAAATTATTACTGTAATCCGTACATGGCAAAACTATTATCTAACATGTATATAAAGTTTAGTAGAGTCAAGGAGAAAGTTTTGTGAGCTGCTGATCCTTGTCACATTATATATATCAATATCAGTCATTTCAATCCCCCAAAGTGGGAAGCGGGGGTATGTGAGCTGTGCTCACTTCTACTCTTGTATCAATTGGTTCTGCAGCATTTCATTGTCTAACCAATCACAAGCAATCTGTCTAGGTATACATCCCTGATTACATGTGTGCATTTTATGTGTTAATGAGTCGTTCAACCGGAAGTACTTTAGAGATATTGTCTTTAATATATTTGCGTTTATCGAGTTATTAGTGTGAACATGGTCTGAACACTTTGTAAGAACAAGGGAATGACGAAGAGTTTGATTCAACTTCACTAACCTGATGTTATGTATACACATCTTAAGACATGTCGTGGTTGCAGATTTTCCCCGAGAACGAGCACCAGCAGTTCTTTCTCCTTTACTGTTCCCCAACACTGAAGACATACCCATAGAGAAACTTGCAGATACACTCAGCATGCCCAAGTCAATGGTTGGTATAAACATTCGTTCATTTAGATAAACCACTGTTTATACCTGTAACTATATTCTGAATGTTTGTGAATGATGAAAAAGCATGAAGACAATTTAGTTTTAATTCTCCTGGTGGACAATACTTTATTATGCATTTTGATGCACTCAGTTAAGAATTATCTTGCATTTCACTTGTTTTCTGCAATTTTTGTAGCTTTGTTGGTGATTTTGTTTTGCTGTACAGCGTGTGAACCTTTTCTTTCACTTATTCCAGATGGATGCCTCTCTGGCAGACATGATACTGGAGGCAGGATACAGCTGTACCTCTACGATACGTATCAGTGTTTGCTTTCACAGTAAAGATGAGACCCTGGAAATCAGTCCGTATGTCTTTGTAAATGCATTCATTGACAATTGGAATTGTTGTACTTATTGTGTTGGTAAATATATTTATTAATAATGGGTAATTATTGTACTTCCAGTGTTGAAGAATGCAGGAACCATCTTATGCAGTTTGGTTTCCGAGAGTTGACACCTACCTCGGTTGCCCGAGTCCTAGGGATGATGGCCCACACGCCCACAGGACTGGGAGAGTCGCAGCCAGCACCGGTAGGACTTGCACTTTGTAGAACAAGACAGATTCTTCTGCATGAATGTTTCACTTGATACATTTTGCCATTTTAGTATCTGTAACTTCAAGGATATTCAACTAGTGATAGTAGCACACATATTTCATGAAATAGACATATAATAATTATCTGTTGATATGTTTACATGACAGTTATAAACAATGTTTGATTTTCATGTTGTGTATTTCAGACCTCCGTGGCTGTTGGTAGTGGATGGTCGGACAAAGACAGAATAGACACACCAGGAGTAACAACTTGGAATGTAGAGATCTTTGTGCAGGTTGTGAAGGATCTTGTAAGTACACCTCAGAGGTTAAGCATGTCAGCACAATAACTGGTGGTGGGTGTTCTCTAAACACTTTCATATACAGAAGTGTAATATGTTGCTCAACTACTTACATTGATGGTCAGACTCAGTGACGTGACTCAGTGACGTAGCACATCAATGTCAGAACGATAGCGGGGATTTTCTCGCATTATCACGCTATAAACGGGAATTGTAGTGGCCGATCAAAAACATATAACGGTCAGAAATGTAAGACGATAGGATACTTAATGATCCAAAGACCCTGCAAATATAAGTAACTTGCTAGCGTTAACAATTGACACGTGTTGACAACATCCCGGAAGTTAGTTCGCTAACGTAGGTATTTGACTATGAAATGACCATCCAAACGATTAAAATCGGTTGATTATCGATCTAACACTAGCGATTATCGATCTGACAAAATGTAACGAAACCAGCTCATTGTTCACTTAGTTCAACATTCAGTTGCTCCCATTATACACACATGACCTGTTTCTGTAGGCACCACTTCTTAACTGGAAGGAGGTGGTTGGCCAGCTGGATCACAAGGGCTTCTATGTGAACAACAAGAAAGGCCTGAAGCTGCTGATGGAGGGCTTGTTCCGAGGCCTTCAAGACATCTTCCCAGTAGAGTACATCTTCAAGCCATGGAGTAACACAGAAGGACAGGTACAGCAAACATACACCTATGATGTTCTTGGTAGCATTAGTCTTCAGTAACCCATGCTTGTCAGAAGAGCTGGAATATTACCGAGTGTGACATTCAACATACTGCCTACATTCGTATGGTTGTGTCCTTTCTCCAAAGAGAACAGTGCCTCAGTAAATTAGGCATTATCAACAGTGTATGGACATGAGCCTCATGTTCTCCCATAGTAGCATGGTATAATAAGGATATCATATAAGCCTCGCTAAAGCTAGTTACAAGTTTGGATTGTAAGCGTATGTGTGATAACCCTTGGCATCATCTCTGACAAACAGTTCAGTTCAGTGATACTATTGGTAATCAGCCCACAAAAGTGTTCGCAACTAACATTTACATTGTTTCTCCAATATGTACAGAAGTGTCATGAACAAGAAACAAGATGATTATGTCCATGTTCACGGAAGTTTTGTTTTTCATCTATTATGCTTCATGCAGCTAAAAACTTTCTGGGTTAGCATCAAGAAGATTCATGAAATGACCTTTGTGTTTCAGCTATCATTTATCATACAGTCATTGCGGAATCCTGATGTCTTCAGTTTTGCGGACTACCCAGGTGATACAGTGGTCATTGACATCCTCAAATCCACACCCAATGATGAGGACAGAGAGGTTGCTACTTGGTATGTATAATGTAGTTAACAACGTTATAACCAGTGTGATGTGCAGACTTGATAGAGCAGGTATCATGTAATGCACATGATATTTCTTTTTCATAGAGATCGTCCTTGGGGTACATATGCATTTGCTGCGGCTGAAAATGTCATGTGACAGTTGTATCAATGTTTTAATAAAAATATTGTACAATAAATATAAATCTTTTTTATCTATTATACGGCCCCCACCACGTGGAGTTACCTCCCTGCTACGCATGCGCAGCAATCCAGGTAAGCACCTAGGCCCGTATCATCATTCCTTCTACTGTCACTTAAGCATTCACATGTGTTCCGAGTTACTAGCTGATTTATTTTTCTTGTGAAGAATGTCTGAGACTTCAACAACTGTATGTATGGTCTTTATTCGTTCTTGAAAGAAAAAGAACAGTTTTATTGATTTTGCAGTCTGTTATTTCTCATTTATGTGACTTTGTATTAAATTTTCTACGCTAACTTTCCCGTGGTTTACACACATGTTGCTATTCCATGGCGGGAAGTTTAGCGTGCTACGTGGTTGAAATATTGCGTTATTAACCAAGTACTTCATGTTGCGTGGTCACATTCACGTAATTTTCAATGTTTTGTACGTGTATATTTATGCTGTTGTGTTCCACCGTTAGCTACATGCTTGCGTGTTTGCTTTCAGGCATTTACTGGGTGTACTGTCTGCGGGCAGAATATCCCTAGAGCTGATAAGCATGACAAATGCTTGTGCTGTTTAGAGAAAGCAGGGCATAACCCAGAAACCTGCGAACTGTGTATGGCCTTTTCCCCCGGGCCCAGAAGAGACGGTCGGCTGATTTCCTTTTTTTTATAAGAAATTGCAGAGGCGGGAGGGAAACTGACAAAGGAGGTTCCCCCGTCCAAAGCCAAAAAGGGTCAACAAGCTAAACCTAGGTCTTCGCATAAGTCGCATTCCCAATCTCAATCACAGGGGTGGAAATAACCCATTGCCCGGCGTCCAAGTCCAGTGCTGTCGGGCAAGCAAATTTGTGTATCACACTGTACAGGTGTCCAATTGACTTTCCATTGCAAATTATGTTGTTTATTTGAAAGATCAACAAGAAAACGGCTGGTACAGTGGAAAAATTATCAGGGCAAGTGATTTTACATGTGCCGTTGTACCGGAGTACACTAGCAATTTTTAAGTTATTTCCGCCCCTGAATCCCAATCTAGTGGTTTTGATATGTCAATCATCACTCAATTGTTTCAGCAGCCTATTGACTCTGTGAAGTCCCTTGTTCATGAGTCCGTTAGAGGTCTCCGCCAGGAGTTCCTCGCCCACTCTGAATGGGGGACCGAGAGTCCGGGGGGTGGGTTCGCTCCCAGTCCCCCTCTCGGTGCTGGCACAGGGTCCGTTGAGGATTCCTGATGTTCCAATCCCTGTGCCACCCCGCCCTATGAGAGAGGAGGAGCCGGTTCTGTCCGGGCTTCCTCTTGTATCTCGGGACCGGGGTTCGAGTATTGTGTCGGTTGCCGGAGCGGAGAGTTCCTTCGGCGCTTCCCTTCCCACAGCGCCTGTGGCTCGGCCTCTCACCGGGTCGGGGTTCGGCTCCTCTTCACGTGGAGACCCGAAATCTGACTCGGGATCGGGTGCCGAGTCTATGGAGGTTGGGGAGGTCTACGAGTCGGAGGGTACTTTCCGTTTCTCGTCCGCTCTCCGGGATGTTAGGCAACGTATTGCCGGGTATATACCCCAAGCCGCGGTGCCGACATGTCGCTCAGACTCGACTGAGTTCCGCCTGCCGGGTGAGGCGTTTGCCCCTAGGCAACCCTCCCAGACATAGCTCCGTATCTTGCCTTCCCTTGTGATGGATCCCCTCCTGGTTGGGTCACGCCTTCGGTTCGATTTACCCGAACTTATTAAGAGGTACCAGCTGGGGGATGATTCTCTGTTCTTTGTGCCGGTGTTTCACGAGTACGTGTTCACTTCGGTTGCCCTCGGGGGAGGGTTGGCTTCCTCAGGTGCAGCCCTGGCTGCTAAGCAAGGGCGGTTAGTTCCACTGTTTGCCCTAGCGGGCGCCGCCCCTACTGGGGACGTTTCCCCGAACGTTGTTCTGCTTCGCCAATTATCCGAAGTGCAGGCCCACCTGACGCGAGACTCTTTGCGGTCTGCTGTGTCCACGGTGATGTGCACAGTCATGGGGATGCGCAAGCTGTGGCTGTCTACATCTCGTTATTCAGCAGCAACACAGCTGACCTTGCTGGCCTTTCCGTTTCGGCTGGGAACGACATATCCGGGGGCGCAGCAGGTCAATCGGGAGGCTGCTGCAGCAGCTACCTCCTTCAAGGATTCTAAGGCCTAGTTGGAGCAACAGCTGGTTTCTGGCTCCCGTAGCAGGTTCTTCCTCTGGGGCGCAGCCTATGCCCGAGTCTGCCAGCTGGCTTAGGCCGCTGGGTAGAGGTAGGAGGAGGAGCCGTCCCGCCAAAGGCAAGGGCAAGGAGCAGGCCTCTTTGTCTGGCTCCCAGCAGCCTTTTCGCGGTCGTGGGGGGTCTGCCCTGACCTCCCGTTAAACCTGCAGGCTGTCGCCGTGGGTCCATCCTAGTCAGTTCATCTGCAGGGGACCACTCACGCCCTCTTACCACACGTCCCAGTGGGGGTCCGCTTCTCTCTATTCCTGCCCTGACCTCCCGTTAAACCTGCAGGCTGTCACCGTGGGTCCGTCCTAGTCAGTTCATCTGCAGGTGACCACTCACGCCCTCTTACCACACGTCCCAGTGGGGGGCCGCTTCTCTCTATTCCTGCCAGAGTGGGAGAAGGCTACCAGCAACACTTGGGTGCTATCCAACGTCAGTGTCGGCCATCTACCACTGTGGAAGCGAGGCCTGCCAGAGTTCACCGGCATGCGTTGCACTCCGGTGCCGTCATGTCCGGTCAAGGCGGGTGTACTGCGAGACGAAGTTCAGGCTTTGCTGGACAAATCAGCAATCCGCATACCACCGGGCGAGGAACCGGCAGGGTTTTATTCCACGTACTTTCTTGTTCCGAAGAAGGACGGCGGGTTCCGTCCCTTTCTCAACCTAAAGGGGTTGAATCGCACGCTAGAGGTTCCATCCTTCAAGATGGAGACACTTCGCTCGGTGATCTCCTCTGTTCAGCCCGGCGATTGGCTTACGTTGATCGACCTAAAGGATGCGTATCGACATGTGCCAATTCATCCATGGTTCAAGCAGTACCTCCGGTTCTCTTACGACGGGATGTATTACCAATTCACGGTGCTCCCCTTCGTCATATCCACTGCCCCCAGGGTTTTCACCAAGCTCATGTTAGTGCCGGCTACCCTCGCAAGATCGCAAGGAAGGCGTTGTTACCCTTACCTAGACGACTGGTTGCTCAACGCTCTAACTCAGCCAGCGAGCCTAGATTCTACCCACACGGTGATAGACATTCTAGTTTGGCTAGGGTGGATCATAAACCTCAAGAAATCCGACCTGGTACCCACCCAGGACTTGGTTTTTCTCGGGGTGTGGTTCACAACTCACAAGGGTCTTGTCTCGTCGCCCGACCGGGTCAGCAGACTACGTGAGATGGTGTCTTCGTTCCTCTCCCAGCCCCAGGCACCAGCACGGACTTGGCTCCGTCTACTGGGTCATAAGGCGGCAACTATCTCTGTTGAGGATGCGCCCTATACAGCAAGCTTTAGCGAGTCTGTGGGCTCACTCGGAGGATCTGGAAAAGTGTCTCACAGTCACCGGGTGGTTGTCTCCTCACCTTCAGTGGTGGACCAATGTCTGGAATCTCTCCAAGGGGGTCCCTTTGGAAATCCCGACGCCAGCTCTTACCGTTCAAACCAATGCGTCCCCCACGGGCTGGGTGTGTGTTCTGGGCAGTCTGTCAGTGTCCAGACTCAGGTCAGAAGCCGAAGCCCTGGTGGCTCGTCTTCAGTTGGACAACCGTACGGCCATGACGTACATCCTGAAGCAAGGTGGCACGGTGTCCCTAGAGCTCCTTCGGGAGACGTTGGAATTTCTCCTCTGGTGCGACCAGTGTGACTGTCAGGTGATTCCTGTTTATCTCTCGGGGCTGGAGAACGTGCAAGCAGACGCTCTCTCTCGGCGGATCCTGGCCCCGTACGAGTGGATGCTCGACCGGCAGATATTCGGAGTTATATCCAGTTTTACTGATTGTTCCAGGTGGATCCGTTTGCATCCGGCGGGACGAATCAGATACCCATGTTCTGCTCTCGAATACCCGACCAGAGGGCGTTGGCTTCCGACGCGTTCCTGCAGGATTGGACGGGCAAGGTGCTGTGGGCGTTTCCGCCTCTACCTCTCATTCCCCGGGTCCTCCCCCAGCTGTCCACCCAGCCAGCTCGGCTACTTGTGCTACTGGCACCGCTTTGGCCATCACAGAGCTGGTTTCTGGTAATTCTCAGCTGGCTCAGCCTCCTGTTCTATTACCTTTGCGACCGGACATCCAAGGATTCAGTGGATGACTTGGCCTCTGTCAGGTCTAACCTCAAGTCACGTGGAATTCCTGCAGCAGTTGCAGACACAATTCTGGCTTCGAGGCGGGATTCAACAAACGTTCAATATGAGGATAGGTGGTCCCGCTATGAGCTCTCTCTCGTTGGATGTCCGTAAGACCCTCAAGGTCTATATCAAACGAACACAAGGGATCCGTACGGGTACCCATCTGTTCTGCTGTTACGGTGGCAGGAAGGCTGGGATGCCGGCTAGCAAACAGACCCTATCTCGCTGGCTTGTATAGGTCATTTGTAGTGCTTATCAGGCTATGGGCAAGCCTCCCCCTGAGGGGTTGAAGGCTCACTCGGTCAGGGCAGTGGCCACTTCAAAGGCTTTTGCATCGGCACTGCCCATTGAAGAGATATGCTCTGCCGCTATTTGGAGCAGGCCTAGCACTTTTATAAGGCTCTATTAGCTTGATGCACATTCACGTGATCGAGCGCATTTTGGCCGTTCTGTTCTCTCCAGTGGACAGTGTCCTGCCACCCTGACCGAGTGAGTCTTGGTTATCTGGACAGTTGACGCTGTTTTTCAATTGTGTATAATTGATATATCCGCTGTTGACATATCTAACTACTTTCGATTTCTCTCATGAGATACTGGTCGGTTGTACGTTGGCTTCCCCCTTATGGTGCTCTTTATAGATTCACGATGTGGGCAGGGTTTTTTACTTTCGCACAGTGTGCAAACTGTCTTGCTTAACTTGTGAGGTTTGGTCTCAGTACGTTCCTCCCTGTCGGTTACCCTCCCATCATGCCTCTCACAGAAGCTTCGGGACACGTGACAGATGAGTGTTATGGCGTCAGTTCCTTTCTCAAGAACGATCGCTATTTATTTGTACTCTGACAGAATTCCCTCCTCCCTAGCCTCTGGTCTTTGGGAGTCTGAGTTAATGCATATATGTACCCCAAGGACGATCTCTATGAAAAAGAATTAGCTAATCCCTGTAGAGGTTTCCAATTCTTTGAAGAGAATTGTTCTTGGGGTTGGGCCACCAACCTCCCCGCAGTTCTGTTCACTGATTTATTCAGCAGAAAGAATGATGATACGGGCCTAGGTGCTTACCTGGTGTGCTGTGAATGCGTAGCAGGGAGGTAACTCAACGTGGTGGGGGCCGTATAATAGATAAAAAAAGATGTATTTATTGTACAATATTTTTATTAAAACATTGATACAACTGTCACATGACATTTTCAGCCGCAGCAAATGCATATATATACCCCAAGGACGATTCTCTTCAAAGAATTGGAAACCTCTACAGGTTTAGCTAAGTTTCAGTAAATATAGTTGAATTTAAGAAGCTTATTACCCAGGAATGGTGGAGTGGTCTACTGGTTGAGCAGTTGTTTGAAATGTCAAAGGTTCAAGTTTGATTACCCACCAAGGTAGCCATGTCAAAGGTTCAAGATTGATTACCAGTGATGATACCTAATCAAAGGTCCAGGTTTGATGTTCCACTATATGGTGCAATATGCGAAACCTATTTCTGATGTCCCCCTGCCGTGATGTTGCTGGAAAACCACTGAGACATCAGCATAAAGCTATATTTACTCAATATTTCCTCAATTGTTTAACCTGGTTTGAATTTACTGGGCTTATAGGACGAGACAAACAAGTTGAACATGACTTTGCCTTATTGCAGGAAATCCTTGAACCTGGTGGAGTCATTGCTGCGTCTGGCAGAGGCAGGCCACTACCAGGCAGTCTGGGATCTGTTCAAATACCCCTCCCAGAAGTGCCCTGATATGCTAGTCCTTGCCCTGTTGCAAACAACAGTATGTATTATATCAGTCCACACTCTCCAATGATTTCAGCAACCCATGCTTGCCATTGAAGGCGAGTATTGGGATAAGATGAATGGTATCATATCCCTATTGTGTAGATCAATATTCATTATGTTAATTACTGGCTTGTTTGGTCCAGACTGTTATATGTACCTGTAATTGTGCTGAGTGTGGTGTTCAATAACAAAAAACAACCTGTTAGATGTGGTCTGGGAATAGAAGTCTGTCTTGGGCACTTCACTCTGGGAAATGAGTTTTGCCTTGGTAGACGTTAGTTTGCCCATTCAATAGTGTTGGGAATTGGTTAAAATCTCATAATTGATGATTGGTCCATTCCAACCGATCAATCATCGAAAATAATTGGTTAGCATCATTTATTAAATGTTCCTGTTATCTTTGTTAATGCACAAAATAAATAACGAAAATACATGTAGTTCTTTGGTTGTTTTGCAAATTGCACAAAATGCATTTTCATATTTCACATAGGCCAGTATGTTAGGGACATAAATTTCCTGGAATCTATAAGATAAATTCAATCATGACTTGGAACGAGCTTGTAGTGCTATGAAATGTAAATTTAATGACACAGACAAACCAACCTTGTGAAAAAATATTGTTAATGCAAACAAGTGCTCCAAAATTGTTTGTGTTCGATTATGAGAAAACATTTTCGATTGCTTGGTCGTTTGGTCATTGCGACCAATCTTCGATTTTTTCAATTAATCTGACCACCACTACCATTCAAGCATGTTATTCAGACGTTGATTGTTATTTCTTCATTGAAGTCCTGTTGCTTTCATTTCTGTCTTAGAATTGGCCATCAGCAAACCATGCTTGTCGTAAGGGAGCGTCTAACGGGTTGGGTGATCAGGCACGTTGACTTGGTTGACACATGCCATTGTATCACAATTGCGTAGATCAATACTCTTGTTGTTGATCACTGGAATGTTTGGTCCAGACTCAGTTATTTACGGAATGATGCGAAATAGCTGGAATATTGCTGAGTCATACGCTAAACATCAAATAAACATTTGTCTTCAGTAAAAGAACCAGCAGGACAGACATGTTTCTAATGATGATCTTAGTGACTTTTTTAAAGTCATCAATGCCCAAGTTTTATCCGTGAAATTCTTCACTTTCAGCCTACATGGAACACCATCAAACAAGAACTGATCGCAACTCTTATGCCAATTTTCTTAGGCAGCCATGCAAATTCCGCTGTGGTTCTCCATTATGCTTGGCACCATCAGGTACACTTGTCATGAGTCCTGGTAACATGTTCCTTTTGCTTCCATAAAGTGATTGTACAGTAACTTTTACAGGATCAGATTATTCTAGTCAGTGACCATAATCTGAAGCCTGTGCTGAGCAATTGTTCTTATAAGCTCAGCTTATAGTTGTCCATGTAATGTACTGAAATTTAGTGGAGACCCAAATGTTTGTGGTGCAGAATGATTGAATTTAGCATGCTTATTTACTTTCCCCAATTGTTTGTTCATTCAACTGTACTTGATTGAGAAATGGGCTCACTTTGATCAAAGTATTTTTTCATTAAAACAGAGCATTCTGACTTTATATTCCTGACTTTACCAACAAACTTGCCCATGCTTGTCTCTCCAGGCCTGCAGATAATATCAACCTATGTGTTTTTCTCTTTATAGGGACACTCCAGTACAATTCGGACGCTTATAATGCACTCAATGGCAGAATGGTACATGAGAGGGGAGCCTCATGATCAGACTCGACTGTCACGGATTTTGGATGTTGCACAAGATCTAAAGGTATGGTTCTTGTACAATATACTTGTAGGTCTGTGTTGAATTCTCATCGGTGTAAATGTTGTTTGTATCGCTGTCTTATTATAGTAACATGCCAGTTTCAAATGTCAATCTGTGATAGGTCAAGGTAGTTCTTCACATTTTTATTTGTATAACAAATGCTTTTATGTATTGTTTTTGAGATATGGCTGAGGCACTGCCAATTTTATCATGTAAATTAGTCACGTATGCCTGAACAAAGTATCCTCAATCTTAACTCATTTGCTGTTTTGGTTGATGTTAGTTGTATTTGACAGTGAATTCCACACTTGTGTCATTCTGGCACTTTCATTACCCAACATATGCTTGACAATACCTCTTGAGGCTAGCCTCTCTTGTTTGTTGGTAGACTTGTGGGTAGTAGATGATATTTGATCAGATCATTCCATATTAGGTCAACACATAACCAATGTTGTTTGTTATAGTGGTGACAACTCTGCCTGACGGTTGTATGTTTGTTTGCAGGCCCTCTCCATGCTGCTGAATGCCACCCCATTTGCATTTGTGATTGACCTTGCGTGCCTCGCCTCTAGACGAGAGTACCTGAAACTGGACAAGTGGTTGACAGACAAGATCGGAGAACACAAGGTTGGACATTTAGATTCTGTTGTCTGTGTGACATTTATACATTACTATTGAGTGACATAAATGACACTATTTGAAGATGGTTTCGTTTCAGGAACCATTCATTCAAGCCTGTGTAACGTTCCTGAAGAGACGATGTCCTCAGCTGGTCGGTGCACCGGTGAAGGAAGAACTGCCACAAATGAAGAGCCAACAGTTGCCACCAGATACAATTGTAACTATGCTCACCTGCCTGAAGACCTGGGCCAAGTATGTAACATCAGTCTTCCTTGTATTCTCTAGGATTAATTTCGCAGAAAAAATGTGTTCATTCTATGAAACAGTGTGCCTACTTTGTGGAGGTTCATGTATCGTTTCCAATTTTGTTTCTCTTATTAACACTACATGACTGAATGATTGTTGCCTTTACAGCCAAGTGTCTCAAGAGCTGTCGGAATCCATTGCGACGATGTTCACCAATGCAAGTTTGATTCTCAACCGCAACAGACAAGCACCACCCGGTGTAGTAGGCCCCAAGCAGCCACCACAGCAGCCCCCAGCAAACTTCACTCCATCAGGCATGGTTAACCCCGTGAGTACAAACCATCACATTTAACTAACAACTTGAAACATGTTGGATATTATTGTGAAAAGCTGTTTGAGGGTTCATCTAAATCTATTTTCTAACATAGTTCTTTTGAATCCATAACAGACCAACAGTATTCTGATGTTTGTGAACAATTCATTAGATGGTGTACATCCAATGTATCCGGCATGTAATGCTGGGGGATATAGTCAACCCCTCGTCGATCTGTTTGTAATCATTTCGTTTCCGGAACATAACTGAAAAACGTTCGATATATTTCAACAAAAATTTGTACATATATATCAAACAGAACTTGAAGTGGTGCCTTTTGCTATATTCAGATTTTTGGCATTTTTAATTTTCTGGATTTCCATATAAACAATTTGGACTTAGTCTAAAAAATTCAAGTTAGACTTTAGGTTACTGTCAGATGATTTGTTCTTTGTAGGGGCCGGGGTGATTTGCCATCTTCTGATGACTTTTGTTGATTAGGATGATGTTTGAGATGGTAAATATCAATCATATTATTTCTGACAGATGGATCCCCTTTCTAACATTGGCAATGTCCTAGCACCACCCACACAGTCAGCAGTAGGTTCCGGGGCCTCCTCGGCCTTCCCTACAAGTGGGATCACGTCAGCCTTCCCAACCACCGGTGCATCATCAGCTTTTCCATCCAGTGCATCCTCAGCATTCCCATCTACAGGGCTATCATCTGGCTTTCCCACAAGTGTTGGATCATCAGGCTTTCCCACAAGTGTTGGGTCATCAGTCTTTCCTACCAGTGTTGGTTCATCTGCGTTTCCCACAAGTGTTGGTTCCTCAGCTTTCCCCACAAGTGCTGGCTCATCTGCCTTCCCGACTAGTGCTGGCTCATCTGCCTTCCCTACAAGTGTTGGCTCATCGGCTTTCCCTACAAGTGTTGGCTCTTCGGCCTTCCCTACGAGTGGTGGTTCATCAGCTTTCCCAACAAGTGTTGGATCTTCAGCTTTCCCAACAAGTGTTGGATCTTCAGCCTTTCCCACGAGTGTTGGATCATCTGGTTTCCCATCAAGTGGGTCCACACCTTTCCCATCAAGTGGTTCAACACCTTTCCCATCAAGTGGTTCAACACCTTTCCCATCAAGTGGTTCAACACCTTTCCCATCAAGTGGGTCCACGCCATTTCCATCAAGTGGGTCCACACCGTTTCCGTCAGGGTCTACGCCGTTTCCGTCGGGGTCCACACCGTTTCCATCAGGGTCCACACCTTTTCCTGCCGGGGGATCTTCAGGCTTTCCTCAATCACTGGCTGGATCTGTTGCACCAGGCTCTCCTTCCAAAGGCTTCTCTGGAATCTCTCAACAGAATAACACAGCATTCAACCCCATTCAGTCATTATCGTCCCAGTTTCAAAGTAAGTTGTAATTGATTTTGAATATTTTTACTCATGATCTGTTTCACTGGTATTTTAGAACTTGGTGAATAAAAATATAGGCAATATACTTTATGGATAACAACTTTGTTATTATTTAAGACATTTGTATGTTTAGATGTAGAGATATGTTAATATAGTCGAGATGTTATCCATAAAGTATCTTGCCTTTCTTGTTAAATTGTATCCAGGCATTATACCATAGTACTGGTGATCCTTTTCAAACTGACCCGTGAAGATCCAGGTTAGAATTGGCCTTCAGCAACCTATGCTTGTCCTAAAAGGTGACTAACGGGATCGGGTGGTCAGGCTTGCTGACTTTGTTGACGCATATCATCATATTCCAGCTGGTAGATCGATGATCGTGATATTGCTCACTGGATTGTCTGGTCCAGACTCGATTATTTACATACCACTGAATTAAAGATGGAATATTGCTGAGTGCGGCATTAAATAACAAACAAACCAACCAACCAAACTTTTCAAACTGTATAATATCTGGAAACTCTTCATGTTTGTCAAAAGAAAGATCAAGTCTGAATATTGCTTGATAGGCTTCAGCAGTCTGTTTGGTACTGATGGGTTGTCTTCATGTCTGCTTATTGATTGCTCTGTATGTTGGACGTGGGGCTTAACTAAAAGATTTGATGGGTATGCTTCTGAACAGATGACAGTAACTTGAGATCATGATGTTTATTTCCTTGTGCAAAGTATTTTGTCATCCCTTCCAGATCTTGGGTTCCAGACCCCCATATCTACAGCCATGGGTCCCCCAAGGAATCCAGTTAACTCTCTTGCCAATCTGAGTGCCCAGGTGGCTGTGAAACAAGGGGCATCCTCAGCTGACAGGATTAGCACAAGGCCCACTGGAAGTAGGGCATTATCACGTCTTGCTAAGCATGACAAGTTTTCCTTTGAGATTTTTTTTTTGGACACTAAAATCCATAACATCCTTGGAATCTTACCACACCCTCATTGTCTAGCGTAATTCCATGACTTTCTCTTCCTATCCCAAAGGGCGGTGGGGTAGCCTAGTGGTTAAAGCATTTGCTCGTCACGCCGAAGGCCCGGGTTCGAATCCCCACATGGGTACAATGTGTGAAGCCCATTTCTGGTGTCCCCCGCCGTGATGTAGCTGGAATATTGCTAAAAGCGGCGTAAAACAGCAGCAGTCAGTCAGTCAGTCAGTCAGTCCTATCCCAAAACACCATTTTCTTGATTGGTTCTTTAATATTCTCAGTCTCTTCCAACAACACTAGGGGCGGTGGGGTAGCCTAGTGGCTAAAGCGTTTTTGGAGATAATGCAGTTACAACATATGTCTCATTCTGGACTCATATAAAGTGACACCCAGTTGCAAATGAATCAGACCCTGTAAATCTGGATTAGAATTGGTTTTCGACAACACATTCTTCGATAAATTGATTAACTCTTTCAACACCAGTCAACCAGAGGCATTTACTGCCGTGACACCGAGTTCCCAGAGACCCTGAGGTCATAGATGAAGCCTATGTTTATGAAGGAAATTATAAGCTTGTAAAACGTTATTGCTACTACATCCCATACACCATTTAAAAGATCTAATCCTACTGTTTTTAAATATGAAGTTTATTTTTATAATATTATTCAAATAATACAACTACAACTTAAATAAATGTATTTTTGAATGAAAATGCAAGCTTACATTTATAACGTCCAGATAAACCACGAAAGAAGCAAAAACTATGGCGATTTTTTCCATTTGTGACATGTGATAACATGCCCGTGCCTTTTCTTTTATATTTTCATTTTACGTCATCAGAAAATTATTATAAAAAGATTTCTTAAATAATATGTATGGTTAGCCTATTTCCCGATATCTGTGGCTTTCCGCTCGGTAACATGACATAACAACGGAAAATACCTCCGTTTTGAAGCCATTATGCATAACGTCGAGGCCGAATCGTTTGATGGCGGGCATCGTTGAAAGCTCTGAACATCAACAATATCACTGTACCCTTGCCAAGAGTATTTTCACAGTTGTAAGAAGCGATTTTATTGGATAAAGATTGGTTTCTAATGGCTTTTTTCGCCACAGTCTGCTATAAGGGTCGTGATTGGTCAAAATCAGACACGTGACCTAAGGCAGCCAATCATATTACGGCAATGGATACCGTCCTCGTAAAGCGAAAACCTTCAGATTTAGACAAAAGTTTTGGGTAAAATAATGCTATTCTGAACATATTAAGCAAGAAATCGCTACCTGTGCACGTAAATTATGGAACTTATTGGACGTATCGTGCTAGGTTATGACCTGTGACAAAAATGCTTCATGTATATATTTTCGCATTAAACATCGTGTCCGGCGTGAAGATTGAGGCGGCGAGAGCGAGATGTCACTTTCGTCAGTGACTTGACTTGCATTACATGATCGCACAAAAGATGGAAATAGTAATTTTATATGCACGTTTGACAACTTTTATGAATGTTGTTGTTGATTTTATTCATTAGTTTATTCAATTTATTCAATGAATTCCTCGAAACATCGTTACTTTGCTCTTTCACAATGTTATTGTAGACCCGCTGCCGAAGCATGTGTCCGAGAATCGTTGTTTTCAATAACATTGCGAAAAATAGTTTATAATTTTAATTCTGCTGATAATATATGATAAATTGAAATTTAATAAGTGTTTTCAGACATTGTGAAATGTGATAGATTTAAGATATGAATCATAAGTCAGGTAGGTTCCTAAAATTATGTCTCATTTTGACGTGACTACTGCCTGGCCGCTTAATCGGCCTCCGGTGTCTGGGGACTCATAACGTTGTGGCCGCTGAAGCGGCCTGCGGTGTTGAAAGGGTTAATGGGATCAGATGCCAAATTCACTGACATGTCATAGAATATCAAAAGCTTAGGTTGATGCTCATGATGTCAGTCACTGGATTGTCTGGTGCAAACTACCATCATAGAGCTTGAACTTTAGCATTTTCATCAAAGTAACAACAAAAAGGCAGATGACACCATTCCTTACATACGGTGAAAATACAATAATTGCAGCATGCAATGACTGGTCAAGCTGTGAACAGAACCAGTAAAACATTTTCACATTCAAATATGTCATGTCATGAATTTATGACAATCATTGGTAAGATATTGACTCTTTTAGCATATTGACTGCAGGAAGATTAGAAATGTTAATCCAAACTTACAGAGTAAGATGAATCATTAGACTTCAATTGTTTTATGGTACATGATGTTAACGATGTATGTGTTCCCTTCCTCCTCTCCAGCCGGGCCGCCTGGGGACATGTCTACCATCTTCCCGGAGATGACCCAGCAGTTCAGCAAGGAGGTAGAAGACAAGGCCAATTCATACTTTCAGCAGATCTACAACCAGCCTCCGCACCCCACCATGTCCATCGATGAAGTGCTTGAGATGCTCAAGAGATTCAAAGATTCACAGAACAAGATTGAAAGGGTAGGGTGTTGCAAAGCATAGTATGGTAGTGCTTATTATAACAATGTGTCCATGAAAATTTTCTTGGTTTGTGCACTCATTTGGCATAATTTTGTTTTAGCTTTAAAGATGCAAATTCTTGATATATTGTCAAGGGCACGTGCTATGAAAACTTTGCTCAGTAGTAAAATGCTCAAGACCCCAATTGGTTTACATAAAACTGGGAGAAAGAGAAACCTGAAACAAAAGTTTGTATTTGGATACTTGTTCCATAACATTGATGGGAAACATTTACAAAACTACCTGTGTTGAAAGTAACAACGTCATATGCAACTAGTTGATTATTTCATATTTGACATGACAATCATAGCTATATGAAAGAATGAGCTGGTCCTTGACTGTTTTCATTGTATAGTTTTAGTAGGTGCTGCTAAGTGATACATACATGACGTTGGATCTGACATTCCATCTGTTGCAGGATGTGTTTGCCTGCATGTTGCGGAACCTGTTTGAGGAGTACCGCTTCTTCCCACAGTATCCTGAGAGGGAGCTGCACACAACAGCAGTGCTCTTCGGGGGCATCATTGAACAGGGTATTGTTACGTAAGTAGCCACAAAAACTGCTATAAAACCAGTAGTCACAGAATACACAATGCAGTAGTCATTGTTGAACCAACCTTTGTGATTTTAACAAATGAGATCTGTAGTCATGTTTGTTTGGTTGTAGATGTGTGTTGATTGGCATTACCAGATGGCAAATGTTAAAGCAGTCACTTGTTGTTTCTGTAATGAAAGTGAAACAGTTGGAAAGCTGAGGAAGCCCCTGTTGTTTCTAGTGTATCAGTGTGTTTTGTCAGCAGTGATAGGCTATAAGTGGCTGCTTGTCTATTTATAGTGCCAGCTCAAGGGTTCACTTATAAATAGTCATGATGTGATTCTGCTGACAAGTCACTTGATTCAGATCTTCCTTCACAAGTCTGCAGACAGGTTTAGATTAACATACTGCAATACTACACTACTGAAAAAAAAGGTTAGGACCACCTGACTATATTACTGTAGTCATAGGAAAGATTCAGATGGTCTTTATCTTCTAAGCAGTATGTTATGATCCCTAACTTTTAAGTATGGGTAATTGTTTAGTTGAACCTTGTCAGCTGTCCACACCACTGTGTTTAGTTACAACCCTTGTTGTTTCAGGTACTGGACACTTGGCATTGCATTGAGGTATATACTGGAGGCGTTGAGAAAACCTTATGGGAGCAAGATGTATTATTTTGGAATTGCTGCTCTGGACCGATTCAAAACAAGGTATTGCTACAAGATTCCAGATGTTAGAATTTGATATTGATTGAGAATGATCTTTGCTTTGTGTCATCACCATTTACATCTATTGATGCTTACCAGTAAATAATATGTCGATTACACAAGTAGTATGTGGTGCTGAGAAGTTTTAAAGTCAATGCTGAGACGTTAAATGACCAGCTGCTATACTGCATTCCTCAAGTGAACTCTGCAGATTGGGATATTAAGTTTCAGTCACCTCTGTGAAAACATCTAACTGATGGAGGGGAAGTACAAATACATGTTAATATTATCCTGTATTGACTGTGTGTTTGCTTTGATTTCAAGCAATATCCCCAGATATTTCCTGAATATTGTCAATAATGTATGCATGTGTCCATGTTTCAGACTAAAGGACTACCCCCAGTATTGTCAGCACTTGGCGGCGATACAGCACTTCCAGCAGTTTCCTCAGCATCTCATTGAGGTAAACAACTCTCCCATCAGTCACACACCTGGCATAGCACCATAGAAAACATGTTGGTGAAAAGTATTACTTTGCTCCAGTCCTCTTCCCTCACAGATAGTTGAATATCTGTTGTACTTCGTTGCACTATGTGAAGCCTAAACTTGGTGTACCCTGTTTAGATATTATATTAATATTCCTAAATGTGAAACTTTATATTTTTGACTCCATTTAATATAGAACCACCTGTCATCAATAACGCACTCAACACTGATTGTCATCAATGGAGACAATGTTTATGTTGGTCTGAATGATTTAGCTGGTGTTCAGTGCGAAGTTGGAACATTCCTTAGGTTCCTTTGTTAAAGTGCTGCATGAATTACCACTGTGACACTCTGTCAGCTGACACAGGCTTATTCCCTGTGTAAAAAAACTGCTTTTTGTGTGTAAGTTCTTTTTGATCTGCAAATTCATGGTTATATATCTGTCCTCCAGTTCGTTGACTTTGGTGCCCGGTCCCAGGAACCTCCCCCTATGGCACAAACAACAGGGGCCCTCACCCCAACAATGGGTGGAGCACCTGCCCCTGTACAGCCAGCCAATAACCCCGTTGCCAGGACCACAGAAGGGGCTGTGTCTGGAGGAGGGGCTGCTGCCTCTGTGGTGTCGAGCGCGGGGGCGGGGTCTGGAACAACTACGGTCAATACCACCAGTACCAGACCTACACCAGGACCTGCGTTTTCCAAGGTAAGGCAGTTGTGTTGCTGGATGTGGTGATGAGTTGATGAAACAGATTAACATCCTTGTAACAACAAATAGTTTCAGTTGACAGTGTTAGTAAGCATAGTACTTCATACATCAGAACATACCACAGGTAGTTAGAAGGTCATATTAAAAACTGTACTGTACTCATGAACATTTGAGGGGCGGTGGGGTAGCCTAGTCGTTAAAGCTTTGCCTCGTCATGCCGAAGACCCGGGTTCCGAATCCCCACATGGGTACAATGTGTGAAGCCCATTTCTGGTGTTCACCGCCGTGATGTTGCTGGAATATTGCTAAAAGCGGCGTAAAACCAAACTCAGTCAGTCACGAACATTTTACTTAGAGTTGGTACTCAATAACCCATGCTTGTTGTATGAGATTTGATGGTTAAGTTTGCTGATTTGGTTGAGGTCATCATATCCCAACTGCTTAGACCGATGCTCATGATGTCAGTGACTAGATTGTGGTTAAGACATAAATATTTACAGATAGATGTCATTTAGGTTGAATATTGCAGAGTGCTTTGTTAATCAACAAGCTGTGTGTGCATATACCATCAGTCCTCTAGCACCATGCTTACTATTTTTACAGCCCTCCATCGCTACTGCCACCAACATTGACACCCTGCTAGCTGGACAGGGGAAGGAAGAGATAGCCGTGCCACCTGAATCACTTCAAGACAAGGTCTTCTTCATCTTTAACAATCTGTCCCTCGCAAATATGCAACCGAAGGTAGGACATGATGTTTGTGTTGAGCTTGTGTCAAGATTTCAGTTTCATGTTTTCTGGTTTCCATAGAGGGTGTTGAAATTGAACGTTTGATCTTTGGTGTGAAGAAATGTTGTCATGTGGATTCTTGAACATGTATGAGTTAAGGTGAAGTGCTTCAAACAGATTTCTACAACCAACAGTTATTTGTGTAGAAAAGATTCTTCAGCATTACCTAAACCGTCTGGACCACCTCTGTGGTGTAGTGGTTAGAGCGCTCGGTATTAATGGGTACAACAAGGACTGGTCGGCTAGGAGTCAGTATAATGTATCTGAGTGGGGTATTCATACTTAACTGTGGCATGGTATCACTGTGAGCTTGCACTATGAAACAAGATAAGTCTGGGTTATTACAAGCAATACAGCCACACATGCACACGCATGCACATCGCCATATCACCTCACCTTACCTCACCTTACCTCACCTAAATATTCTTAAGTGTAGCAAGGTTCAAAACCCACTTCATCATCTCAGGCCTCACCTTTAGACACACATTCACTCTTTGAGACACACATTCACCTAAACCACTCTCAACTTTAGAAAATCACTGTGTAGCATTTTTCATAATATGGACAACACTCACTTCACTCATTGTGACCCACTGTCATGCATTGTGACAGGCACTAACTCTTTGAGACGCACATTCACTCATTGTGACACACATTCACTTATTGTGACACACTTTCACTCATTGTGACACACATTCACTCATTGTGAGACATTTTCACTCATTGTGACACACATTCACTCTGTGACACTGGTTCTCATTCATTGTGACACACATTCACTCATTGCACGCGTCATATGTGATTCTCACACACCCACTCATTGTGACACGTTCACTCATTGTGACACACATTCACTCGACACACATTCACTTATTGTTTCACTCATTGTGACACACATTCACTCATTGTTCCACACATTCACTTATTGTGACACACTTTCACTTATTGTGACACACTTTCATTCATTGTGACACACATTCACTCATTGTGACACACTTTCACTTATTGTGACACACTTTCATTCATTGTGACACACATTCACTCATTGTGACACACATTCACTTATTGTGACACACTTTCACTTATTGTGACACTTTCACTTATTGTGACACACTTTCATCATTGTGACACACATTCACTCATTGTGACACATTCACTCACTTTCACTCATTGTGACACACATTCACTGATTGTGACACATCCACTCATTGTGACACACATTCAATCATTGTGACACACATCCACTCATTGTGACACACTTTCACTCATTGTGACACACTTTTGATCCACATTAACTAGTTGTGCCCCATGTTCTCTCAATGTGACCCCCGTTCATTCATTGTGACCCACTTTCACTCTTTGTGGTCCACATTCACTCCTCTTTGATCCACATGTTTATTGGATGTTGCAGGGCGAGGAGCTGAAAGAGCAAGTGGGAGAGGAGTATATGCCGTGGTGTTCCCAGTACCTGGTCATGAAGAGAGCCAGCATTGAACCCAACTTCCACACGCTCTACTCCAGCTTCATCGACGTCCTGCAGATACCCAACATGACACAGACTGTCATCAAGGAAACCTTCAGGAACATCAAGGTTTGACTCTTTCTCCATCACTAATACTGGACATACTACATGATGCAGAGTTCTGTCATCCTCTGTGTAAGTTCAGGGATTTATCTAGACCCCTGCAGAGGTCGATATTTGGCTCTTAGCCTGCAGCATTTGTGAGCAAAAATTCCCCAATGTGAACAACAAAGGTTTTCTTTCATGTAAATAAAGTTCGGACTTGGCTTGATAACTATTCTCCACTCACAACAAACGAAACAGTGGAAGAAGCCTAATTTGACTTAATTGTATTGAATGAGTGGTACTGTGCAATGTCAAAGTTGTTACATAACAAATTGAAATATTAACAGTTTTTAACAAATTAACAATTGTTTCCCGATTTGTCTGCCAAGGGCACTTTGTTCGGAATCCTGAATAAATTCCTCCAGCTTTCAAAACATTTATATTTTTGGCTGATTTTAGAAGGGGGATGATAAATTAACATGTGATCGCAGAGTTGACTTATGGATTTCAAATTCCATTACTGTGATATTTTGGGACAGTTGATTGAATCATTTCTTGTGCATGTGACCGACGCAGTTCATGTAACCATATATGACAACCAAAGTGTTTACTTTTACAGGTTCTGTTAAGGAGCGACAAGGGTGTTGCTAACTTCTCAGACCGAACGTTGCTGAAAAATCTCGGTCACTGGTTGGGAATGCTCACACTAGGAAAAAACAAACCCATCTTACAGATTGTGAGTATTAGCCACTTGTACTGATTGCTTGGTTGTTGTCAAAAGTGAAAAGTTCAATGTAGGTTGTTTACTGGTGATAAGCTTTAAGTTTGACTGCACTGGTACATCATATGTTTGGCTATGATTCTTGGAGGACATTTCAGTATGTTGATGTTCACACTGTCTTTGATTTCCGCATAACAACATTCATGCCAGTAATACTTTGTACCTTGGCATAATTTTGAGACTAGTAGTTAGATGATTTTCTTGTGATTGTTGGGATTATCATTAGCAGAGCTTATCAGGCCAATGATATATTATATACTGGACTTGATCTTTGGTCTCATCTCTCAAGTCAAGTTGACATCCATGATTTGCATGATCTTGACATCATGTGTATCTAGAGTTATGTCTGTGTTTGATTTGTGGTGTTTCCTTTGTATAGCCTGTTTCGTATTTGCCATGGATTTCCATTCTCATTAAAGTCATTATGTATTTATTCTTTTCCAAGGACATTGATGTGAAAGCCCTGTTGTACGAAGCTTATCAGAAGGGTGCACAGGAGTTACTCTACGTTGTCCCCTTCAGTGCTAAAGTGCTAGAGTCATGCTCCAAGAGCAAGGTAAGGCTCGTGTTTTATTTCATCAGACTGAGATGATTCTGTAGCAGAACATGTGTTCTTCCTTATTCCTGCAAAGTGTAGAGAGTTGCGAGTTAGCTGTCAGCACGCATGACGCCATATTGTTAACTACTGGCCAACCAAGTCCAGATTAATTCCTTACAGACTGATGTGATATAGCTGTAACTTGTCAACAGCTGTGCTAAAGAACATTTCAGTGGTGTAATTCTTTTGACATTCACATACTGGTCTGTTGCAGGTGTTCCGCCCACCCAATCCCTGGACCATGGCCATCATGAATGTGCTAGCTGAGCTCCACATGGAGCCAGACCTCAAACTCAACCTCAAGTTTGAAATTGAAGTGCTATGTAAAACACTGGGGCTTGATATCAATGTAAGTAACAGTCCCATGTTGCTTTGTTGGAAAATATGTTACTCAAGCTTTCCCTGGTCATACCCATAGGTATTTGGGTACTACTCAAAAGTGACTTCCCTCAAAACTTAATTTTCAAGAATGTTTTCATTCTTTTATGTTGAGGAATTTTAACTATGTATTTTAACATTGCATTGAATGTAATAATGTAAATAAGTATTAATGTGTCTTCCTTTTTGTTGGTAATTAGACTGGTGACGTTTGTTTACTGTTGAACATTGATCAACTTTACAATATTGTGCTTTCATATTTTAGGAACTGAAGCCCACAAACTATTTAAAAGACCCAATGCGACTACCAACAATTGAGTGCCAGTTGTCTGCACCCAAACCTCAGATCGGTACGCCATTGCCACCAGCGGAAGAATCTGTGGTGCCCAGCCTCACTTCCATGTCTATCCCTCCACCCATTGTGACATCTGTGACAACTATGTCTACACCTACGTCAACAGCACCAGTATCAACACCGAACCTGCCACCACAGCCGACGTACAGTTTCCATGATGTCAATGCTTCATCCTTCACAGGCTTGGCTCAGCACATCATCATCAATGACCAGGTGTGATGTGTGATGCTGCTAGTCTGCATTTTTGAAAAGGGGGCGATGGGGTATTCTTGTGGTTGAAGTGTTCGCTTGTCACGCCGAAGAGCCGAGTTCAGTTCCCCATATGGGTACAATGTTTGAAGCCCATTTCTGGTGTTGCCCTTGCCACGATATTGCTGAAATATTGCTCAGAGCGACGTAAACCCATACTCGCTCACACTCATTCTTGAAACATTGATAGAGTGAATCCTAAGAGTGGAAACTAGTTCAATTGTTAAAAATGTGTTGAAACGGTAAACCAACAATTAACTTCAGATGTGTTCAGAAAGATTTAGATATGTTCGATATTAAACTAGTCTGAGTGATGATCAATGTAAGGATGCCCGTAAGAAGCCTTAACATTCCATTGTAACTCATGATATCTTTAACATTGGGCTATTGGACAAGTGCCACATTGTGTATCTATTACACTTAACTATGATACAGGTTTGAATTCTTTATGGTATTACAAACGAGTCCTGATTTACTTGTGTGTGTTTTGCAGATTGCTCTGTTGCACCAGAACCCACAGCTGAAGCAGTATGTGCGTCCAGCCATTGAGAGGTCTGTACAGGAGCTGCTGCCACCAGTAGTGGAGAGATCAATCAAGATAGCATTAACCACATGTGAACAGATTGTCAGGAAAGTACGTAGCATCATGACGGCACATGTGTCACTTAATCTCAATCTCTGCATATTTGAGAGCTTTATCTCTGTTCATTTTTTATTGAGATTTGAATCCTTGAGGTTGATCTCTTCCTTTGATTGATCTTATTCTGAGTATTAAAACTAGAATCATAAGTCTTGATGAGGGTAGTATATATTTACATCATGATGCTTTTGATGATGATATTAACAGATTGATAATGGTTGTGTGATAGTTAGTATTATTCTGAAAAAACAATGTTTCATATCAAGTTTCCAGCAAAATGTTTTCCAATATTGCCTGAAGAGTGATGATTTCCAGAAAGTACAAAGTTCAAGACAAGATAGGGACATTGCTGAAATTGTAGCAAATATGTTCAATTTCTAACTGTAATGTGTGATTGCCAGGACTTTGCCCTGGACCCCGAGGAGATGCGGATGAGGTCGGCTGCACACTACATGGTGCGCAACATCACTGCCGGTCTGGCTCTCATCACCTGCAGGGAGCCGCTCTTCATCAGTATTAACAACAACCTCAAGAACGCCTTCATGGCCAGCAGGGTAACACATCTGTCACACGTGTCTGTCTTAGACTATGTTGTTTTTTAGATGTCTTTATTAATAGTGAAAATGTGACCCTGTTGACATGTTTATTACTGTATATAGACTGCATTCATTTGTGTAACTAGAAATATTAACGCAATCATTCATGTGTCTGACTATAAATCTTAACTCACTCACTCGCTCAGTCAGTTATATGTAAAGACATGTTCCCATAATTATGATCACTCCTAAGCATATGTTTAATGTAGTACTGTGAGTCATGAGTCGACTGTTGGTTGTATAGGGTGCCACGAACGCACAGAAGACTCTGATCGAAGAGGCCGCCACTCTTGTGGCTCAGGACAACGCAGAACTGGCCTGTGCTTTCATACAGAAGACAGCGGTGGAGAGGGCTATTCCAGAGATGGACAAGAGACTCGCTACTGTAAGTTTTCAACACTCACAGATGACAGAAATATGACAGCCACCACCAGTAACACTGCTTCAGATGATCTCTCCAGCAATAAGCAAACTCATCATTATTCATAGTAACATGCTCTCAAACATGAACAACTTACTTCTCATTGTGTATTTGAATATTGTATGTTGAAACTCTTTATGAAGGAAATTATTTGATTTGGCAGGAGTTTGATTTGAGGAAACACGCCAGATCTGAGGGAAGAAGGTACTGTGATCCTATTGTTCTGCCCTACCAAGCCGAGAGGATGCCGGATCAGATCCGACTCAAGGTGGGTTGCAGTCTCTGCCAAATACTTTCAAGCCTACAGGCTCAAACTTGCCTCATATCATAATTTTTTTTCACATTTTAGTGTTATATAGATTATTTTTAGTTGAACTCAGAAGACAGAACTGAATTTTTGGACTCAAGGCTTAAGTCCCAGAATGGGTGTGCTAATGACTTAATACTTAACATGCCTATAAAATATATCAGCATATTCCATGCGTAAAATTACTTGAGAGCATTTCAACATATTTGAGGATGTAATTGACATGTGATTGTTTTAGATTTGGGTTGATTTTTTTAGATTTTTGTCCTTCCAACTCCTTTTGACTGTTAGGTTCAATAATGGACTGTAAACCTATATAAAAGCAGTAAAATGATTTTCACTATTGTGATTGTTGTTCAGGTGGGAGGAGTGACACCCCAGCAGATTGCAGTGTATGATGAGTTTGCCAGGAACATCCCTGGCTTCCTACCCCTCACTGATGCAACATTTCCTCCTGGAATCTCAAAGCCCACACCAGTAAGTGCAGATCCAGATTAGATTTGATCTTCAGTAACCCATGCTTGTCGTATAAGGCGACCAACAGGATCAGGTGGACAGGCTCGCTGATCCATTGATGCTGTTGATCACTGGATTGTCTGGTCCAGACTTGATTATTTATAGACCGCCACCGCCATCTAGCTGGAATATTGCTGAGTGTAGCGTAAAACTAAACTCACTCACTTATATCTGAGTATCAAGTAAAGAACATTTCACTGCTCTAAATGTGTCAGTATCTTTTTGTGGTTTGTTATTTAATGAAAATGTAATTTAATATTGAGGCTACCTTTCTTTATATGAAGGAAGGGAGATGGTGAATGTTTGTGTATGTTTCAGTCCTACGCACCTGATGAGATCACTATGATCTATGAGAAGATTGCCCGGGACATAGAGCAGCATCTGCAGCAGATGATGGGCATCCCTGCTGGCAGCCCCATGGGGTCCCAGCTACACAGTCTGCTGGAGGCTGTTCTCCTTGCCAGGAACTCCAGAGAGATTGTTACAGCTATAGCTTTACTTCAGAAGGTATGTAGAACAACATATTGCCATATGCCACCGCTTGAAATCTGAATAGAATTTAAGCAGGACACAGGAGTGGTTCATTTGTGACAATGAAGATTCAGTTTCAAATTGATCTTCATCAACCCATTCTTGTTGTGAGAGGCAAATAGCAGGACCTTGTGGAAAGGCTAGCTAACTTGGTTGATGGCTGTCATCCTATCCCAGCTGCATAGATCATTGCTCATGATGTGAATTACTGGTCCAGATTTGATTCTTAGCAGACTACCTTGACATAGTGGGAATAGTGCTGTGTGAGAGTTAAACAATGTACAAACCAAAGTTTGAGACAATTTCTTTGTTTAGTAACTTTAAGATGGCATACTGCTATGAATCAGACATATTAATAATGCATTTTGGAAGCATGCTATTCTAATAGGATTCAAAATACAGTGGAAACCACCTAAGGATTCAAAATACAAACATTCAGCTACTGATAATTGATATTATTATATGACTAAACTGGGTAGATTTTCCCCTTCTGATTGGCAAAACTTGGTCACATGACATGAGGGGCGTTGAGTCTCCAGTCAAACAAGCGATGTCAACCTCGCTGGCGGTCAAGCAGTTGACAATACGCTGAGCACAGGCCCCCTGATAAGTTGTTCTTTACATATGTAGGATTAAAAGATATTAATTTGATATTTTGGATAAGTAAAATACCTGATAAGTAAACAATTTTTTTGAGATGACTTATCTGACTCAAAAATGCTACACAGTATTATATACATTATGACAAGGCCCGGACACACATGACAGGTATAGCCCCACCCGCCTGCTTTGAAAGCCGATCGGCTACACTACTATCGCATGCAATCGATTGAAACTTAATGTGAACATAATCATGGATGATTGGCCTATCATGCAAGCACCACTCAACATGACACCTACCAATTCTTTATTGTTATTTCTGCAAGTCGATTGAAACCCGATTTTGACTCTCAACTAAACGATCTTGACACAAATGGATGACAATATGTTTTATTTTTTTTAACATCTTTAATCCTCGCGAAAGACACGAGGGCCTGTAAGAGGTTGATATAACCAAGCACCTCCCGTGGCTAAAAATAGATTTGGGATATTCCAGCTGTGAACTCCTGCTGCTTGCGTCAACCTAGATAAGAAAGCTAGATAGGCATCGCTTCGTCCCTGTGACTGTGTTGGTTTAGAGTTCCGTCCCATCTGTATCAAAATGGCAGACGAAACGACACCACGGAGATTCAAGACTGTGTATTCAATGTATTCAGTACTTTTGTCAAATAATAAAACAATTATTGACTTCAGTTCGGTTCATCCAATGATTTATCAACCTTGGACATGAGATATTCACCTCGGCTTGACATATTCGCCTCAGTGAATATCTCATGTCCAAGGTCAATAAATCATTGGATCAACCTCACTAGAAGTCAATAATTGTATATTATCAGTAGCTGAATGTTTGTTTGAAGAAAGTTGCTGTTTTGTCTGCCAAGAGAATCTACGAGTGTTTGTATTGTAGGCTGTGGAGGGCTTGCTTGACCAGTACTCCATGAACTCCTTGACCAACACAGACCAGGAAATGCTGCTCCGCTTCAGGGAGTGCCATCTTGTTGTACTGAAAGGACTACAGGATGCCCGGGCATATGGGCCACAGTGGGTCAACAAGGAGGTCACAAGGTCAGTGCACAGGTCACAGTTCTAACAAGAATAGCCTCAGCTGTACACTTTTTAGCTATCCATTCTATTAATAGAAGTACATTATTAGAATCATCAGTTGATTTAGTGGTAGTTTTGAGAACAATGTCACATGTGATATGTTATCCTAAACCTGATGTGCAGTAATTCCGTTATTTCATAATTTGACCCCTATGAAGCACATGTGATCTCAGCTGTGTTATCTTTCAAAGAAGATGCTGCTAAAGTCTTTTATCATGGGATACTGGAGCTCATTTTCCAATGAGACACTGTAATTGTTCCTATTGACAGATGTTTGATCCAGTGTCGTACGAGTTCAAGTACAACATAGATGCAGTGGACTGCCTCATTCGCAGCGGCCTCGTCAACCTGCAGCAATATGATGTGTACCTGTCCCAGCTGATGGAGAATGGTCTCAACCATGTGGCTGTGTCCTTCTCCATGCAGCTCGTGCAACGATTCTGTATTGACGACAAGCACAACAGCTCCGTCAGTGAGGTCAGTGTTTCCAGTGGTGATGTCAGACTCATACTGTAACCAAAGCCATAGAAATTCGACATTTAAACTTGCCAAGAAGAATAGTGCAAACCTATTTCACAAGGCCTCGTTGTGTAGTTTGTGCTGCTTGAACAGGACAAAATGTTTACTATGTCAGTTTAATTAGGTCCAAATTTTTATTTAGCTCGGATTCCAAGCATTGAGAAATGGTTCAGAATTGCAGCTCTCAAATGGTATTTGTCAATGAGTACAACAATCATTTGATTTTACTTGTTCTCTCACAAGTTGGTAGCGTTAGGCTAGCAGAATAGGTGACTTGATCCAAGTATTTGGAACAAAGGAATAGAATTACCACTGACACTTGAAAACAAGACTTACACACTCACTCTTTGATCACTCTTAACCATTTTGTGTACATCGTGAATTTTTGGTGTCATTTGGTGTAAAATATATTCCTTTCAGAATGTCAGTGAGCTTTGAATGATGGATTTTTTTGCAATTTTGATGTTGATGAAGATTTGTAGAGACAACACTGGAACTTGATGAAGTTAGTTGTATAATTGCTTTATGACTGTTTCTAATCCTCAGGCTGATTTCTACAACACAATAGAAGCTCTTGGTGCCATTGCATCCCGATCAAGACAGCACCCAGAAGGGTAAATATCACATTACAAAATAGTGTTTGTTACCAGAGGGTTAACGATACAATGAGGCAGCGTTATAATACTTATCCTGATAACATGGGTGATTTGAATTCCGATAATATTTCATATTATCTCCCGTTCTATAGGTAAGTCACAACCCTGAATCATTTGTTTTTTAAATATCAGACAGCTATGATGGGTTGTTGTTAAGATGCAGTTATAAGCTTAGGGACACATGTAGATACTGGTATTTATTACCACCCAGAAAATACTAGAGAACAGGCTTTAACTGGTTCTTGAACAGTGTGTTAGTTTTTCACGTTTACATCAATATTACTTGTATTGTATGTGAGGTAGCCTAATGGTTAAAGCATTCGCTCATCAGGTCGAAGACTCTGGTTTGATCCCCACATAAGTACAAAGTGTGAAGCCCATTTCTCGTGTCCCCTACTGTGATGTTGCTGGAATATTGCTAAAAGCGGCATAAAACCATACTCACTCACACACTGTATTGTATGTTTTACAACACAGGTTTCGAATTGATGTATTGTATCGTGAGCCAGGTATCAGTCCTGAGTTAGTGGATTGTGTCATTATACACTGTGTCATTATACACTGTCATTATACACTGTGTCATTATCCACTGTGTCATTATGCTCTGTGTCATTATACACTGTGTCATTATGCTCTAACAGTGTTGCTCACAGTTTCAATCACTGGAATGTCTGATTCATGTAGAACCATCATAGGGCTGGATTATAGCAGGGTGCTGCGTTAGACAACAAACAAAAGGGTGCAATAAACAGCGTGATATAGAATCTTGTTTCACCTCACCTCTGATCACTTTTTTAGATACGGTAGCTTATTTACACCTGAATTTCTGTATAAAATTTCCAATTTGTTCAGTTACTGTATACTATGCAACACAAGCCTTTGATGGACAGAAGCATCTTATGCTGGGTTTTCCCCAACAGTCATGTGCGGATACTTACTTCCAGCCTGTCAACACTGATTGAGATCATCCGTCAGAACAGTGACGGAGGCCTGCTCGATCGAACACCAGGTGGCCCGACTTCCATGATGCAGTCAGGAATCTCCCAAGAGCGAGAGTTTGATGACCCCCCAGGCCTGAACGAGAAAACAGAGTATTTACTGAGGGAGTGGGTCAACATGTACCACTCTCCGGCAGCTGGGCGGGACAGCACAAAGGCCTTTTCTGCTTTTGTTCAGCAGGTGGTACGATCAGTTTTGTTTGTGGTTGAACCCTTCATGTCTCACCCATTTACTAGACAGCAGTCTCATAGTGACCATTGCCTGCACACCACACTCATAGTCACTTACACAGCAGTGATGAAAGGTTTGAAATCTGCTTTTACACTCACAGCGTACCACTTTCCTGTCAAGCATTTCCGTGCCCTGCTGTAGGATTAACTCAGTGTTTCATCATGATGACTGGTATATTATTGTTGGTTGATGTCCATGGCATTCGTGGTAGTTTGTTAAATCCATGATTCAAAGATTTTTGTTGTGCTAAGATGGTATGGAAATGGGAGAGGTAATATTTATTTAGCGGAAGTTATCCAGTAGTTCAGTGTGACAAATGGTTTATACAAAATGTGGAAAATATTTCAACAGGGACTTTAATGTAATTAAAACTGAAGTCAGTGTTATTACAAATTAATAAAAGCATGCAGTGTATTTATGTCGAATCGAACCTGCAGCAGTGGAAAAAGCTCAGTGGAATCCTTTTTGAATAATTTTATTTGTTTGAATGGAGACATTATGCATTTTAGATTTGAAAAGATATCACAATATGATTAATTCTTTTATCACTCTTCACTCTACATATATCCAGAATATGTCTTGAATATTAAGAAGGATATGGATTGTCATGTGGGGTTGTGTTTTTAGCTATCATAATAATTGCAGGTTTGCATTTTATGGGGCACTGAAGTGTCAGCTCTAAACCTATCCTCTCATTTTGTCTCTTCAAGAGAATAGTGATGTCTCTAATTTCTCTTTTACACAACTGTCCACGTGAGTTCTGATATGCATGGCAGACAACACTAGATAATCATGCATGTTCTACCTAAAGTCAACTAAATTAACAAACTAGCCTTCAGCTCTGCAGTAGGGCACAAAGTTTATGTATGTATGAATCTAACTGTTTGATTTTTGACTAAAATTGACATGAATGTTGCATGTCTGTAAAACTATTGTGCTATAACAAATAACAGCTCCAAATGCAAGCCTAGTTCTCTGAGGCCGTTTCAATTTCATTCTTACTTGTTACGATACATCAATGAATATGTAACTTTGCATTTCAAAACTTTGCAAACCAATGCTGAAAGAAACCGGTTTCTATTTGTGACAGAACATGTAAGATTCATACTGTCAAAACTTCACATACAGCCAGCAATATGAAGTACAAAAGCAATTTGTCCAATGTCCTTTCAGTCTATAGTAATAGGTGGATGTTTCTGTTTCTATAGATGCACCAGCAAGGCATCCTCAAGACCGATGATTTAATCACCCGTTTCTTCCGTCTGTGCACCGAGATGTGTGTGGATCTGTGTTACCGGGCTCTCAGCGAGCAGACTCACACAAGCCCTACTCTCATCAGAGCCAAGTGTTTCCACACACTGGATGCTTTTGTCCGACTCATTGCATTGCTGGTGAAACACTCAGGGGACACAACCAACACTGTCACCAAAATCAACCTACTCAACAAGGTGAGGAGCGGGGGAATCATTGATTCTGTAACAGTGTTCGTGTTTACTTGCTTTGTAGAATAAGGATGATAACAATCGTTGATAAATATGACAACAGAATCATAGGGGCGTGTCACGCTTAGAAACAGCATTAGAAAGACATATAGGTATATAGACCCTACCCTAGTACTATATAAAAGGAAAGGGATGTAACAACGGAACCACCCCCTCCTCAATCAAAGTTAGATTTCACCACGCAAACTTTTTTTAAGGCCCTGTCGAGGCCTACGGATCGAAAGCGAGATGATTTCCCTACACAGGTCTAAAACTTGTTGCAACATCTACAGATCATTTCCTCGACAGTAAGCAGGCATTTTCTCCAAAACCATTGGCAATCATACTCACTTGTCGGCCATAGATGGCCTTGACATTTAGGTGATCTGAGCAGATCTGGTCTACATACAGACTATCATTATGCAACTTAAATACGGTTGAGTGCTGCATTAACCAACAAACAAACACACAAAAGTGCTGTACCCACACATACCTATGCTTTGCCTTTTCTAACACTGGACATCCCCCTGTAGGTACTGGGAATAGTTGCTGGGGTGCTACTTCAGGACCATGAAGTCCGCTACACAGAGTTCCAGCAGCTGCCCTATCACCGCATCTTTATCATGCTCTTCATCGAGTTGAACGCACCAGAACCCATACTAGAGAGCATCAACTTTCAAGTGTTAGCAGCATTTTGGTAAGATTAGGTGTTTTGCTAACTGTGTGGTGAGTGTGCTTTTAGTTATGACAAGTAGAATTTGTGTGTGTTGCTTCCACTGATATTTTACACAAGATGAGCTTCTATCCTCCAAGTCTCTAAGTATTTGAGTTTATTTTTAGCCATGTGTTCCACATCTTGAGGCCTGGGAAAGCCCCTGGATTTGCTTATGCCTGGTTAGAGCTGGTCTCTCACCGCGTCTTCATCGGTCGGCTTCTGGCCCTCACACCTCAACAGAGGGTACGTACCATCACTGCGTATGGAATTTCATCATTAATAAGTTGCCTTTGTGTTTCATATCGGATGAGTTTTCACATGGTTGATGTTCGTGACTCCATGTTTCAGGGCTGGGGGATGTATGCTCAGCTGTTGATTGACCTGTTCCGCTTCCTCTCGCCCTTCTTGAGGAATGCTGAACTGACCAAGCCAACACAGCTTCTGTACAGGGTAAGGAACTGTTCTTGTACCTTTATCAGGCAAGTGGTGCCACCTGAGATCTAATTTTTAGACGCAGTATTATTCGTTACACTGCTATACTGAGTCTAACAAAACCTAGTAGGTCACATCAGGTAACCTTTCCAATTGACCAATCAGAACACAGCTTACCAAATCACGAAAGTGGACATTTGCACATACCTTTTGAACTTTTACCTCGAAAAAGTTTGTACCCGAACGATTCCAAATGCTGTTTTCCGTATGATCGCTTCCGAGTGATGCACATGGAGCACTCCACAACAGTGAGTAAACAGTCGCTGAAAATAGCGTTTTGTCAGTATTCAAGCATGTCAACTTGCGGAAATATTAGCTAATGATAACCATGTCACCAGAAACCCCAAAGCGTATATACTGCAGGTCAAATATCTGTGTTTTATGCGGATTTTCGTCTGTTGGGCGATCAGTGTTCGCGCCCATTTTGTAAGTCCCGCCGAACCCTAAATAGCAGCCGTTGTCGGATTGGTTAAATCCGTTCGGCCGTCTCGCCTTTAATTGGACGGTCCTAGGTCGCTCAAAGGTTACCTGACGCGACCTTCCACAAGGTTTTGTTAGACTCAGTATAGCAGTGTAACGAATAATACTGAGTCTAAGTTTACTTAGACTGAAAAAAATTATGTTTGAGATTACCAGTTGGTCATTCTTTTAATAATACAGACTGTCAGGGTTATTCTCCATTTGTGATCTACTAGTGCTGCTTATGTGAGGAAAAAAGGAATAAGAATACTGAAATTCATTTTTGTTTAAAACCAGGTGATTTTGTTCAGGACAGCATATGTTACTGCTCCAGTCCATGACTGCAAAATGTGTTATTCAGGTCAGTGAGAGCGTATGTATTTTTGTTTCAGGGAACGTTACGAGTCCTGCTGGTCTTGCTACATGATTTCCCAGAATTCCTCTGTGATTATCACTATGCATTCTGTGATGTCATCCCACCCAACTGCATCCAGATGCGTAACCTCATTCTCAGTGCTTTCCCTCGCAACATGAGGCTGCCCGACCCCTTCACCCCCAACCTAAAGGTTGACACTCTGCCTGACATCACACATCCCCCTCGCATCCTCACCAACTTTGTCAACATGATTCAGCCAGCTTCTTTCAAAAAGGTAAGCAAGGTTTACCGGTGTCTTTCTATTTGTGAACCCTGGGGTCTCTCAGCCCTATCTTTTCTAGTCCAGCTGTAGACTTAAGGGACTCAGGGTGTCCACTGTACCAACAACAGAAATACTATAAATAGTTAGTATTTGTGAAATGTTATGTTGGTGTGAAATCAAGCTTTGTAACCAAGTGAAAATACTTGGATATAGTGAAATGTATGATGATTTCAAATTATCTTGCTGTTCTGGCCAGATGTCATGAACTTGAATATTTACAAAATGTCTTGTATATAACAAGAGTGAATGAAGTGATTCCTTTATTGTCCAAATTATCTTCCATTCATATATTTTGGGATTTGCACAACATAATTATTGGTGTGTTTTTTTCACTTTCGCAGGAAAATGATTATTGTTTTATTTGCTTTATTTTTCAGGACTTGGACTCATACTTGAAGACAAGGACTCCCATATCCTTCTTGTCTGAACTGAGGAGCAGTTTACAGGTGCGTGAAATAAGAAGTGGCTGTGGCTGCATACACTCTAGGATTATGAATGAAAATAACCCCTGACCAGCTTTATGAATTTCTTGACTTCTTGCACCAGTCTCATGGGGATTATACTATTTGTACCCCATCGAATGAGAGTGTGAATTGACAGATACTAAAAACATTTATTTAGTTATAAGTGAGCAAGTGAGTTAAGTTTTACGTCGCTTTTAGCATCATTCCAGCAATATTATGGCGGGGGACACCAGAAATGGGCTTCACACATTGTACCCATGTGGGGAATCAAACATTAACAAGCAAATGCTTTAACCACAAGGCTACCCCAACACTTTATTAATATTATGTTGAGTTGTCCTAAGTTGACTGTGCCCTCACCACCTACTACCTACTTGTTCACACTGGATTTTGACATATGACTTCAGTATTGCTGATAATAGTTTTAGCCTTCTACAATCACTACTCAGATCAATAATATCACTTGCACAACTGTTTCAGTAATTGGCTTCAGAACCATGAACTATTCTGACTGTTGATAGGACCTTTTGTTACAGGATGAATGATTACCTTCTCGTGCTTCTTGGTTTGTTTTCATGAGATAAGCCCCAGTTATAAGTACCATGTGTTTGTTGAGGGTATTAATGATGCATTCTGTGTTTCCAGTCGAATGAGCCGGGTTGTCACTACAACATCCCCCTGATTAATGCACTGGTCCTGTACGTGGGCACCCAGGCCATCCAGTTCATACACACCAAGGGCCAGACACCGGCTATCAGCACCATAGCTCCTTCATCACACATGGACATCTTTCAGAATCTCGCTGTCAATCTTGACACAGAAGGTTAGAAGCTTATGTCCATCATAGATTTGGTACAGGAAACTAGTCTCTAAGCTTTAGTGAAATATGTAATGTACGTTCTTCTTCAATATTGTAGTGCAGAATAGTTTCCATTTAGCCAGGTTTGTAGTCATAAATTCTTTTTCAGAGAGATCGTCCTTGGGGTACATATTATGCATTTTCCGGCTGTAAAATGTCCTGTGACAGTTGTATCAATGTTTTTTGAATAAAAAGATTGTACAATAAATAAACTCTTTTATTTATTATACGGACCCTACCTCACGGAGTTACCTCCCTTAGCGCATGCGCACCAACTGGGTAGGCTCCTAGACCCGTATCATCATTCCTTCTGCTGTCACGGCCCTGAACAGACGTTCGTTGTGATTACCTTTCATGAGCCGTACGGCGCTGTATTTTAAGATGTCTGAGACACCACCTGTATGTTTGGTTTTATTTGTCTAAAACAATAACAGTAAAGCCTTACAGTGGTTGTTTCATAATTGTGACTTTGTATAAGTACTATCAAAATACGCATAAACTTTCCCGTGGTTTACTTAAGTTTGCTCTGCCATGGCGGGAAGTTTAGCGTGCCGCGTGGTCGCAATATTGGCGTTTTTAAACCAACTATTACTTTCCGTGGTAACCTTCACGATTTTTCAATGTTTTCTACGTGTTTCTCTGCTGCTGGCCACAAGTTAACTACCATGTTTACGTGTTTGTTTCAGGCTTTTACCTGTTGTTCGGTCTGTGGGGAAGTATTCCCGGGCTGACAGTCACTCCCAATGCGTGGCCTGTCTGGAGAAGACGGGCCATGTGGCTGATACATGTTCAATTTGTCTGGCCTTTTCCCCGGGCACAGAAGAGGCGGGCGGGCCGACACCCTGTTTTACCGCTGAGATGCGTGGAGGCGGAGGGGACCTGGACGCAGGTTCCCCGCCAAAATCTAAACGGGCGGCCCAAAAGGAAAAAATCCCGTGGCCCTTCCCCTCTCCTACCACTTCGAGTGGTTTTGACATGTCTCTAATGGAGTCGATGTTTCAGAAGCAGATGGACTCAATGAAGTCCTTCGTTCGGGAGTCGGTTGGAGGTCTCCGCCAGGAGTTCCTCGCCCACTCCGGACGGGGGGCGGAGAGTCCGGGGGTGGGATCGCCGGCCTCGGCTAGATCCCTCAGCCTTGAGGCGTCTGTCGATCCGTTGCCTCTGGCTTCGGGTCCGGACGCCTGGGCTGCTCCGGAGAGGGAGGTGCTCCCAGTCCCCCTCTCGGAGCTTGCGCTTGGGCCGTTGAGTATTCCTGGTATTCCGGTCCCTGCGCACACCCGCCCCATGAGAGCGGAGGCACCAGTTCTGCCTGGCCTGCCTCCAGCGTCTCGGGACCGGGGTCCACGCACGCCGGCTGGCGCTGACGTGGAGCAGTCGGTCTGTTCCTCCCTTCCTGTGGTGCCCAGCTAGGCAGTCCACCGGGTCGGGTTAGGGTCCTCCACGGAGGAGACCCAGCCTCTGACTTCGGGCTCGGACGCCGAGGCAATGGAGCTCGGGGAGGTCGAGGAGCATGACGGCAGCTTCCGTTTTGCTTCGGCCTTGCGGGAGGTCCGGCAGAGAATTGCCGAGGGCCTACCCCAGGCCGCGGTGCCTGCTGGTTGCGTGGACTCGACTGAGTTCCGCTTGCCTGGTGAGGCGTTTGCCCCTAGGCAACCCTCACAGACGCAGCTCCGCATTCTGCCATCGTTGGTCGCGGACGTGGTCGATCCCCTCTTGTCTGGTACCGAGTCAGGTTTGACTTACCTGAACTCGCGGCGGGGCGCTTACCAGCTTGGGGAGGATTCCCTGTTCGCCGTAACCGATCGTTGACGAAAGTGTGTTTTCACTTCCGCCGCCTCTGGGGGAGGCTCGGCTTCTCCGAGCAGCCCGCTGCTCGGCAAGGGCCTCACTCCACCTTTGCCCTCGCTGGCATCCCCTCTATGCACGCGCATCGACCTACGAGGAGGTCTACCGAACGCTGATGCAGCAGGTGCGGTGGTGGGTCCATGAGGCCTACCTCTCCTCGATACAGAGGTCGGCCCTGGAGGCGGAGGGCATGCTGGCGACGGTCGCCGCGATGTCGTAAGCTACTCCGCCAGCTGTCGGAAGTTCAGGCTCACCTCAGCGGCGACTCTTTGCGGTCTGCTGCGCCGACGGTGATGTGCGCAGTCATGGGGATGCGCAGGCTGTGGCTGTCGACGTCTAGGTACTCGGCGGCAACACAGCAGACCTTGCTGGCTCTCCCTTTCCGTCTGGGAGCGACCCTCTTTCCCGGGGCACAGCAGGTCATACGGGAGGCTGCCGCTGCAGCTACCTCCTTCAAGGATTCTAAGGCCTTGTTGGAGCACCCGCGGGTGTCTCGCCCCCGCGCTCCCGTGCCACCTTCCTCCGCCGGGGTGCAGCCTACACCCGAGTCTGCCGGCTGGCTTCGGCCGCTTGGTAGGGGTAGGCGGAGGAGTAGGTCCGCCAAGGGTAGGGGCAAGGAGCAGTCCTCGACTAGCGTGTGTCACACCCAGTCAGCTCCGCTACTAGGGTCCACGCACGCGCTCCTACCCCATATCCCAGTGGGAGGCCGCCTTTCTCTATTCCTGCCGGAATGGGAGAAGGCTACCAACAACGCTTGGGTGCTGGCCACGGTCAGCATAGGCCATCTCCCACTGTGGAAGCGAGGTCCGCCCGACTTCACCGGCATACGCCGCACTCCGGTGCCGTCATGCCAAGCCAGGGCGGACATATTGCGCGACGAAGTTCAGGCTCTGCTGGACAAGTCCGCAATCGAGCGCATTCCACCGGGAGAGGAACAGGCGGGATTTTACTCCACGTACTTCCTCGTCCCGAAGAAAGACGGCGGGTTCCGTCCGATTCTCAACCTCAAGGGTTGAATCGCGATGCTCGAAGTACCATCCTTCAAGATGGAGACACTGCGCCGGTGCTCTCATCTGTTCAGCCCGGCGATTGGCTCACGCCAATCGACCTAAAGGATGCGATTCTGCATGTACCCATACATCCCTCGCTCAAGCAGTACCTCCGGTTCTCTTTACGACGGGATGTATTACCAATTCAGGGTGCTCCCCTTCGCATATCGACTGCCCCAAGGGTGTTCACCAAGCTCATGTTAGTCCCAGCTACCCTAGCTGCGCCGCAAAGGAAGGCGTTGTTACCCTTACCTAGACGACTGGTTGCTCGAGCACTAACACAGCCAGCGAAGTCAAGATGCTACTCACACAGTGATAGACATTCTAACTCGACTGGGGTGGATCATCAACCTCAAGAAATCCGACCTGGTACCCACCCAGGACTTGGTTTTTCTTGGGAGCGATTCCAAAGCAACAAGGATCTCGTTTCCTTGTCGCCCGACCGGGTCACCAGAGTTCGGGAGATGGTATCTTCATTCCTCTCCCAGCCCCAGGCACCAGCACGGACTTGGCTCCGTCTTACTACTGGGCCATATGGCGGCGCGATCTCTGTAGTGTGGCGGCGCGGTTGAGGATCGCGCCCCATACAGCAAGCTTTGGCTCGGCTGTGGACTCACACGGAGGATCTGAGCGCAGTCTCACAGTCCCCGAAAGTGGTTGACACCTCACCTTCAGTGGTGGACAAATGTCGGGAATCTCACCAGGGGGTTCCCTTGAAATCCCGGCGCCAGCTCTCACAGTTCAGACAGATGCGTCCCTCACGGGCTGGGGGCGTTCTGGGCAGTCTGTCGGCTTCCGGACTCTGGTCCGAAGCCGGCTCACCTTCACATCAACGTGTTGGAGCTGAGAGCTGTGCGGTTGGTATTCGAGCGCTTCAGAGAGCATGTCCGTGGCCAGGTAGTCCGCCTTCAGTTAGACAACCAGACGGGCCATGTCGCACATCCTGAAGCAGGGAGGCACGGTGTCCCCAGCTCCTCCGGGAAGCGTGGGACTTTCTCCTCTGGAGCGACCAGTACGATTGTCAGGTACTCCCTGTTTATCTCCGGGGCTGGAGAACGTCGCGAGCAGATGCGCTTTTTGCGGATCCTGGCCCCGCGACGAGTGGATGCTCGACAGGCAGATATTCACAGTAATCTCCCAGTTGTAATGGGTCGCTCGAGGTGGATCTGTTTGCGTCCGGGCGGACGCATCAGACACCCGATGTTCTGCTCTCGGATACCGGACCAGAGGGCGTTGGCTGCCGACGCCTTCCTGCTGGATTGGACGGGCAAAGTGCTCTGGGCTCCCGCCGTTACCACTCATTCCCCGTGTCCTTTCACAGCTGTCCACCCAGCCAGCTCGGCTACTTGTGCTACTGGCACCGCTGGCCGCCACAGAGCTGGTTTCCGGTAATTCTCAGGTTTCTGGCTCAGCCTCCTGTTCTATTACCTTTGCGCATCGGACATTCTCACTCAGAACGGAGCTTCCACCCAAATCCACGGATTCAGTGGGTGGCTTGGCCTCTGTCAGGTCTAACCTCGAGGCACGCTGGAATTCCTGCAGCAGTTGCAGACACAATTCTGGCTTCGGTAGGGATTCGACAAACGCTCAGTATGAGGATAGGTGGTCCCGCTATATGCGCGCTGGTGTTCAGATAGGGCATTGCAGATCCCTTTTCTGCGGATTTAGTCCGAAAGTATTGGAGTTTTGCAAGCTCGTTTGGAAGAAGGCCTGGCGGCTTCGACCATTCGTGGCTACTCCACCGCTATTTCCACTTTTCACACCCCTGTCGATGGTGCTCTTCTGGGGCAGCACCTCTCGTGACAGCGCTTTTAGCTGGCGCTGAACGGATTCGACCTGCTCTCAGGCTTAACCAGTCCACCTTTGGGATTTGTCGATCGCGGCTCGATTGGCTGTCCGTCCCACTTTCTCACACCTATCGGCTATTTCCATTCAGTTGTTGACCTGGAAAGCTGTGTTTCTGGTGGCGGTAACATCTGGTCGAAGAGTCGGCGATATACATGCTATGTCGTCCGACCGGCGCTGACTGTGTTTCACACGGATCGCGGTCAGCATTCGGCCTCCCAGATACTTTACCGACCGAAGGTCGATCACGCTTTCCATGTGACAGCTCCTATCGAACTTCCTACTCTTACCCAGCCTTCCACATCGGGGACCACTCCACGAGCACTCACCCGCTGGATGTCCGTGAAGACGCCAAAGTCTATATCAAACTTAACGCAGGGGATCCGTGACGGGTACCCAGCTGTTCTGTTGTTACGGTGGCGGAAGGCTGGTCTGCCAGCCAGCAAGCAAACTTTGTCTCGCTGGCTTGTTTCGTGTATTTGTGCCGCTTATCAGGCTAAGGGCAAGCCTCCCCCTGAGGGGTTGAAGGCTCACTCGGTCAGGGCAGTAGCCGCATCAAAGCTTTTGCAGCCGCACTCCCCATTGAAGAGATCTGCTCTGCCGCTATTTGGAGCCGCCAAGCACTTTTTATACGCCATTATCAGCTCGATACACATTCACGCAATCGTATGCGAGCTTTGGTCGCACCGTTCTTTCCAGTGGACAGTGTCCTGCCACCCTGACCAAGTGAGTCTTGGTTTATTGGTTTGTGTTGACGCTTACTGTACAATGATTCCATTATTGACATGTCTGCTACGAGCACTCAGAGAACCTGTACCCCCTTTCGATTCTCTAAGGAGTTACGATATCGTTAGTGAGTGGTATTTTTGTTTTCCCCACGGTGCTCTCACGAAGAAGCCACTTAGTGGGTCGGATTTCACTGACATTCGCGACTCGTGCAATGTCTCATTATGCTAGAGGTCGCCTTTTGAGCACAAATCCTCCCTGTCAGTTCCCTCCCATAATGCCTCTCGAAGGAGGCTTAAACTGGGTCGAGTGACAGGTGAGTGTTATGGCGTCTGTTCAATTTTTTTCCATGATACGATCGCTATATTTTGTGTGTGCTTGGACAGAATTCCCTCCTCCCTGGCCTCCGGTCTTTGGGAGTCTGTGTTTATGCATAATATGTACCCCAAGGACGATCTCTCTGAAAAAGAATTTCCCAAACCTGCAGAGGTTTTCAATTCTTTGAAGAGAGTCGTCCTTGGGGTAGGGCCCACCCACCTCCCCGCAATTCTGTTCACTGATGAGAATTCAGCAGAAGGAATGATGATACGGGTCTAGGAGCCTACCCAGTTGGTGCGCATGCGCTAAGGGAGGTAACTCCGTGAGGTAGGGTCCGTATAATAAATAAAAGAGTTTATTTATTGTACAATCTTTTTATTCAAAAAACATTGATACAACTGTCACAGGACATTTTACAGCCGGAAAATGCATAATATGTACCCCAAGGACGACTCTCTTCAAAGAATTGAAAACCTCTGCAGGTTTGGGAAAGTTTTTTGTTTGTTGTTTAGCACTGCACTCAACAATATTCCACCAGTGACAGTGGTCTGTAAATAATCCAGTCTAGACAAGACAATCTAATGATTAATATCATGAGCATTGATCAACACAACTATGATTATGTGTCACCCATAGGGCTGTGCAATATAACCGGTTTACCCGGTATTTACCGGTTCAGACATGAAAACGATACGTATTGCGATACGCTGTTGGAAATCGGTATTTTGACTTGCATTCGGAAAACTTTGTAACACTCGGAAATTTTCGGATATTTCCTTGTTTCGTTTGTGCCAAATATTATTCACACTTTTATTTTATCATGATTAAAAGTTGTTATTAAAGCTTAATCAAGCATAGTGATTTTGTTGTGTTTTTGCTCTATAAATCAAGCATTAACTCGATTATAAGTAGTTTTTTGTTTAAAAATACTTCATGCAATATATTGCAATACATATCGCAATACATGCTTTCGCATCGCAATATATCGCAATATGAAAATTCTCTGCAATACCCACCCCTTGTCACCCAAGTCAGCAAGCCTGACCACTCTAACCTGTTAGTAGCCTCTTTACTTACGACAAGCAGGGGTTGCTGAAGATCAATTTTGACCCGGATTTCCACAGGTTGCAAGGACTGATACCCAATATAAACTTGCTGTTTGGTATTTGTATTTTGTAGGTCGGTACCTGTTTCTGACAGCAATAGCCAACCAGCTGCGTTACCCCAACAGTCATACTCACTACTTCAGCTGCACGCTGCTCTACCTGTTTGTGCAGGCCAACAACGAGCAGATCCAGGAACAAATCACTAGGTAGGACACCACACTCTGCCTTAGTCATTACTTCATAGCATACACTGTTCCTCAGATCACTTCAATACTCTACTGGTCAGTATGCACAATGTTCCTGATATCAGCTGGCTCCTTGTGATGAAAACTTGGTGTTTGACTAGTTTTGGTGAAGCAATAAAATGATTGCAGGCCTAGTAATTCAAATTCAGTTGACCATATATATATTATTGACAGATTTAAAGTTAAAAACTATTTTTCGTAATGTTATTGGAAAAACAATTCTCGGACACATGCTTCAGCAACGTGACCACATCTAAATTGTCAAAAAGCGAAACAATGATGTTTCATGGAATCATTGAATAAACTGAAGAGAGTAATGAATAGAATCAACAAAAGTACTCAGGAAATCTGTCAAATGTAAGTTACCATTTCCATCTTTCCATCCGATCGTGTCACATAAGTCGTGTGAAGCCCATTTCTGGTGTCCCCGCCGTGATATTGCTGGAATATTGCTAAAAGCGGCATAAAACCATACTTACTCACTCACTCATGTAAGTCAAGTGACATCTCGGCTTTTGTTGCCTCGATCCTCATTGTAGACATGATGTTTGCATGAGATATATGTGTGAGACATTTGTCACAGGTCATAACCTAGCATGAGGAGGATATCCATTGCTGTAATATGATTGACTGCCTCAGGTCATGTTCATTATTTTGATTGACCACAATCCTTGTAGCAGATTGTGGAAAAAAAAAAACCTGGTTGATCTGGACATTATGAACGTGTAAGCTTGCATTTTCATTAAATATACACTTCATTAAGTTGTAGCTGTATTGTTTGAATGATCTGATAAAAATAACTTTCATATTTATCAACAGTAGCATTAGACCTTTGAAATGGTGTTGACATGACAATATCAATGATGTTATACTAGCTGATGTTTTCCTTGATAAATGTAGGTTTCATCTGTCATCTCAGAGTCTCTGGGAACTCAGTGTCATGGCAGTAAAAGCTTTTGGCTGACTGGTGTTGAAAGAGTTAATGCCACAATTGGCAACAGTCCAGCTGTATGACAGCAGTCTGAGAATAATCATGAGAATTGATCCATGGAGTCCTTATACAATAACATGCCACCATTTCATGACGCCTCACCATGCGATCTATTTAGGTTCAACCTGAGACAGGCATGGTCTGTTCTATTTCACCCACGGCTAGGTTATCAGAGAGAGCCATGTACTATCACTAAAGTTTCTTGAGCCCTACTGTGCGTGAACTTTATGCCAGCTTGACCATTGCCTCATATTTAATCAGTAAAAAAGACAGATGCAAGGCTGTTTAGGCATATGTTCTAACATCTGTACACAACCTTGGTGAGGAAGAAAAATGAAGTTGAAATCTGTGGGCTGTTTCATTCGTTAATGTTACATTAAGCCACTTAAAGATATCTTGAAGAGTGACATTTAGTCCTCTTCAGTGTGTTGTATTTAAGATTTGTGCAGGTAATTTCAGGTACTTACTGATCTGTGTTCCGTTATTTCAGAGTGCTACTTGAGCGTCTGATTGTCAACCGGCCTCACCCATGGGGTCTTCTCATCACATTCATTGAGCTCATCAAAAACTCCACATTCAAGTTTTGGAGTCATGAGTTTGTCCACTGTGCACCAGAGATTGACAAGTAAGTACTATCGTCACGATCCCAATACTGGCATACGTCAGACCAAAAGGAAGTCGAAGGAAATTGTTGACAACTTATTTTGTGACACAGTTCAGTTGTAGTTATCTCTTTAACATGTACTAGTCTTTCTTGCAGGCTTTTCGAGTCTGTGGCTCGGTCCTGTATGCAGCCAAAACAGACCAGCAACTCACGAGAACCTGAGACGGCTGAAGTTCACTAGCCAGAAAGTGTTTTCAAATATTGGTGCAAACTTTCACAGCTGGGTCAACTTGAGACACATGGCGTCACAGTTGGCCAGCATCTTGGAGTGTTCATTTAGTCTACAGCCATATCAACCCCCCTCACCAGTGATGTTTCCCCCTCCCCTTCAGCCTCGCTACCAAACTGACTGGTCAAGGACCCTGCTCAGACTGTGTGGATGGTGTGTGTCCTTCACCTTGGGATTCTTTGTGTGGCTGGGACTAGTGACACAAGTGATTGTGCATTTACACTACAAACTTGGCACTTGGCCTACTTGCAAATATTTTCTTGTGTGTGTACATTTTGATGGAATTGTGAAAAGAATCAAAGATGTAAGAAAGTGTCCATTGCTATTTTTCCTTCCCTTGGGTTCATCCTGCTGTATAGTCATGTGTAAAATTTGTTCATCATGCATAGGGAGTGCTGGATCCGGACTGGCTCAGCTATGGAACTCCTCACTATAGAGGGCAAATTGTTAATTTAATAATTATGTCGACAGATGCGACAATAAATGTTACTGATGTTTTAAAGAACAGAATCACTGGACAATGGAGTATGATTTGAAGTGTTGATTTGTTGTTATCGTAGAAATAAAATATATTGCTTGCAGTAATTCTACACTTTGTTGTATGTCATTGTCAGAGAAAACACAGGGTGAAAGTATTTTGAATGAGATCTTTAGAAGTGTTTAGCCAAACACCTGTGACTGCCAAGTACAGGGAATTACCTGGGTCTGTTTTTGAGCCAATGGTGTCTCATTTATATTTTTGTGGCGTCCAAGGCTTGAAGGTTGTGATCCCCAGATGGCAACATGTGGCTTACTTGCATTCCAACTGTTTTTGAAATATTGCACATGGTCCATGGTTTTCAGCCTATTTCGTTACGGGAAACTGCGAGTATTGGATTGTTGTCAGGCTAATGTTTGTGTGTAAACCTGAGTATTACTAAGGGTAGTTCTCAGGCTACGGTTTTCTAAGGGAAATTGCAGGGTTCCAACAGAAAAATGCTTTGTCAGTATGTTTCTCATTCCAATTACAATGTATTCATGAAGTTTTTCATGTTCCAAATTCTATGTTAGTATGTGTGATTTAACATGTGAAATATTGCAGATATGAACTGGATTGAGATCAAGGAATGCATTTGAAATCAGGATGATAGGCCACCAGCAATCTATGCTGGAGAGTGGTTAGGCTCGTTCACAATTTTCATTGCATGTCATCATCTGCCCAGCAGCGTAGATATTATTGCTCCTTAAATCATTCACTGGATTGTCTCACTACCTAAATCACTGAATCATGAAAATAAGAGATTCTAATGTTAGTTTGATGTGTGCAAAACATGACAAATATTGATTTATGATATGCTACAATTTATTCCTTGTTAAAATACAGTTTATATTATTATGAGTTCATACAAAGGAGCAGAAAATGCATAACAATAAATAAACTTAATATCAGATCCATATTCAAATCATATTTCAAATTTGAAAGTTCAAAAACAATTGTATGAAAGGCTTATTACAAATTCTTCATTAGATAATTTATTCATACCCCGACCTTCTTGCCTTCCACCAGGAAGTGTATTGTAAGGTCAGAGAATGTGTGATACTATTACATATTCTGTGAACCAGGTTTTCCAACTGTGACCTACAAAATCTCTGATTAGATTCACATGATCTGCTTAGGGGTTTCCACAAAGCACACCTTTAGTGTCTCTGCAGTTCATGAAAAGTTACCAACCTGTGTCCATAGAAGCACACTGAACAGCACACCTTTAGTGTCTCTGCAGTTCATGAAAAGTTACCAACCTGTGTCCATAGAAGCACACTGAACCACAACGCCTGTTATCCCACCCTGCACACCATACAACACATCATTACACTTCTACTTCTTGTAAGAGAAAAATTGTACCCAGGTTGATTTGAACAGACCTATTGAGTATTCCTGAGTAATTCAGAGGTCAGATCGTGTGGGGACAGAGGATACACATGCTACAGACCCAATACAACAGGGACAACGTGTGCTTAGTCTTGCATATGTTGCATTAGGGACCATTTATTATTTATGGCTGGGGGATGGAGTGATGATTTTTATGGAGAAGCATGTACAATGTGACTATCTCTCCAGAACAAAATGCGTGGACCCCCCACCAAAAAGATATATATAAAATTATCTTCTCTCCCCCTTCCCCCAAGCCATTAATTATGAACAGTCCCTTACATTAATAGTATGTATCCTAAGTTGAGATTTAAGTAGAACAAGTAGAAAATGCATCCACAATTTTCCATTGTAGTAAATCTCCATACGACCATGACAAATACCCACTCATTTCCTACCCCAGCCTTGGTTTGAATCTGGTAAACACTGATACAAGTCTATTAACAGTCTTCCAACAAATGACAGTAAGTTCTAACAACAGTGGCTTGACGGGCATTGTTGCTAGTTCACTACTATAGGACTTGCCCCATGTAGTAATACTCTTGAAATATCTGCTCATATACAATATTATATGATGACTGGAAGCGTTATTATTAATAAAATAAGGGATTGCATTTATAGAAGAACAGGAGGACTTTGTGTTTGAAAAATGGAAATTCCTGGCCAAGTTGCTGATGGGAGATGCAACTTTAAAAATGATTCATTGTTGGCAAAATGTAGGTCAGCAACAAATACAGTACTAGGCCAATACAATGTTTTACCAATATATAGTAACAAATATGATTATTTATTCAAACAATATGTTACGTTAAATATCAAGGAATAAAAATAACAAACATGTAATTGCTTTGGTTGAAACAGTTCCATAATTTCTGTGAAGCGAAAGAACAATACACCACAAACAATGCTGCTTGTAGCCTAATGACAATGGGCCTTGGCACAATATACCAGTTATGCTACTGCATGGCTTGGATCTTTATCCATTGTGCACACCTCACATAATATAGGGTAAAACACTTATATTTTCATAAATAGTCGATGCCAGTGACCACTAATAATGAGTTCATGTAAGGATACAAATTGATTTAACAAATATGAAAGTGAATCAGATCTTGACATGCTAATAGTTCCGGGTATTTATCAAAATGGCATGGAGATGTGATGCACTAGATGCTTCTGCCTTCTATTTAGCACCTTGTAGCCTCTTCTGAAGGAAGTAATTCATCAAAGACCATGTCTAGAGAGTGGATCCAGCCATAAGCACCGTCACAACACTATCTCGCACCTGGGCAGGGAGGGACCCCAAGCAGAGATGCCAACCCATACAATTTTATTGTATTCATAACGAAAAAAACAAGACAAAATATGTAGCATACACAATAAAGTTCAGCCACATTTTATTCAGTATCAAGCTACTTACTACTGATTTAGGTGAGTATAATGTCAATATCAAGTTCTTAGAATATATATATAATTTTTTATTAATATGAAAATTCTTTGGAAAAGCTAATACTAATTCCGGCCCCAACAAATATTAATTTTTGCATCAGTTTTTGGCCAAAATACTAATTGGGCTAAATGAGGGTTGGCATCTCTGCCCTAGTCGCACATCACTCCTGACTTTTTACATTACCTTCGACCACGTGATTACATGTACTTCAAGGAACATCTACCATCATCTCATGTAGGCCTCTACACTGCATACATACTTTCAGGTAAATATATAACCTGAGACGATACACCAACTGTCTGCTGGGATATGTATCACGTTATACTGCTACTGATAGGACATGTATCACGATACTTGCACATGCTGTTATCTATGGTGCATAAGCCATCTTTTTAATGGACAAGATGGCCAAATACCTGGAAACTTACAATGTTCAGTTGGCAATGTCAAGTTTGGCGCAATGGATGAAAATATTTACATTTTCACAACTACTTATTGACAGTTAGGTAAGAATCAATATGTTTACTTTGAGTGAGAATCAGATTTTCCCTTTATGGAGAAGTATAAAAAATCTATCCACTGATGCATTGGTATATCACCCCACTGCAAGTAAATAGATGCTGTTCAAAGGTTAAGAACACCCAATTCGTTCATGTGTAATCGATCATGGTTGGTGGGTATTGCTACACAGCCTTCCAATATTGGGGTGTTTGTTATTTTAGTTTTACTATCACAACTACTGGTACTATTGTGTAGGGAACACACTTCATATTTCAACAGGTAACACATATTCTTAATAAAACGTACACTCAATCCTGTATACCTGATACTTATACAGAGCCCTTATTCTCTAACTGTTCGTAGCCCTAAGAATTCTTAACTTTGATCATAGACAATGTATTAAGAAGGGCTTAAGAAGTTCGTAGGGCTATGAACGTTTCAAGAATAACTAGCCTGTTCATCTTTGATATTATGCTCAATGGACATGATTTCTACATCGTTACACTCAGGAGCAAAATTAGACAAATGCAGTGATTTGATGGTTTAAGCATATGCACAAATACCATCATAAAAGCAAAATATGCAAATCTAAATAAGAAAATGCAATTTGTACAACGCAAAACAAGGATGAATACAGAATTTCAATTCACACAAAAAAACAAAACATTCTTGCGTTGAGATCCCATATGCATGACCCATAGATTCATCTCTCATTAACAACCTGCCAAGGTACATCTCTGTAGAAACGACCACACGTACCTTGCACTCGTTCTGTGTCTACATAACAAATACATGCAACAGGCACGTATACTGTTTGATACAATTTGGGTTGAGTCCCATAAGAAATTAAACCACTCTCAGTGTGAGACACCTAATCGCCAGCACACAAAGTCGCAATCTTACCGACAGCCACTGCGGCATCCATGTGAATATAAGGCACTTACAATATTTGATGGAAGATAGGTCTGAAACATTTCAACTGAACAACAGGTGTATAATTACTTCAACACTCCACTGTTAAAGGACTGGTGACATTCAATATTTCAATACATCCATAGAATATTGGCAAAATTGGAATACAAATGTTTTCTCAATGCCCAAAGTGGAGTACATAATAACAATGAATGTTCTCTCATCAATCTTGGCTTTACAAAATATGCTGATACAAGAAAAGAATGTTCAAACGTTGAGATCATTCTTCACACAAAAGAGCTCACCACTTATTAGTAGTCACTTATGTATTTCAAGATTGTTGAAGTCGATGAGTATGGTTACGATTGCTAGTTACATGTGGGGCTCTGTCAGCCTTCAGCAGAAATGTCCGTACATCAAATTGCAGTGACTTTTGTCAAACCCTGTACATAAAGCATGGAGAATACATATCAAATATATAGAAGGTATAACAAATTGCACTGTGACTATGAAAATGTAAAACTAGGTATGTCCACACCAACAAAACTAGGCCTAAACAATCAAAGGTAAGCCCAGGAAAATACTGTCTAGAAATATGTTTGGCAGCACGCGTGGACAGTTTTCTTTGTTTTCAAGTATGCAAACTACATATTGAAGCAGCCTTCTTTGACAAGTTTGCAGTATGTAAATATAGACCCATTAAAACAGCTTTCTTTGCCAACATTTTGAAGTATTTTGGAAACTACATACTGAAACAGGTTTCTTTTTACATGTTTGAAGGATCCAAACAAACAAACTGTCATCTCACAATGGTCTCGCTGAAGACTCAGGTTCGAATCCCCACATGGGTACAATGTGTGAAGCCCATTTCTGGTGTCCCCCGCCGTGATGTTGCTGGAATATTGCTAAAAGAGGCGTAAAACCATACTCAGTCAGTCAGTCATCTCACAATGGAGAAAAGATCATTTGATCTTTCAGACATGTTTTACCCTTACGTAGACCATGGTTACAATTGGTGATGTTTTACATCGCAAGTCACAAACATCCACATTTTGAAAAGAAGTCTGACTTTACATTCCACATGTCCTAGTGACCACACCAGATTACTTCTATATCATCTGTTAGTGTTTTCCTTGATTAACAGCTCAAACATATACCATGAATTCAAATTGGGTGACAAGTTTGCTCATACATCTATATTTCTACCAATAAAATGTATTAAATCATTTTGGAAGTACAAATTTTGGAATATTAAGAAAGAAAAAAATAGGTTGTCAGTAATTTGAACATGTCTTATAACTTTTAGTCAGGGTTTGACAACTTGATTGTTAGACATTTCCAGTTCAGGATAATCCTTGTGCTACCTCACAATAATGGTACTTATCCAGCCTCATGTAAGAATGTCGAGTTTTGATTGGTTCACGTGACTCTGATAAAATACAATGTATACCCGTCACGATCCACGAGCAGGGAGTACAAAAGTCATATTATCCCGAAACGCCTCGGTGACCACGCGAAGTGAGAAAAGCGTGCATCGCCAAGCCTTTAGTAACATGCGCTGCATTGAGGTCAATCGATCAGCTGGTGTCAACATGGCATCTCACATAAATAAAAACAAGTCAATTCGATGCGTATTGTTTTCTTTTGTTTTAGTAAAAACATTCGGCTAGATAAATACAACCTTACTCGGGACTGATAAAACCCTTTATTACCCACGAGGTCAACGTATTGGTAGTTGCATATCGTACGTCACACGAGTGTCGTATCGCGTTGACCTGTGTCATAACGACTTGACCTGAGATTCTAACGATTTGATTGGATAACCTCTCAATTAGGTCACATTCTGACGTAACTATTTTTTCATTCATAAAAAACACGTGAATTCATTCATTCTACAACTTAAATGCATTGTGGGAATGTAAACATTGCGAACGTTGCCGTGTCGCTGTTTAATTGTGAGTCGAACTGTGACATTATATCCGTCGAAAAACATAAACGCAATGTTTCCACCAGTGATGTTAGCCGAATGAAGCAACTGGAAACCAAGAAACGATGTGCTACGGAGTAGTTTACTGTAGGAGGCTGTCGGGGCGATGACAACAGACATGCATCGTGACGTCAGTTACCATGGCAGTGACGTCATTACAGTGTGACGTCATGCAAATCTTGTACTACAGTAAAAAACTCTTCTGCAACCTCTTTATGAAACCGGTTTCGGTTTGAAACCAAAAACATGACAAAATACGCTATTTTGTCAATTTAATGCATGTAAGACATGGGTAATAAATAAAATACCACACTCGGTCTCATTACATACGAATTATATGAAACTTGTGACCTTCCTATGTTATCTGACCTAGCTTTCTCTCGGTCAGATACCACAGGAAGGACACTCGTTTCGTATACTTCGTATGTAATGAGACCTCGTGTAGTATTCTCTATGTATTTCCCTCGACACGATGTGATAACTTATATTGTCAACCTGCTTAGTTCTTGGCAGAAAGTGGAAACGAGTGGACTAGTTGTCTCTGAGTCAGAATACTGTGCCTGAGTGGGGTATCCATGTAAAACTACAGCAGGATATCAAACATGGTATCTCAGTGGACTAGCACTGCAAACCTGGCATCAGGTGGGACTAGTACAAGCACACACACACACACACTGGTACAGAAACATGCACACATGTATATATACACACAAACACTGCTACATACTATAATCGTATATATTTTCGCAGAAAGTTAACAAAAGACCTGTTAGCGCAATTGGTTTTTTTTACGCATTTCAAACACCTGAGTGATGGTATCACAACAGATAGACATGCAATGATAAATGCTAGCCGCCTCAATTGAATTGTGCTTACTAAAACAATGAGAGAGAGAGGTGGGATTATACTTGTGTCAACATGACAACACCTGTCCCATATGCGAGATCAACTGACAATGAATTAAGGAAGAGTGTAATCAGAGGCCCAGATAAGCTAAGTATCTGGGCAAAAATTGCATAGAAAATTTCAATTACGCATTGAAAAATAATTGTCGCGTACCAATTACGCATTTAAAACGTTAGATACAAACGTTTAAAAGTTTAAAACAAATGCGTACGGAATATATATATAAAAATCGTTTGCGTAATGAAAAAGACATCGATTGCTATCAAGTTGTACTGTTAGTATAGAACTAGTGTTGTACTGTCAGTATAGGATGAAATCATTTCCATTATATTTAAGTTGGTTTTGATTAGGTATGACATAAGGCAGAACATACCTGCTTAGTAAACTTACTCAATGACATAATACTTAGGTGAGTAACATGACTGAAATACGCACATATTTTGAAAGCAGTGGGTAACGGAAAATGAAATACCCACTCAACATTCATAATACCCACTCCAAAACAATACAGTAGGTACAGTACCCACGAGCTAAATCTTATCTGGAGCTCTGTTGTATACTATAGTACTTACGATAATTAAACATAGAAATCATAAAGTAGTGTTTGTTGTTTATAAATTGCATGTTGTCCCTACTTGAGTATTTGTCATGACTTGACCATGAATATTTCGCTTGATATGATTATTGGCGCAAAAATTAATCCCACACGAAAATAACTACGATTACAGTAAGTGCAATATTGAATGTGACAAGCCTCATTTCACCTGACCTGAACGTAGGAGACTTGCTGCCTACAAGCTGTTTTCAAACAGGAAAAGCACCCTATGAACTGGAATCACTGTTAAGGAAATACATCAGTAGTGTACACACCCACATCTACAGCGTGTATTGGGATCAACCCAGGGATTATCTAGGCCTGTCAACCCAGTTCCTGTTAAACTGGTAACTCCACTCCATAGTTCTCAATTTGGGAATTTCAGCTTCACCCTATGCTGGACTGTAACAGTAAGTGCTAAAAACTTCATACCAAAATCAGCTTTTCTGAGCATTAGACTATTTTAAGTTTTGTTAGAACTGACTTCAATATTTCATGCATAAAGATTGGTATATGTGGAATTAAGCATGCACACCAGTTTTAACGTTTAGAACTCTATAAATACAAAAACATGTTGAAGTCAACTCTTATTAATACATAACTCAATAATAATAACTTAAGAACTATTTTACTTAATCAGTCACAGAAAAAACACAGTGGACAACATCCATCATCACTGAAATCATTCCGTCCAGCAAAAGCAACTGTTCCACAGGGAATCAGTATCAGTTGTTAGTAGTGGTGGGTGTGGCCTTGGTTTGGCTTATGGAAAACATAAATGCTAAGTATATGTGCTCAATTAGCCATCCAGTACACAAGAATCACTTCAGGGCTCGATTTAAGAGATGTTAACCTACTTACACCAGGTGCAACCTAAGATAAAGACCTAGTTGCACCAGCCAAATTCCAGTTGCAACGTAGTGTGTTAAAATGTTTCAGTGCACATAAACCTTAATCAGTGATGTAGTACCCATGAAACCATAGCAACACTGAGACACAGCTGATCCCTGTTTACAAGATCTGTCATAGCCGAGACGTGTTTATGAATAGCAATGTTTCATTGCCATAGCTATTCAAAGTTTAGAAGAAAAAATGGGCTGGCATATTTATGCATATGTTAGATTTATTGTTGATTTATCTCTCAACAATTCACTTGCACCTTGTGCAAGATAGACTCATAGCTAGGTTGTATTTTGTAATATTGGGTTGCACCAGTGCAAGTAACAAAGCACTAAATCGAGCCCTGCACTTGCATTATCTTTATCATTACATGAATCTTGAAGATTTGGGAAGTTTTAGCTGAGATAGACCCTGATGTGACTTTAGCCTCTGATGACACCTAGATAATTCCCTGAACTGCATCCCAATTATGTCAGCTTCACTTTCAGTATCACGCAATCATGCATCACTTCTGGCAATGATAATTTGGAAATATATGTCAGAATACTGCCTTGTGATGCGTGACTTTTCAGTGTTTGACGGATGGTGTGACAGGCTATCATTCTCAGTGGCAGCACCTTACCGGCCAGCCTCTGCAACCAATCACGTGTTGCTCGGGAAATGTTCAGATGATTCCGAACTCCATCTGACAAAATTCTCTTCAACCAGTTGGTGTTCCCTGACGCGAACAACAATGTGAGAATAAGCTCTTGATTCTCGCTGCTAAGTAGTCTTGTGACAAGATCATTTTCGTCTGAATTGAGAAACTGTGTAGAGCAGCCATGTTGGATGAGTCTGATGCAGATTTTGAAGTAGTGCTCCGTAGCGGCTTGTTGGAGAGGGTCTTGGATGTTCACCTGCTGGAGAATGTTATGGGATGAAACCACACATGTTGTCTTTATTGCATCAATAATTGCACCTTTATTGAGGAAATATTCTACCAGTGGGAGATCGCCATGTGTGATAGCGTGGTGTAGCACCGTGTCTCCTGACCGACTTGTGTGGTTGATGTTGGATCCATACTGTACCAGCAGTTCATGGATGTCTTGTCGTGTTGTAAAGAACGACGGAGTTAGGCGCTGATTTACTTCATACCTATTTGGGTTGGCGCCAGCTTCCAGCAAAATCTGAAACGCAAGATACTTGGGATATTTCAGTTTGGAAAATCATGCGTCGGGAGACAACCTTAAAATTGAGCAGGTCTTGATGTGCGAACATAGCTTAACAATGTGTAAATATTAAGGCTGTTACGATTCACTCGCATATTCGGTGAATCGAACCGTAGCCCTTCATGAATTCAATTCGTTATTCGTGGTCACCAGAACCGAATATTCATGAATATTTACAAAAACCTTTATGGAGTACGTTTTACTTGAACACTTATGTCCTTTTTCAATATGAGATATGCAAGAATGCATTATGTACTAGCCTTGTAGCGCAAGTCATGTTAGTTTGCCAAGGCCACACATGGTACTGTCAACTATAACTATTACATACCAAATTTGAGTGTCATGAGATGACTGGTTATTGCTGTGGGCAATCAATATTGTGCATCAATCACTTAACTATAGTATTGTATTCGTGAATAATTATTCGTATTCGTTACCCAATATTCGTGATACATATCATATTCGCAACATAGTGTATTCGTTACAGCCCTAGTAAATATTGCCTATGAAATTACAACATGGTACTTCCTTGATCTTTGTGATTTACTTCCCTATTTGTCCACAATCTGACATTTGATATTTTTATATACCCCTGATATGAACCATTTCTATTTCCGGAATTTTACCGAGAAAGGTATTGTTTTCTTGTTAAGGCAATGAGTTTCAAGTCAAGGTACCTAAATTTTAACAGTTGAGGAAACAAACAAAAAAGACATTTTATCCACATAACATAATCTGTTTCGGAACTTTCAAGTGAACTATTATCATGATTATCAGATCAGCAATCACCATGGTTACCTTGACGATGTCCAGCTTTCCTTTAGCAACTGCCTCATGGAGGATGGTGTAGTTGGTGTCTTTGGTACCGAGGTTGATGTCACACCCTGACCTCAGGAGAAGATGCAACATGTCGTCATTGGAACACGACATGGAGTAAAACAATGGAGGCCGACTGAAAAGAAACATGACAGGAATCTTGGTGTCACATATATTCAGTTATATATCACAATATATTACCCCCTGGTCACTGAAGTTTATCTAAAATTGCAAGAATGAACTAACAACTGCACAACATTCTGGCATTGCACCAACCGTTATATTCACCACATTATACAAAGCACCAACACTGAGGTTCCTTGTTACATGTCTCAAGAGGAAAACTGAATAATAACACCCAAGCATCCTTGATAATCTCCCGGGTATACGTTCCGATAATTCTCCACTATACCCTGGATGCATCTATGGTTCGGCCTGATGATTTTATTACCTCGTTTGGTTGGCTTTTCATCCAATCAGGTGTCTACGCTGGGAAGTTGAGCATACCAAACACACCCCACTTTCACTTTTTAAATTATCTAACCGATTAAACTTGGCAACACAATAATATATTGCTGCAGAGGTACTCTGTAAGAGGTAGAAGGAGTTCTTTCATATATTTTTTAAGGTTTCAGACCTGTCAGTTTGTATGTTTTCTCCCCAAATCTGAGTCGCACTGCGAACAAACTTTCGTGGCTGCGACCGCTATCTTTGTTGACACTGGCAAGCTCGGTTGTAACGGTGGCTTATCTGATTGGCCACTGTGAGAATGCGGAGCCAGCAAAGGGAGGTAATAAAATCATTGGGCCGAGCCGTAGATGCATCAAGGGTATAGTAGAGAGTTATCGGAACGTATACCCTGGAGATTATCGAGGATGGCCATAAAGTGGAAGATCAAACATGAGCATGATAAGCCAAAATTATATATATCTAAGAAAACAGAAAGTAAATGTTGACTAGCTATGCATCAATGGAAAATTGTATCACACATTTCACTAAAATGTGAGAATATGATTTTAGCATGCCACCTTTTGAAGCCATATTGAAAATCCAAATTGACCCTCTTGAACAAATTTAAGGTAACCAACTTAAAGATTTATATGTCATTTTGGAAAAGTAGAGACTTAAATAAGGAAACATTTCAGGGCTCGATTTAAGCATTTAGAACTTGCACTGGTGCAACCTGAAACTGATAAATGCAACCTCTTGTGTATATCAACTTGCACCCATTCTGTGTGTTAATATTTGTGTTCAAAGAACACAGACTAGCTTCAGCTGTAAAACAGAATGATGAGGAACTGACTTGGAACAGTGACTCTGATTATTGTAGGAACAGTGACTGAAGGAATTGCTGTTCATGGAAGTAAGATAACTACAGATTTCTTTTGTTACAATACTGTTCAAAAGCGTCTTTACCAAAACTCATGCATTATATAACTGATGTTTTGGTTTTACTCCGCTTTTAGCAATATTCCAGCAACATCACGGCGGGGGACACCAGAAATGGGCTTCACACATTGTACCCATGTGGGGATTCGAACCCGGGTCCTCGGCCATGCATTATATAAGACTTTATATTAAGCAGCAGGTGCAACCTGTTTTTGTTTGGTGCAACAAGGTGATTGCCTTAGGATGCACTGGGTGAAAGTAGGCTTCATTTTCTTAAATCGACCCTTGCGTTTCAGCCAACCATGGTACACGTAGTCATGGTATACGTAGTCAATATATGCTCTATCAAGGAGGTGAATCACTTAACAACTCAGGTATTCCTGTCCATGTACTCCAAATATTTGTTAGTCCTCCACCAGCATCTTCCCCTCAGAAACCATTGGAGCAATATGACTGAAACTTCACATCCCTTCCTGCCAATGATCATTACACCTGATATTGTGGATCCCGTACATGAAGTTGACAAGGACATCACAAAATGAAGAATTATTCAAATCTTGATCTTACCCAAGATCATCTCGGAGATCTTTGTTACATCCGGGCCTGTAGAAGCATCATTACTGCCTGTGTGTTTCCCGCACTGACAGCTTGACACAGTGGTGTGAGACGGAAGTAGAAAGGTGGAACTGTCCCACTCTTGTTCAGATCACAGCCATGTTCGATCAACAGGCGACACATAGTAGTGTTTTCCTATGATACATGTATTAAGATTGTTATATAACAGTGTTACAAGAGTACAAAACCAATCTTAACTGGTAGACTGGTCTACTTCACAACATTTTAGTAATCAGAGTGAGTGAGTAAATATAGTTTTACGCAGCACTCAGCAATATTCCAGCTATATGGCGTCAGTCTGTAAATAATCAAGTCTGGGCCAGGCAATCCAGTGACCAACAGCATGAGCATCAATCTACGTATTGGGATACGATGACATGTGTCAACCAAATCAGCGAGTCTGACCACCCGATCCCATTAGTTGACTCTTACGACAAACATGGGTTACTGAAGATCAACTCCAACCCGGATCTTCACAGTTCTGAGTTGAATGACACATGCTTCAATTACGAACAGACCATGGCCTAGTCTTGCGCTAAACACATAAAGGAAGGGAGCAAGTTTTGAAGAGCTGGACAATGATAGATATCAGGAGGTGTAGAGGTAGTACCAAAGTACTGACATACATAATTCTGTTACCATCTGCCTAATCTGTGAGCCGTCTAGATCAATACATTGTAGATTACCTGGTGTATCACTTTGACATTTCCATGTAGTAGCATTTAACTGATTCATTTAAAGGTCACATGCAACCAAATATACAAACATAATTAAAACACAATTATCACTTATTCATGACATATAATATGCATTGCTGATTATGAAAGAACAAATAAACAAAATTATAAGCGTACAATCGCAAATCAAAACTGCAATATTTTTTACTTGGGTTTACTAAGCTCGAAACGAAGCACCCGGGTTACCGAACCCAGTCTGCAAATTCGTGTTTTGTGTTTGCATGTGCCCTTTAAGTGATAACTGCAAAATTTCTGTACAGAATATATGTTGAAAATACTACAATGGACCAGTCATTTAACGGCAAAAATAGCAGCTAGTTACATGGTCATGACATGTGTCAGTTCTATAAAACTCTACGTTTGCGTTACAAACTCCCATGTGACTAAGGCTTACAACAGAGACGAGGCTAGTCCTTAACCCCCTGGATGCCACAGGGACATATATGTCCTTCCCCTTCAACACTCAATTTGAAGTCGAATAAAAATCAAAGTATCCCACGCACACAAATACACTTCACAGTTTCGAATTCTGCGGGAAATTTCCTGTTTCTTGATACCATCCACTATTACTTTAGACAAAGCTCAAGTGCTGAAAATGACCTTTCAAAATAGGCTTCATCGAAAATGGTGTCAACCAAATCAGCGAAGTCTGACCACCCCATCCCATTAGTTGACTCTCTCACGACAAACATGGGTTACTGAAGATCAACTCCAAACCGATCTTCACAGTTCTTGAGTTGAATGACACATGCTTCACTACTACCGCATTTCATGGCCTAGTCTTTAAGCTAAACACATAAAGCGAAGGGAGTTTTGAAGAGCTGGACAATGATAGATAATTGTGAGGTAGGTAGTACCAAAGTGCTCGACATACATAATTCTGTTACCATCTGCCTAATCTGTGAGCCGCTTCCAGATCAATACACAGATTACCTTGGTGTATCACTTGACATTTCCATTTCCGTAGTAGCATTTAACTGATTCATTTAAAGGTCACATGCAACCAAATATACAAACATAATTAAAACACAATTATCACTCTTATTCACCATGACATATAATATGTACTGGTTGATTATGAAAGAACAAATAAACAAAAAATTATAAGCCGCATAACGCAAATCAAACTGCAATATTTTTACTTGGCTTTACTAAGCCGAAGCTGAAAACGCGAGTTACCGGTTGGTCAACCCAGTCTGCAAATTCGTTTTGTGTCGTAATGTGCCCTTTAAGTGATAACTGCAAATTTCTGTACCAGAATATATGTTGAAAATACTACAATGGACCAGTCATTTAAGCAAAATAGCAGCTAGTTACATGGTCATGACATGTGTCAGTTCTATAAAACTCGTTTAGATTACAAACTCCCCATGTGACTAAGGCTTACAACAGAGGCCGAGGCTAGTCCTTAACCCCCTGGATGCCACAGGGACATATATGTCCTTCCCCTTCAACACTCAATTTGAAGTCGAAAAAATCAAAGGTATCCGCACACAAATGCAGCTACACGGTTTGATTCTGGAATTTCCTGTTTTGTGATACCATCCACTATTTACTTTGGAATAAAGCTCAGAAGTGCTGAAAATGACCGCTTTCAAAATGAGCTTCATCGCCAATGGAGACATTTTGACACAGTATGGAAATCGCGATTCACAGCGTTATTTATGCTAGTATGTTTGGAAATGTGAAAATCGGGATGAATTACTGTGAATTATTGAGATTTCAAAAATAACATGATTTATGATCACTGATATCAGTTTTGCGATTTAAGCTAATTATAATTCTGAAGCGTCACCCGATGAATCTAGAATCCGGTTGGGATGTTTTTCGAAACTGCGCTTACCGAACTACCGTGGCTTTCCGCCATATTGGATATAGTGTTTAGCAAAATCCACTGGATTTAGCGAGAAGGCGGTATTGAGGCGCCTATTACATCACGTAGATTTCATATTTCAGCTTGAAAATATTGCATCCACTGAATTTATACATTTTAGAATCAATATGAAACTAGTCTGGTGTCACCAATAGCTAACTGTCTAGATAAAAGATAAGAATGAAACATATTAGATTATTGAAAGCGAGCGGCTATTAGCGAAGACTGCGTTTGTGTGAAGTAAACAAAGAAGACAAGTCAGATTTTTACGCATAAGTAGCATTTTTTCTGAAATTTTTCAGCATTCATCTGTCGATTCATTTGTACCCAGTGGCTCCAAAGAAATACCTTTAGAATATGCATGGAAAGAGTATCGCGTAGCAAGAGAATAGGAAATTATAAATAGATACAATGCAATGATTTGATAATTCATAAGGAAATTATCAGGATTTCCGTGCAATGACGCCATGACTGACGCCAAATCACGCAGAACGACAACAGTAATTATCTGCATTTCTGTCCTTTCTCTCTTCATTATAGGCGGAAAACGATAAAAACATATAACAATACACAGATAAGTCAGAATCATTCTGATTACTTACATCTCATATTTATGTACAAACGATCCCTCGAAGTTCTGAATCGGTGGAAGGGTCCTCGCAAAATCCTGTGTGTACCCTTGTCAGCAAAAGCCGCCATTTGTAAGAAATGTCGGTCAGCGGTAGCAAGCGTGTCATCACGTCAAACATTTGTTCACCATATTAGCGGCAATTTTCTTTGAGTAGAAGGTCGGTTGAACAAGAGTAAAGCTACCAGTATACACTTTCTTCGATTACACTATCAGTATTATGGTGTATATTTCTCCGGGATAGTTCGGATACTTTTTCTATGCAGAGCATTCGAAGTATCTACATTTTAGCCTTGTTCAATATCATATCATCATTACGCGTATATAGGGTTCACGGTGTTTTTATTCTTTAAGAAAGTTTTTGATTGTTTGAATCATATTTACATAAGAAATTGACATATTTATTGCAATACATCATATTCCTAAACCTTTACACAAGTGTTAGAAGATCAGCGTAGCCATAACTGCAACTTCACTTTAGATTCCTATGATGTACAATAATATTCCAATTTATTTAGGACTAATGTTGCAATTTCCTTATAAGAACAGGTTAATGAGCGGTGGTAACGATATACCCAACTTTATATACAAAACCGATAATATAACGTAATATTACGACAATGATTTATATGGTGCAGTATGAAATGTATATGCACACACATATTTAAAGGAATTGTCTTGTTCATTGCATAATTTTTGTGTCGCTTTTATAGACAAAGAATGATGCATATAGATCGGTAAGGAATGCTTGGCGTTTGTTGGAACGTTTTTATGATTGGCCATCATTGTTTCGGAGTATAATATATTCAATTCATATTCCGATTAAATAATATTTTTGATGACAGGATATCAAACTCTAACTTCCCACTTATTATATAGGAAGAATTGCTGAAAAATATATATACCATCTCACGTATATTCTACGGAGCTCTTATATCCGTATTCTAATATATGATGGTTCCATATAGCGAAAAGCTATCTTTGCATCTTTCATTACATGCATACGTATAGAAGAGAAATAGCTTTATAATCATAAACAGAACAAATTCTCTTATCTCAAACAAAATATTCAGATTGTTGTGAAATATTTTATTTTTGTTCACGTTAAATTGATGTTAAATTGCAAACAGAGTGTGGCGTGTTGTTCACAATAAGATACACTGTCAAACTGTCTAATTGTTGATATATTCAAGGACACTATTTAAATGGTAAAATCAGTCATTTTCATATTTTTAAGTCTAAAGAGTGTTAAATTCTTTTATTACAGAAGTCTAGACCTTTTTACAGGAATTGATGGAAATTAAGTGAGATATATACTAATCAAGCATACCAATGTACGTCTTTTCCGGCATCGCCGCAAAATGCATAAAACAAGCGATGACGTCAAGAAGAAAATACATTTTGACATTTATTGAGTCATTTTTAATGTTGAGTATGAGCTATGCACAAGCACATAAACACAATCATATACGCCATATTAGTTCAGATATCCGAGGCTGTATTTTTCGCTCATTGTACACTTTCCGTAAGAAGATGCCCCCCATATTGTCCTGTTTGTGTAGGTCTATATTTTGACTAATTTTGCATCTGTGAAAGTTATAATATTACCAATACTGCTAACGTTTCTATCTTCAAATGTAATTCGAAATTGCTGAAAATAATACACCATTTTAGTTGACGCCATTGCTTGTTTTATCGCATTTTCGGCATCGGCGTATGTAACTACGAGTACAACATCTTTCACCGAGAGAAACGCGATATCGCGACATAAGTATTATATGAGCAGGTTTATGTAACTATGAAAAGACGACACTGGTATGCTGTTTAGTACATATCTCACCTAATTTCCTTTAATTGTGTGAAAGGTCTCGCTTCTATGTTGAACCAAACTATCCCAATTCAAAGTTCTAATGGCCGAGCGGAATTTAAGACTCTTTAGACAAAACATAAAATGACTGATTTTTCCATTTAAATAGTGTCCTAAATATATCAACAATTAGACAGTTTGACTGTGTATCTTTTTGTGAGAAACACGCACCTGTTTGGCATCAATTTAACGTAAATGAAAAATAACATTTCACAACACCAATATTTTGTTTAGGATAAGAATTTTCTTTGTTTATGATTATGTAGCTATTTCTCTTCATAAATATGCAATGGAAGATGCAAAAGATAGCTTTTATATATGGAACTAGTAATGCATACTATATATTAGAATATGGATGTAAGATTTGTCCAAATTAAGACATGACATGGTTTATATATTTTAAACAATTTTCGTGATAAATATAGTTAGAGTTTGATATCCTGTCATCACAATATTTTAAATCGAATATAAATTGATTATATTATCGAAAACAATGATAGTGAATCATAAAACGCTTCCGACAAACGCGCACCTGGCCAATCAATTTACATAATTGTTTTCTCTATAAACCGACACACAAATGTGCAAAAACAAGACAATTCCTTTAAATATGTGTGCATATACATTTCATACCATATATAAATCATTTTCATTAATATTATCAGTTTTACTTATAAGGTTGAACTAAATCGCCGTTCATTAACCAGTTCATGTGAAACTGCAATATTAGTCCAAATGCATTGAATATTGTACATCATCGGAACTAACGCATGAATTCCAGTTATGGCTACGTTTGATCTTCTAACACTTGTGTAAAGGTTTAGAATATGGTGTATTGCACTAAATATGTCAATTTCCTATGTAAATATGATTCAAACAATCAAAAACTTTCAAAGAATAAAACACCGTAAACCCTATGCATGCGTATGATATGATATTGAACAAGGCTAAATGTGGATACTGAAGTCAGTTTCATGAAAAAGTATCTGAACTATACTAAAAATATACACCATAATACTGACAGTGTAATCGGAAGGATTGAAGTGATTGTGTTTACTCTTGTTCAGCCGACCTTCACCTCAAAGAAATTGCCTAATATGTACAACAATGTTGACGTATGACATCACTACGCTGACCGATTTCTTACAAAATGGCGACTTTGCTGACAAGGGTACACAGGATTTTGCGAGGACCCTTCCATTGATTCAGGGATCGTTTGTCCATAAATATGAGATGTAAGTAATCAGAATGATTCTGACTATCTGTGTATTGTTATATGTTTTATCGTTTTCACTAAAAAGTAAGAGAAAAAGACAGAAATCCAGATAATTACCGTTGTCGTTCTGCGTGATTTTCGTCAGTCATGGCGTCACGCTGCACGGAAACTTTGACAATTTCTTATAAATTATCAAATCATTGCATTGTATCTATTTATAATTTCCTATTTCTTGCTACGATACTCTTTCCATGCATATTCCAAAGGTATTGAACCATTGCAAGCAATGAATAGGACGGATGAATGTTGGAAAATTTCAGAAAATGCTACACAGTGTAAAATAGGTTTTGTCTTTGTTTACATTTCGAACCAGCGCAGTCTTTCGAGCACAGCGTTAGATTTTCACACCAAATATGTTTCGTCTCATTTTATCAAGACAGTTGGAATTGGTGACAAAGACCACTTGCAGTTTGAGTCTAAAATGTATGGGGAGTTTATTGATGCATTTTTTGAAGCTGAATATGAAATATACGTGATGTAATATCGTCTCAATACCGCCTTCACAAAAGCGTGATTTTGTAAACACTATCCAATATGGCTGAAAGCCTCTGGCGATCAAGCTCGTAAGTGCATTTTCGAAAACATCCCAACCGATTCTAGATTCATCGGCAACGCTTCAGAATTTTACTTAGCGATTTCATGTAAAACTGATATGAGTGATCATGAATATGTTATTTTTGAAATTCAATACTCCCAGTAATAATCCGGTTTTCACATTTCAAAACATACAGCAAATAACGCTGTGAATCGCGATTTCGTACTGTGTCAAAAATGGCGACATTTTCGATGAAGCCTATTTTGAAAGGTCATTTTCAGCACTTGAACTTTGTCTAAAATAATAGTGGATGGTATCAAGAAACAGGAAATTTCCCGAAGAATTCGAAACTGTGAAGTGTATTTGTGTGCGTGGGATATTTTGATTTTTATTGGACGTGAAATTGAGGGTTGAAGGGGAAGGACATATATGTCCCTGTGGCATCCAGGGGGTTAAAGGTTATAAAACGGTGATCTACCAGTAATGATCTTAACGGTACACTCGATGTCAACAGCTGACAGTTACAGGCTGTTCACACATCCACAAAGAAGAATAATGAGTTAATATAGTCAACAAACAAAGATAATGTTAATAATTACGGTAAACACAGCCGTGGTCAAAGCGGTTTCCTTCTCTTCTCCTTCCACGTCGGCGTCCAGACCTCCATCCAAGAAACGCTTCACTGAATTCACGTCACCAGTTCTGACGGAGCTTAGAAAGTTCGCTATATCTTTCCTTTTCTTTGGTGAAATTGTATTTTCCTCTTTGTAGATTTTCGGTACATATCTTCTTGTCGGATTTACATCTACCAAGCGAGCTAAAACTGGCATATCTGTTTCTTAGCACAACGATCCTTGGGATGGCTGGCGACAGCCTCTCGTCCTTGTTGATACCAAATGGTCAGTAATATTTGGAGTGATCTGCTCTTGGTTAGTCAAAAATCCGCTACATATTTAAAAGTCACATGAAATATTTTACGGAAAGATTCAGGTAAAACAATTCAGTTGTGTACATTTGATTTATTCGCACATAATATAAGGATTATTTACTGTAAATACATTTACACAATAATACGTTGGCGGTAGATTTCTATTTCTTTTGACGTAAAACTGCGTAACAAATGCATTATGCGTAATATCTTAACGAGATGAATATATCTAGTTAACATTGGTCAAGAAAGACTCCAAAAGGACTGCAATGTTATTGCTGTTTATTTTGCAATATTATACATATTTAAGTTCCGGTGTTTTAGGAAAACACATAATATAATTGTCAGTAATTATTCCACGCACATCTTTCGTGTCCAAATAAGAACCATGTATGCGGACAAAACCGGGAAGTTTGTTGGCACACATCCGACAATCGGAAGTTGTCTTTTTAACGAAATATAACCAAATGATTTTTGGGAAGAAAAACCCAATGATTTCATCAATATTTAATGCAACCAGTAAAGGCAAGATACTTTATGGATGACAACATCTGCATTACATATGGTGCTGCCAAATTCTTTATTACATCTAATGTTGACACTTTTTTATTCATTCGTAACTACTCGTGTCATTCCGGCAAGCCGGATCTTCTTGTATGTCACGGAAAGAGGCGAGTAGTTACGAATGTTTTTTTATTGGGGCGGTGGGGTAGCCTTGTGGTTAAAGCGTTGGCTCGTCATGCCGAAGACCCAGGTTCGATTCCCCACATGAGTACAAGGTGTGAAGCCCATTTCTTGTGTCCTCTGCCATAATATTGCTGGAATATTGCTAAAAGCGGCGTAAAACTAAACTCACACTCACTCACTTTTTTATTACATATCTTTATTACATATGATTCAGTCATATGTTGTTATCCATAAAATATCTTGCCTTTATTGAAAAATATATTAAAAAAGTATAAAAAAATATAATGAACATCGAGAAGTTAAGTTTCCGTTTGGTTGTAAATTGGAAGTCGGTTGTTGTTAGACGCCGTTGATCCAGTCGACGTACTGAGACACGTCGGTGTAGACGCCGGCCTCTCCGGGGCTGGCACACCCGTCACCGTACGACACCAGACCGTACTGCACCCAGCGGCCGTTGACGGAACAGAACAAGGGACTGCCCGAGTCTCCCTGGGGGACAAAACACAATAGACGCTACACTCAGGCACGTGCATAAATACCAGACACACTTCTCTCTGAAAGGATAATATTTATGACTTCTTTTTTGAAAGTGGCCTTTAAAACTTAATAGCAAGGAACCCAGAGAATGTGTATATTTTCAGAAAACTAGACCTCGAGAAATCTAGACTTGTGAAAGCATTGTATAGACTTGCTTCGGTTATTTGTCACAGGGTTACTGAAGATCAATTCTAACCCGGATATTCACGGTTGTCTGTATGAGATGCTGGCATACTTGATACCGACCTTTCATGGATTAGTTTCATATGAATTAATGGCGTTATGTCATTTCATCCACAAGCGGTTTGGCGATATGTATCACGTAATCTAATATTTGATGACCTCTGTCTATTAGTGACTGGCATTCTTGTGAGCACTGTTGATTAGTGGTTAAAGCATGCGTTGGTTCAAAATGTGTTTTAACGTATTTTCAGGAATATATGTGAGCTGCATTTTGAAAGTTTAAATCTTCGGATACTTTTGGCGCCAAGTGTAATCTGGAATATTCTAGATCAGCATAGATCAAGATCAAACACAGTATGGGACATTCTGGAAGGGGTTTACGACTGTAACTGAAGAAGCGAAAGTCTCTGTCTACTCACATGTATCACATCACATCACATTATATCACAATAATATTGACAATGTTACTTGGTCGAGATTGAATGTATTAACAGATTTTAGTATCGCCGATACTTATATGTGTTCTACACAGCACGTGTGTACGGATCAACTGAATTAGCATACATCAATGTGAAAATGTCCCATAAGCGTTAGATTTCCGATTAATCAAATGGACTGACTGAGTTGACCTAACTTTCACATGTGATCTAACCTTCCCGTGCCATGTCCCCTGAACCATGTCGCCCAGTCGGTTTTCCTGCGTAATAGCAGGACAGTTACACAGTAAAGATGTCAAACGTGAGAATCGAAGCATCAGTTAGCCTGCGGCTTCGGTGTGCGCGCACCTCTCCCGCCCTGGTGACTGACATCTGACAGGAGTGGACGGTATGGTGATGTTACATACTTACCTACACACTAACCTAAGTGCTACATAGTCTTGTGTGTCCAAAATTAGAGTAACCCTTTGAAAACATATTCTTTTGAAAGAAAAAACTAACAAACTCAATTTTGTTTAAGTTCATTTAACGCCAAGCGTTAAAGTAGGGACTGGGTACCAGAACACAGGACCAGCCTTGTCCATTCATTAACAGTAGTTCTACTTGTCACTGTGGGAAAAGCTTTGTAAAGACATAGAGTTGCTCCCTTTTCAGCTACATCATTTAGATACTTTTATTAATGCCTGTACTGGGAGAACTTGTTGAAGTTTCCCCTTGGTTCATTTACAGCTATAGCAGATAGTTACATTTATAAGTATCTAAGATGTGAATACTCCAGAAAACCCTATTAATGCTATATTTAGAACTATAGCAACCAGCTACATACATCTCTGTTAAATTTATGTACGATATGCCTTGTACTGCCAATTGACGCGTAACTCTTTCGGTTCTGATTTAGTTTGAAGTTGACAAAATTAACACTTTATAAAATAAAGCTCTTGTAATATGTATGTGCTAAGAGTTCCTTGTCAGTCAGTGACTGGTGAGGAAATCCAAACGTTGTACTTTCTGACCTGACAGGAGTCGACCCCGCCGGTACCGGGTGCGCCGGCGCACAGCTGGGTTGCCGGAGTGGTAGGGTTGGTGTTGAAGTTTGCCGTGCATGATGTCCCCGCATACGTTGGAACTGACACCTCTTGAAGGATGTTTGGAATCTGACCTTGAACTGTAACAATCACATTACAACTGTTGTGGAACACGCACATGTCATCAGATAATCTGCTTCTGGTTTATACGAGTAGGGCAAGTAAGACACCTATTCTCACGAAATGCGCACCATTTGTAATTTTATGTGTCTCTGCATTGAAAAAACACACTTTTTGACTGATTTCAACTGTTCATTTCACGTTTATAAAAACACACTTTTTGACTGATTTCAACTGTTCATTTCACGTTTATATCTGGCGACAGGCTTGGTAGGTTACCGAGACAGAGAAATTGTTAATGATCTGTTAGAATATTGATCTTCAGTAACCCATGCTTGTCGTAGAGGCGACTAACGGGATTGGGTGGTCAGGCTCGCTGACTGATGTCATCCCGATCGATGCTCATGCTGTTGATCACTGGATTGTGTGGTCCAGACTCGATTAATAGCTGGAATATTGTTGAGTGCGGCTAAAACTAAACTCAACCCATGTGTGAATCTTGTCAGAATATATGTGCATGTCTCCAATGAGTATAACATGTTGAGGAATATTTCAAAGTAAATATTCATCTAGTGTGAAAGAAAACAGATGATATTTTCGACATAAGTATTGCCCTTCCGTCCATAACCAGAACATATCTTTTGATGGTTTAGTGCGTATTTATTAGATCTCCATCTAATTCGGAGTTTAAGATTTATGCGTATTTATTAGATGGTATGGCTTAATTTAAAATTATGCGTATTTATGATGCAGTTTAATAATGGGACAATACAATATCAATCTCATAGCCACTAAATTTCAGCCGATTTCCCACCATGATACTTCACAGGTTTAAAGTTGAAGAGATTTTTTAAGGATGTAATCTACGTGACCACCATAAGATAGAAACTGTACATCCAGTGTCACCAAAAGGGTTTTAAAATGAATGGACCTATTCAGTAGTAATACTTAAGTGAAGGAGATGCTTTTCTATTACACTATAAACGTTTGGTGGGTTCTAAAAGACGTTTGCGTAATCTACGTTATGTAATCTACGTGACCTCATTCCCAAAGGAGCATAATTTTAGCCGCGACTACTACTCAGGTCAAATAGTTTCATAGTCTAAAGTTATGGCATGACCCCTTCTACACAGTAAATGATTATGTATTTTGATTGGCTTATCATTGTTGATATTCTATATCAAACTAAACAGGTAACGTGATTACAGTTTGGATGAATTTTCTCTGTGCTTGTGTACTGTCTGTACTTTAAATAATGAATGAAACGAAGAAACAGTTAATCACTGTTGTATCTTTTAATGTAACTGTGTAATAGTATAGACATGTTTCACCAGTAATTGTTCTAAATTTCTATATAGATATGGCAGTGTTACGGTAACGTAGATTACAAGATTTGTAAGTTGTATTATGGCTAAGGCTTGTTGTTTATCAAAATATAATACAGAAAAAACTTATGTGAAATATATTTCCAGTAACACTTACATGTAGTTAAACAAAACGTATGTAAAGTAAGTTTGATGATCATTTTCTGCAAATTAGTTTACGCTCATTTCAGTAACGTTTATTACAAAGATATGATCTACAGCGGCTTTACTAATATGATTATTCTGTGTGACACTTACCACGACTAGTTCTAAGCAAAGCCTTGGTATCGGTCGTCAAGAGGATCATATGCCACAATTTGCTTCAAGTTAATCTTGGGATTTCTGTTCTGCAGTTGATGTTATACTGATGGTGTCACGTAGATTACAAAGTGCAATTTGGGTATACAATCCGTTCTCTCCTTGACATCTGACTTTTAATAGTTTGACTTTTGTGAACAAAAAATGATGTTCTATCAATAAAATGACTTATCATTTCAAACAAAGAACTTTAGTGTTTTACCAGTTCCAGTTATCAGTTGGTGCACATTTCTTGAGAATAAGTGAAACGTATTTCCATATAAACTTAATGCAGTGACATTTTCCTTTAAAACTATAG